AAAGTGAGCTAGTTTGACTGAATAATAAGCAGTGTTATGGAAGCACTTTTTTCAGTATGATAAGTAACTAGTATTTAATAGGTAAATATGTAGTATTTACGTTTAACATTCTGCTTTGCACATACAAACTACCTGTCGGGTATGTACAGCAGTAATACTCAGAATTTTAATAGTAAATTTGTAGTCTTTACAGAGAATAAATATTTGGTGCATACTTTACAAGTTTAATATATCATTGTTGTCGGAACAAAACCTTGTATCTCCAAAATGGTAACTTTACAGGAGAAAGAAAAAACCTACTTTACTTTTAATGTAAGTCAATAGAACCAGACTTTTTTCCAAGTTATTTTGGGCTGTTTGTATTCGTCCATTCATCATGAAATTTACACACAATATAAAGGGCAAGAGGCATTTCAAATTATCTAAAAAACTGAAAAATGACTAAAATGGAGATACAAGATTTTGTTCCGACAGCAGTGATATACGTAGAGATTAACTAATGTGACAGATACAAAGTATATTTCAGCTTTTATCACTAAGAAGTTGTACAGTAATGGCAAGTGCTACCAAACCGTTTGATGAAATACATACGTATGTGATAGAGAAGACTAGGTTACCGGTACAGGTGACCACAATTAAGTACTCAGTAAGTATTTTTAAACTATAATAATTCATTCCATATTACATTTACTGCTACATTCTCTGTATTATGATGGAAATAGGACTGTAAAATAAAGCATAACTTTGTACATAGTCTTGTAGCATCTGTTGTAGAGTATGAAGGTCTAGGTCATGCTTAGCTATTTTATAATTGACCAAAAGCACAGCAAAAACAAAACGGGCACCCACACTTGCAGCTGGCTGCAGGTAACTAACCTTGGCAGGTGGATGAGAGCTTTTCTACCACAACACCACAGACCTTTCAAAATATGTGTGTAAGGAACCTAAGAATAAACATCTTTTTTTGTTCTTTTTAGCCACACACTGTGTTTATAACCATACTTAGTGTCTAAAACCATATTGTTCATAACCATATGCAGTGATAACCAAACATAGTGTCGATAACCATACCGTGGTTGCAACCATACACAATGTTCATAACCATGGTGTCTATAACCATGCACAGTGTTTATAATCATAGTGTTCATAACCATTTTAACACAGCTGTTATGTTTTTGAGCGCTTTTGAACTTGTTATAGGAGTTTAAAACGGTGCCTCATGTACATTCATGATGTCAGTGAATGTGAACAGCCAATGAGCTGCCTCGCTCACCAACCAATCAGCACTCAGTAGCAGTAATGTTAGCATCTTGCTGCCCAAAACTAGTTTACTGTAGAAAAAAGGGCAAGTGATTAGAAATTATTTTAACTTTTTGTTTTTAGCCAGTTAGTTCCATTCTCCCCTATTCATTGAGGTCTCGCTCGCAGGCGCCCTCTGGTGTTTTACAGTCAAGTTTTTGATATAACAGGAGATATAGGAAGAGGCCAGACCCCTCATCATCCGGTTCTGACTGTACTTACTTGTGCTCAGATTGGTTCATAACCATACATAGTGTTCATAACCATGCACAGTGTTTATAATCATACAGTGTTCATAACCATACATAGCATTATGAATCAGATCTAGATTACAAAAACAATGGTAAAATGTAAGTGGTGTCTTCACTGTATTGTAAAATACAGATGAATTAAGCAAAAGCAACATACAGGATTAAGGCAAAAATGGAAATTTATTGTGGCATCAAGTATAAAAAGAGTCAGATAAGGCCATAATTTCTGCTCAGAAATACTGTTTATTAAAATAATAAGACAGAAAGGCCACTGAAACGAGTGGCTGGTCACCCCAAAACCTGGCGCAGAATAACAAATAAACACATACACACATTTTAACTAGAGAACTACAGCATACATCATTAAACAACATGAACACTCCCTTTTCACTGGGGGGGGTGCACCCCCTTTGAATGGCATTTTGCATAGCAAAGCTTCTACGCTCACAAAAGGCAGTGAGATAAATCTTTCAATACAGAAAATATCTACATAATATACAAGAATATAACAAACAAGCTACACAACAGAGTACAGTAACAATTCAGACAGAGTTTTCAGAACAGAATCTAACGAACGAGCGTGCGCAGAACTACAGCTCCCATCTGCCCTGTGGCGATGGCGTCACAAGCAGCGAGACAGTTGAAAACCTGGAAAATGGGGACTGGAGTACAGGATTGAACTGTATTGGCCTGTACCAGAGAACTTGTAGAGAGGAGAATTACCACTCTGTAATGTCTTCCTGGTTTCTCAAACGCGAGAGGGCGCTCCTGAGTGAGTCCAAAATGAATGGGTCAAGCATTTGAGCAAAATCATAGTTTATAAATGCTTAAACATTTTGAATGTAAAAGAATACAATCATTTCCTGAACACAGAACAGCATAAAACATTTTAACACTGCTGTTGTATTTTTAAGAGCTTTTCAACTCGAATTATAGGAGTTTAAAACGATGCCTCATGTACGGGAGCTGCTCCGCTTGACAACCAATCAGCACTCAGTAGCAGTAATGTTAGCGTCCTGATGCCCAAATGTAGTTTACTGTAGAAAAAAGGAAACATACAGGTGAGTTTTCTTTGCCTTTTTAGTGAAATACATCCTTCTACTCTCTAAAATTAAAGAGATGTTCTGAGAGAGTGATTAAAAACTATTTTAACTTAACTCTTATTTACCCCCATTTATTGAGGCCTCGCTCTCAGGTGCCTTCTGGCGTTTTGCAGTCCTGCTGTTGATATAACAGGATAAATAGGAAGAGAGTCCAGTACTCCAGTCCATTTCTTTCGAGTTAACTCGTGTCTCACCACTGCAGATTTTCCCATTATCTTCTGCACGACTTCCTTAGTTTACATGTGTCTATCTATCTATCTATCTATCTCACTGCCGATCTATCTTTACATTTCAACCATTTAATTATGCAGAGATTTTGAAAAATCAGGTGCAGGGAATAATGAGGGACCGTAAACATTTGTTGACAGAGGGATGTTTCGGTGCCTCTTAGCTGTGTTTTGTAATTCACTGTTTTAATAAAATACATTTCCATTTTGCCTTCATTCATCCATATTTCACACTATGACATAGACACCACTTACCACTGTTGTGTTTTAAGCTACATCAGATCCATTACATTATGTGTGCTTATGGGAACGCTGTGTATGGTTGTGCTCTGTGTATCATAAACACAAGAAAACAAACAGTTGCTGTGTAAATACTATGTAAAAAGTTACACATTATTTTACAGTCCTGTTTCCATCACATTACTGAGAACCTTCCAGTATGTACCTGGTAAAATGTCTGGTTAATTTCTGCATATGATGATGATAAGAGAACAAGTATTTACTGTGGAATTACTATGCACAAAGTTAAACTTTATTTTACAGTCCTGTTACCACAATATTGCAGAGGACTTACTGGTAAATGTACAATCAGTATGGGACAAATCAGTGTTGTGGGATAAAGGCACTCACTCTATCTTACTCTGTACCTCTATATTACATTTGTGTGTATTTACTGAGGGACTGAATCATTAAAAGCTGAAATACACCTGGTATTTTTCACATTAGTTACTCTGTACTTGTAATTGCCAATTACATTATGTGCAAAGTTTGTACCAAAAAATTACTTGTAAGTACCACATATTTACCTATTAAAAACTAGTTGTCTATATTGTAAAATAGTGTTACCAACGTTACTGTATACATGAGGGTGAAATGCCAATGTTGATGGCAAATCCACCCTTGAATGCTGATGAAAGTCACTCACACCTAATACAGGAACATGATAATTTATTACTTATCTGTAGATTATAGTACCTTAAGTTTGTTAAAAGCACAATGAACTTCTACATGCATGCCAAATATAAAGAAGTAATACTGACTTCCTGATTGTAGGCTGCAGGGACCTGGGCTGGGCATGTAATTATCTGGGGCTGAGCCCATTTCATTGTAGGAAGGTTTTAGAAGATTTCTAAAACCTTTTTTTATTTAACATGAAGATCTAGACATCAACAAACCTTTTAGGAATTCAGTATTGATCACTGAAGTCTCTTGTAAACAAAATCATAAAAGACAAGAAAAAAGACGAGTGAAAACTGCTTGTAATAGAAAACAGATGTTTATCCAATAATGCTATGATTATTAGCCCTCTTCATGTTTCCTCTCTCTTCATTTCAGCTATCTATTCTGCATGTCTCCTCTCTAATGTCTGCTAACAGGGATACTATTATTTATTTTTAAAAGATATGTTACTGACACTGTTACTACCACCTGGATAATTTGCTAAATATTCCAGAATGTCTGTTGCCCAGCCCAAAACCGATTGGCCCAATAAAATATTGGGTTTTGGGCGGATTTTTCATGCGCAACATCGGGCTCAAACTGGGTTGTTTTCCGAAGAGTGATTTTCCATGTAGTAGATTGGCCCTTTTTACCAACATGCATTACATTGTGGATTTCGCTGTTGTCAGAAGAAAACCTTGTATGTCCAATTTTGAAGTTTTTGACATAATTTGAAAATTCCTGTTGCTGTTTACATTGTGTGTAAATTTCATGATGAATGGACCAAAAGAAACGGCCCACAGTGACTTAGTAAATGTCTGGTTCCACTGACTTACGTTAAAAGTATGTTTTTTCCTTCTCCTGTAAAGTTATCATTTTCGAGATACGAGGTTTTCTTCCGACAACAGCGATTTTCTCTCTTGCAATCCCTCTTGCTCTCTCTCTCTCTCTCTCTCTTTAAATAGTACCATTATAGTCTACAGGTGCATTCATAGTCCTTGGGCAAGACTCCTAACACTACTTTCGCCTACCTGTGTAAAATTATCAAATTGTAAGTCAGTCTGGATAACAACGTCTGTTAAATGCCATAAATGTAAATGTAAATGAGAACGTCATAGCAGTATGACACAGCTGTGTCTGCATGAGGAAACTGTACGCCAGACTGAGAACACAGACACCCATTGTAGTGCTGAAAACATGCTTTATTGAATCAATTATAATACTCAAGGAGGTTGCATTTATAAATAATACTACAATTCTAAATAAAATCAAACCAAAGTGTGGGACATGTAGTTAATGTATCAATTTGTTTACACAGCAGATGTTGTTGCTGTGGTACACTTGCTTGATGTTTGCCCAACCACTATTAAGGTGAGTTCTAAAGCTAACACACAAACACACAATGCAACAAAGCAATCCTCCAAGAGGAGGCTCTGCTTCTGCAAGGAAGTACAAGATAAACTTTCCTTATTGGCCAGGTGATGTTATTTCTGAAAGTGTATTCAAGCAGTCCCTTGACATAAACAGAGCACATTTAACATCTTAGCTCATAAAGTGCAGGCCGCTCGCACTTTGAGCATGTCAATAAAATGGTGGTATGACATAGTCAGTCTGAACACAAGGCCTAGTCATGCTGCTTACATGAGGGTAAAATGTAAACAGTATTCAAGGTCTTATGGTCAAGTTATAAATTCATATGAGTACGGTAAGATCACCGCATGTGCATACATGCAGTGTTTATCTTTGTCTCTCAGATCTAGTAAAACTTCAACAGGGAGCCTCTCTACCTGTTGAGGCAATCTTAAGACTTCAACGTTTTGTTGAGGCACAGAGTTTAGTTTCAGGTTTAACAGGGTATTCGTTTCCATGAGAAACTTTCTCCTGATAAACAAATAGTTCCATTTGTTTCAGTTAATATTGTCATAAATAACAATTCATACATTTCCCATAACCGTTAAATTCGGCTATATACATTATGTACATGTCACAGAAAAATGGATCAAAAATCCTAGTCATAATTATCCAATATAGCACATTTTATAACAACTTTAGACTTTAGTCTAGTTTGGCATAAATTAATGTCAAGTTTGGTATAAAAATAGATATATTTACAGGAACAGATATCGAGGCATTTATCAAGTAAATATTATCTTATTTGCTCATTCAATACATAAAAAGGCACGTAATGAGGAAACGGGGATAGATTTGATCGTTATTCGTTTTACAGCGATCGAATGCTGATGGTGACGGTTGCTGTGTCAGATCCATGCTCGTTGAACAGTTTTAGGGTATACACTCCAGCATCACTCTGTTTTACACCAGTGATAATGAGTGTAGTCAAGTCCTCTGTGGTCTCAATGTGGAACCTCCCACTCTCTTCAGCAGTTGGAAGTATTTTTCCACCACGAGACCACTCGATGCGAGGTGAGGGCTCTCCAGAGAAAGCACAGGCTACAGTCAAAACCTTTCCAGTTTCAATGCTGATATCTTCTGGAAGGGCTTCAATTCTTGGCGCTAGACCTTTGGGGCAGAAAAACATTCAGGAACTTAGTCTTTCATAGTATAAAGGACCCAGTGAGTTATATAAATGCTTAAGAAATGAAAGGAAGACACTAAGGCTACATTCACATGGTACAAATCTAATTTTTTGCCCTAATGTGACACAAAAATCTGAGCTTTTCAAATGTGATTCACTTTCATGTGTTGACCTGGTTCGGCTATATATCTGATTTATGGCCATGTGCATGGCCATAACTAGCTATGAGGACACTGAGGTCTGGAACTCTGTACTTTTAGAAGGTACATATCACTGTTGTCGGAAGAAAACCTTGTATCTCAAGAATGATAACTTTACAGGAGAAAGAAAAAAACGACTTTACTTTTAATTTAAGTCAATGGAACCAGACTTTTCATTTTGGGAATTTACTTTTAGTCCATTCATCATGAAATTTACACACAATGTAAAGGGTAACAGGTATCTTAAAATTATGTCAAAAACTGAAAAACATCAAAAATGGAGATACAAGGTTTTCTTCTGACAACAGTGATATGTTCATTCATGAGATATAATGTGAAAACAGCGCTGTTCTGTTAATGCAGTAGCCTACACAGGGGTGCAGCCATGGGTATCACAGGCTTACACAATTAAATGGGGATAGAAAATTTCTTAAGTCTTATTTTTTTAAGATACTGAAATTTGATTTGTTTTCTGTAAGTGCTGTCACTGCATTATGACCAATCAAATTATTACACTCTCTGCCAAGGTCCACATTATTTTCCTCAGAGCTCCGAGCACGTCTTATTAACTGCTGCTATCTGCCATTGCCTCAGCTCATTATCAGCACCTGTCATGTTCACAACTAGCATGAGGACACAGAGGTCCATGGTAGTTTAGTAAAAGTTTTATGTGGTTCAATGAGGAAACAGAGATTAGACTAAACTGGATCTCAGCTGACATCATAACAGCTCTGGTTTGGCCATAGATTTAACTGCCCACTCTTGTTTATCTCTGTACAAGATGCTGTTACCCAGAATCACTGACATCTTGAGATATTCAGCTATGCAACATACATGCTATAAGCTAAAATACAACATAGCTATGTTAAAAAATATTAAAGTTTTTGAGTATAATTAACAGATTATGTTTGTTAAATACAAACTTCATAATTGTTTTATTTGGATCGCTCTTAATGTTGCTAAATCAGCAAGTATTAGTCTAATTTCAGTAGCTGCTCAGTTTAGGCTACAGGCTCTATAAGTATATGAGAACTCATAACATACAACAAGCAAGAAAATTCTCTGTTAACTTGCATATTGAAGTAACGTGAAGAAATCAGCATACGTTGGTGTGTATTTTATCTAATTAACTGTATGAGTATCCTACCTTTCCTGTTAGCTGGGGTTTCGTAGAGACAAACTTTTATATCATATGTTTAATATATGCTTTTGCAGTAATCAGTGAGAACCAAAATGCAAAAAGCGATGAGCAGAGAGAGGCAAATGAAATAAAATCAGTTATAACCTGATTTAATGCAAAAGCAAAGCAACTGATTCTTTTGTGCCATCGCCTCGCTTAAATAATGAATGGTTGAGAGCTTTTTAAAGCTAATTATCTTCACAGCGAAGTCTTGTTCTACTGGTTATTTTGTTTGTTGTTCATGAGATGTTACTGATAAACTCATGCGGGTTGTTTCAGGACACAGGTCCTTTCACATTAATGATGGACTTGAGTCACTTACCTACAGGAATGTGAACCATCAAGTTGGAAAGATCGGATCTGAGTAAAAATCAGAATTGAGCAATAAGCCTTGTAATGTGTAAGTAGCCTAACTCACCTTGACCACTATGCAACATGCCTCTCATTGAAGACCCTTCAGCATGTGAGTGACTTGACATAATACTGCTTGAGCTCACAGCATACACTGATTCAGATGTCATGGACGACATGCTGGACATAGACATTGTTTCAAATTTCATTTCAGCCATGGATGAACTGCTGAATGATGTCTCTTGCATTGTGCTCTCCATGTGGATGGACTTTGAAGAGAAGCTTTCTTGCATGCTGCTGACAGTTGCACTCTCCCTCATAAGCATCTCAGCCCCCTCATGGATCTTGGAGGATGTTGATTCTGCAAGAAGAGAGAACATGCTGTTATGATTTGTATTAAGGTGGTTATACATTGGTTTTTCAAAAGTAATCTATACATGAAATTTAATTTACCTTTAACAGCCAAACGTGTGGACACAAAAGTCATTACTTTTGTATAGATGGATTGGAACACTTGGCCAGTGAAGGAGAATGATGTTCTTGAAACTGCTCCACTCTCTGCAATCATTTCACAGGAATATTCACCCTGATCGCTTTCAGACACATCAGAAATATAGAGACAGCAAGTGCCATCAGCAGAGGTATGCATCTGATAGCGATTACTCTGGCTCAATTTCCTGCTATCCTTGTACCACACAATCTCCCTTACAGAGCTCTCAGCAACACAGATCATCTTCACCTTGTCTTCAAAAGCCTCAGCTTTCAGTTGCTGGAGGATCTTTGGAGGTGCCTCCTTTGAAGGTGTTGGTGATTTCACTGTAAGTGGGGATTTAACCCTTTTGGGTGACGTTATTGGCTCAGGAGACTTTGCTGTTAGTGGGGATTTGACCTTTTGAGGAGATGTGATTGGCTCAGGTGACTTCAAGCCTGTTGGGGATTTAACTCTCAGAGGAGATGTGATTGGCTCAGGTGACTTCAAGCCTGTTGGAGATTTCACTCTCAAAGGTGAGGTTATTGGCTCTGGAGACTTGAGCGGAGGTGGAGATTTTACTCTTGAAGGAGATGCTACTGGTTCAGGAGACTTCAGACCTGTGGGAGATTTAACTGGTTCTGGAGACTTGACTGGTGGTGGAGGGGAAGCAACTGCTTCAGGAGACTTCACTGGGGACTTAACTCTTGGAGCAGCAGTACTTGGCTCAGGAGACTTTACTCTTAGTGGGGATTTGACTCCCTCTGGTGATTTAATCCGAGGTTCAGGGGACTTAACACCAGCGGGTTCTGGGGATTTCACTGAAGGCTCTGGAGACTTAACTGTTGGCACTGGAGATGTGAGAGGAGATCTTACTGATGGTTCTGGTGATGTCACAGAAGGTGTTGATGATTTCACTAAAGGCTCAGGTGCTTTTACTGCTGGCTCAGGAGATTTAACTTGTGGAGATGGTGTAACAACTTCCTCTTTTGGTGCTGGTTTAGAAATGGTCAAGGTAAACTTTGCCTCTTGCCTTCCTTCTACATTTTCCACCACTACAGAGTAGCTACCTTCATCAGAGTATTCAACTGAAGATATTTCGAATGTAGATTTGTACTGTGTTGTTGTCACATGTACACGATGGGACGTGATGACAGCACGTCCCTCGTGCATCCATGTGACACTTGGTGCTGGCTCTCCATCAATATCACAGGTAAATCTTGCAGACTCACCCACAGATACTGTTAGAGATTGAGGTTTGGTAAGTATTTTGGCTGACAGAGTGGCTTTGACCTTCTTAGCTGTTACCTCTGCTGCAGCTGTAGACTCAACCGTCTTTGTTTTAGATTCAGATGTATATCGTTCTGAGGATGAATATGAAGTTGATGACAGGTATTCAGTAGATGCATGTCTGATGGGTGAAGATGTAAGCCTTTCAGACTCGTATCTTTCAAAAGCAGAAACTTCACGTCTTTCAGTAAATTTGGTCTTGGCCTCTTTGATCTCTAAGTGTGTCCTTGAGGCAGAAGAGGCCCTGATTGACGTTGTATGATAATAGTCAGTCTTTGTAATTTCAGGTACAAATGCCGTTGGAGCTTCATCATCTTTGCGTCTTGAAGAATATGTAGTAAAAGCTCCTCCTGAGACATCAAGAGTTCCATAATCTGATGTTTCTCCCTTCAAGTTTGTGCAGACAACACGGTATGTGCCACTATCTTCTGCTTGGCAATTAGTAATTTGAAGAGTCAGAACTCCACTCATGTTTGTAAAGTGATATTTGCTGCTTTCCTGAATTGGTTGTCCATTATGGAACCACTGTATTTCAGCTTCTGGCTTTGATTGGACATTCAGTGTGAACTTAGTGTCCTGACTACTTGGTACACGGTGTGAGCGCATTCTAACTGTGATGCGTGGGGCATGGTCAAGGCTGAAGGGTTGCTGTGTCACAACCTGATACTTGCGCTCAGATTTCAGAGCAGCTTTCCTTGCCTCATATCGAGACATGATGTCAAACCTTGCAGATCTTTCGAATCTAGACGATGACCTTGAGGACCTTCTCTCAGGAGACACAGGACTAGGAGAGCGTGGACGTGTCCTCTCAGGAGTGGGAGATCTTCTCTCAACAATCTCACCTTCAGCCTCCACTGTCACACGTGCACGAGGTGGTCTGATCAATTCAGAGACAGGACGCATCAGTTCAATATATGTTGGAGACAAAGACCTTCTCCTTCTCATAAAATGGGAAATAGGAGGTGGAGAACCACGAGGCTTCTCTGCTGCCAGTACATGTTTTGCCTCCTCTAGATGTGTAACTTCAGTTTTGTGGACAACCCTAGGTGACAGATGACGCAGTGCAGCTAATTCAAAGCGAACAGGGCTACCACTTGGAGGAGAGGCAGAGAAGCCAAGTTCAAGTTCTTCCTCAAGCTCTTGACTCTCTACATCAGTTCTTCTCTTTGTCAGGTACTCCTCTACTTCTTCATCTGAGAGATCACCCAGGGAACGTCTTCTCTGTCTGAAAGAAACCTCTGACTTAGGAGATGGTGAGCGCCTTGCTGGTCTTACAGTTTCCAGATCATCTAGTGTAAGCTTTGGAATACGCCACCTTGGCCTGTACTGATCAGTGATTCTAGGGAGAGGCATGACATAGAATTGCTCCCATCTGGAAAGACGGATGCGTTTCTGTCTCCTCTGCACAACTCTCTCCATACGTTCAGAAATCTCATACTGGTCACGGAGTTTCTTGTACCACTTCATGTCAGATAAAGGCACAAAGTGTTTGATACCCATGTCCTCTGCAAGAACAGTTGGATCATGTACACGGGCCTCTGGAATTTCATAAGGCATTCTGATCTTCCTACCCTCCTCTTTAATTTTCTTGATTTCTTTGTCTTCTTTATCAGAGATATCAAACTCACCCTGGACATTCTTGGTGCTTACTGCAGGTTTATATAATTCAGCAGCTTCCTTCAATGCCTCCTGTGCCACAGGATTAAATGTAATCACTTCTGCTTTAGAAAACTGTTGTGCCATTTTCAGTGTCTTTTCTATTTGATTTTGGACATATTTCTGTTTGTCTTCCTCACTCTTGAACTCCCTTCTGGTGTAAGATAAACGTTCAACCTTGAGAGTGGCTTGACAACTAGCTGAGCCAGCTGAGTTTGTTGCAGTGACCTTGTAAGTGCCAGAATCCTCAATAAGAGTTTCTCTTATATGAAGAACATGATGGTCTATGTCTTCTAGAACAACTTCAACTTGTGGTCTGAACTCAAGAGGCTTGCCGTCTTTTTCCCATTTTAGTGTTGGTGGTGGAGTCCCTGACACTCTCAAATCAAAGCGGACACTTTGTCCCTCAACACAGTCGTTATTTGCCAAAAGGCGTTTAAACATTGGTCTCATTGTGTCTTCAACAACAGGGTGAGGTGTTACTGTTAGGCGTGCCTTGCAGCTGTCTTCACCAAACTTGTTGTTCGCTACAACAGTGTATTCACCATCGTCCTCAAGCTCAACATTATGAATCATTAGCTGGTAAAGACCCTTGTCACTTGTAATTGTGTATTTCTTGGGATCAGGTTTGATTCTGTGTCCTGCCTTCAGCCACGTCACTTGTGGCTCAGGATGTACAGTTATAGTTACACCAAAGCGTACATCCTCACCAATGTATGCTGTACGGTTATACAGTGGCAGAGTAAACTCAGGTGGCCTTTGAAGAAGTTTTGTTTTATCAATTCTACGTTTGGGCTTCTTGAGTGAACGTCCCAGGAAGTATTCACGGTGAGACCTCACACTCTCAACAAACAGCTCTGTGTAGGCATTGTCTTCCCTATCTTCGCTGACAACTTTGCATCTGTATAGTCCATCATCACATTCCTCAATGTCTTTCACGTAGATGCTTGCAACTCCACTAACATAGCTGATTTCATACTTGTGACTGGCTGTCAATTTACGAGAGCCAAAGTACCAGGTTACCTCTGTGTTTCTGTCATAGTTTTGAATGCTACATACAAATCGAACATGGCCACCTTCTTCAGCAGAGCCATGCATGACTGGACCTGCTCTCAGGCCTTGTTCTGGATGTCCAACTTTCACTCTGCCAAATGAAACATTTCTCTGGTTTCTGTAACCACCACCATAGGCAACACGAGCTGCTGAAATAACAGTGCTCCACTCCTTCTTGACTAGCGACTGGTAGTACCGTCTGTGTCTCAAGGTCTTCATCACCCTAGAACTTATGTTTTCTATTTTCATCTTAAGCCAAGGATGTTCCAAAGCCTCAGAAGCAGTCATACGATATTTGCGTTCTTTAATTAGTAGCCTGTCAATAAAGTCCATGCCCTCGAGACTGGTGTCTTTGAAGGCCTCACTATCAAATACGTATTCAGCATTGGAGATGTGCTCAATCATTTTCTGAGTTGATTCAGCAGCGAATGGATTGAGGCCACTAAGGAGTACATATGCAAGAACACCAACTGACCACATGTCAGTAGCTGTGGTAACAAAATCACTGCTGTGGATCTCTGGTGCACAGTACTCAGGGGCAGTGAACTGAATTCTGATATTTTCTCCAGGTGTCAACAGCCTAGCCTGGCCCATTTCAATGATCTTGATTGTACTACTCTTTCTTGTGGCATAGACAATGTTATCAGGTCTTATGTCAAAATGACCATAGTTGAGGCCATGCAAAAACTTCAGCGCCTGACAAACTTGCCTCATGTACCGTACAATTTCCTGTTCAGTCAGGTCAAAGTTTGTTCCAAGACGCTCGAAGATATCCACGCCAGATATGAATTCATAGATCAGAACATATTCCTCCAAGCTATCAAAGGACTCATGTAGATACAATAAGTTCTTATGTCTTGCAATATTGAGTGTCTCAATTTCTCTTGCAACCAGCTCTCTATCAGCACCTTTCACCTTAATGATCTTAGCCAGGAAAGTCTTCTTGGAGCTAATTTCAACACAGCGATGAACAATTCCAAAGTGTCCACACCGTGCTAGTTCCTCTGAGATTCTGTAAAGAGAAGGAACATTCTTCACCTTAGAATGAGGTGCGTCTTCCTTTGTAACTTCTCTTGCTTCATCCACTTCTTCATCATAATTTCTAATGGCAAATTTATCTTCTCTTGGCGTCACAGGTTCAGTTGGTACAGACGGTTCACTGAGACCGAATCTATTTTCAGCAATAATGCGGAACTGATATTTGGTCTTTCCAAATAGACTCATAACAGTATATTGAGGCTCAGATGTCTGGGCAACACGGATCCACCTATCGCCAGATGTTGGGCACTTCTCTACTATGTAGCTGATAATTTCGCTCCCACCGTCATTTGAAGGAGTCCATGTGAGTGTAATGGTATCTCTGCCAATGTCGCTAACTTTCACATCCTTAGGTGGTTCAGGTACATCAGCGACATCAAGTTCAACTGTTTGCTTATCAACACCAAACCGGTTCTTGGCACAAATGATATAGTAACCGGCATCCTTCCTTTGAACTCCCTTTTGGAACACAAGAGATGTAAAGGATCTTGTAACAATCACTTGATGGTATGCTGTATTATTCAGTATCTCTTGTCCCTTCTGCCACGTGATTGCTGGATCCGGTTTACCAGTGATTGGAATCTTAATGGTAACCACCTCACCACGAACAGCATGAACAGCTCCCATACCTTGGAGGTGTAGGGGCAGGTGAATCTTGGCAGGAACTAGAAAAGAGAAGAAAAAAAATTTGATTCTTCAGCTGTAAGCAATATAAAACTCTGCTGTTCAATGACTATAGTGTGCTGTCAAATGTCATAGAAAGTGATATTATCAAGACACATATCTAGTTATTTGAAGAAAGAATAACAAAAACAGCAAACATACCTTCAACATCAAGGGTTACAGTTGTAGAAATTGATCCTTGTTGATTAGTGGCTCTAATTTGGTAAACAGCCACATCATTCTCATCAGCATTACTGATGACAAGTTGGTGGTAGCCTCCTTTGAATTCCTGGATCTTGATTTTCTCTCCATCTGGTAAAATTTCTTTGCCACCCTTGTACCATTTAACCACTGGCTTGGGATGACCAAGAACCTTAGTGACAAATGTTGCATTAGCTTTATATTTGACACACATGTCTCTCAGTTCCTCTTTGAAGGATGGGGCACGAGGTGCTGTGTCTGACTTTGGAACGACTGGTTCTGAAATCTCACTCCAGTCACTCTCGCCGCCAATGTTTTCACATTTGACACGGAATTCATACTCAAAGCCTTCAATCAAGCCTTTAACTGTATAATGTGTTTCATGGATTTCCTCGGTTGTAACAGCAATCCATTTGTTTTGTTTCTTCTCTCTCTTTTCAAGGAAGTAATTCTTAATCTTGGCACCTCCATCGCTGGTTGGGGGTTTCCATGTGACAACACAAGAATCCTCTGTGACAGAAGTAACAACTGGCTGCTGTGGGATTCCAGGTTTTTCTGTAAAATATTAAAAGAACAAAATATTTTCCAACTATAAACATTGCTCATTGTTTTTGGTACTTGCTTATCATAGCATATATACTCTAATATAACAGAAATTTCCAATAGTCTATAGCATTTACCATATGGACTCTTGATGATGAGAACAGCAGGAATCTCCAAGGACTCGCTAATGCCATATTGATTCTGCGCAGAAACACGGAAGTAATATCCAGCACTCTCAATTAGGTTTGGAATGCGGCAGGTGTTTCCTGAGATAGATGATGACACAAGATGCCATTGCTCGCCCTCTTTTGCCTCACGTTTTTCTACAATGTAGTTTGTGATCATTGATCCACCATCATCCTTAGGTGGTTTCCAACTAATGATTACAGAGTTCTTCAAAAGAGCTTCAACAACAATTGGTCCTTCAGGAATCAAAGGTTTATCTGGAATGAGAGTAATGCCATTTAACATTAATACAAAACATGCCTGAAGTGTCCCCATTTAGCAATTTACATTTGAACATAATTTAGTTTAAACTTACCTTGGATTTCAACACGAAGCACTGTCTCGATTGTGCCAAATTTGTTGCTCATCTGCACTTTGTACCTGCCAGCATTTGTCTTGCGCTGCACATTTCTGACAACCAGATGAGTATAATTTTCAGTGTTTTCAATAATAACATTCTCTGATGGATTCAACGGTTTCTTGCCATAGAACCACATGATTTGTGGGATAGGACGTCCAATGTAGACAACGTGAAGGCGTAGACTTGTTCCACAGCCTGCATAGTATTTCTCCTTCAGTGGGAAGCCAGGATGGAATTGAGGTGCAGCCTGCAAAAGAAGCTTCCCGCTGCTTTCAGTTTCACCTGCCTCATTAATAGCTCTGCAAATGTACAGGCCCTCATCTTCTTGTTCATCAGTTAACACTGTTAGAGAATGGTTTCGGCCATCAGAACTCATCTTGTATTTACGACTCTGGATCAGTTCCTTTCCATATCTATACCACTTGATTTCAGGAAGAGGCCTTCCAACAATCTGACATGTCAATGTTCCAGATTCCCCTAGTTTAGTGGTAGTATCTTTCATCTCTTCCTTCAGACTTGGAGCCTCTCCAACTGTAAAAGAGACCAAATGTCAGTAACACTGCTTGATCCCATTTCTGTATATATATGTACCACAAACTGTCAAATAAAATGTATAAACCATCTCATCAACATACCACTCAATTTGGTTTTGATGCCCATAGCAGTTCTACGGGGTCTGCTCAGTCCAGTTTCATTTTCAGCAAACACTCTAAATTCATATTCTGTTGCCTCCATGAGACCACCCATGGTGAACTGTCTGTCTTTTGAACGCTCCTTGTTGCATTTTTTCCAGGCACTTTCACCTGCTTGTCTGAATTCAATCCAATATCCCAGAATTTCTTTGCCACCATCAGATTCAGGACGCAGCCAGTGAATGGTGATGCAATCCTTGGTAACGGAGATGATGTCAATGTCACCTGGTTGACTTGGTTTATCTGTTAAAGTGAGAAAATATTTTACATAAGAATGTAGACTCTTTACAAAAACGTATAATTGCTTTTAATGGCTGAGCACATATTACTCACCAAATGGATCCTTGCATACAACTGCTTCAGATACAGGTCCAGGCTCACTTTGACCAATGTCATTCTGAGCAATCACACGGAACTGATATTCTGCATCAGGAATGAGACCAGTGAGGGTATACATTGTTGTGGTGATGTGAGTCTTGTTGTGACGCACCCACTTCTCGGTGGAAAGCTCTCTTCTCTCAATGTAGTATCCAGTGACACGAGATCCACCATCATCCTTTGGTCTTGACCAGGATAGACCAACTGTGGTCTTTGTGACATCCATAATTTCTGGAGGGAAGCTGGGAGGCTCTGGGGGACCTTTATGAGTAAGAGAACAAAAACAACAGCAATCATTTATAAGCCACAACTGTGATAATTGTAATTATGACAAGTAATTTAAATATGAATGTACTTACAGAGAGCAGTCTTTGGTATAACAGATTCATCTGATTTTAGAGATCTACTAATTCCAAACTGGTTCTCTGCTGACACCCTGAAGTGGTACTCAATATTTTCCTTTAATCCTTTGACCACTAGTGATGTGTCAACCACACGAGAGTCCACAGTGTACCAGGCTGCCTTTGGTACCTCACGTCTCTCCACAATGTAACCAAGGATATCAGAGCCACCATCTTCTGAAGGTGGTCTCCAGCTGACTCTTACAGAACGAGCTTGAATATCATCAAATTCTAATGGGCCCTCAGGTGGATCTGGGCGTCCAATGACTTTAACCTTGATGTATACTGCTTTCTTTCCACATTTATTCTCCAACACAAGATCATAGGTGCCAGTGTCATCTCTATGGGCTTCCTTGATCACCAGCTCTGTGCGCTCCTCACTGGTGGCAATCATAGCTCTGTGAGAAATATCCCGGCCTTCCTTTGTCCACTTACAGGTTGGATATGGTTTTCCCTTAATTGGCACAGACAGTCTGATGACTCCACCTTGTCTGACAATATAACCCTCCTGGTACTTCTTATCCAGCTCATAATCAGGATATTCTGAAACAGCATTGCATTATGTTAAAGCACTCATGCACAGCAAAGTATGTAGATCAGAATTAGAATGTGATGATGTTTATCATTCTTACCAAGCATTTCGGTGACCTTGACCACTCCTGGAATCTCAGCTGGTTCTCCAGCTCCACCAGCATTGCATGCCATCACACGGAATCTATACTCAGCACCCTGTGGCATATGTGTCAATGTGTATTCACAAATCTTAGTTGGTGTTGTGTTGCATTTGGTCCATTCAACCTGGTCAACCTTCTGCATCTCAATCAGGTAACCAGTAACAATGGCTCCTCCCTCTTCCTCTGGGGGAGACCATGCCAGTGATACAGATGTCCTGGTGGTATCTGTGACTCTTGGGTTCAATGGTATGCCAGGAGGTTCTGTTTGAGTAGAAACAGGAAATGTTTAAAATGAACTCATTGTCATTTTCAAATGTTTGTTTCTTAAAAAAGTTCATATGCTCCAACAGTGAATAACTGTTTTTTTTACATACCGATGGGATCCATTGCAATCACAGGTTTAGAGCTCAAACTTGGTTTGCCAGTGCCTCTAGAGTTGATAGCTGTCACTCTGTATTCATATTCATGACCTTCAACAAGTCCTGTAGATCGATATCTTGTCATTGTCACTGGATTCTTATTGATGCGCAGCCATCTATCAGATCCAGCTTCTTTACGCTCAATGATGTAGCCAGCCACTGAAGAGCCACCATCATCTTCTGGTGGTCTCCAAGTAAGTGTCATGCCCTCATGAGACACATCAAATATTTCAGGCATGCTTGGTGCACTAGGTACAGCTGTAAAGGAACAGCAGGATTAATTATTAATTAGAATGTTAATAAATGCTTCTCTATTACATTCACAACATATTAGATGATCTGAAATGTTATATTAAGCGCTTACTCTTGACACTCTTGCACTCAACAACTTCAGACTGAAGGAATGCACCAATGCCGAATCGATTTGTTGCAGCCACACGGAACACATATTCTGTTCCTTCAGTTAATCTAGTAAATTTGAATGTTGGTCTTGTGACAGACTCAGAGATAGGCAGCCATCCAGGGCGATGAGCATCACGTTGCTCAACAACATAACCACTGATATTGGCACCTCCATCCTTCTCTGGTGGTTCCCAGCTACATGTAACAGATGTAGCATCCACTTCTAAAATTCTCATAGGCCCAATAGGAATGCCAGGTTTATCTAAAAAGAAGATGCATTTGGTCACTTTCAGTTATACTTGAAACAAAGTCTCCGTAGTGATAAAGAAATGGTAGAATCAAGAGAAAAATCTCTCACCAAGAATGATAACTTTAATGGTCTCTGTAGCTATTCCTGTGATATTCTTTACTTCAAGAGTGTAGTCCCCAGTGTCATCTATTGTGGTTTCACGAACTGTCAGTTTAGTGTACTTAGCAGTTGTCTCAATCTTGATACGGTCAAGTGTGTCCTTCATCTTAATGCCACCAACGAACCATGAGCAGGTTGGAGCAGGCCTTCCTTTAATGGGAATGTTGAGCACAATTGGCTTGCCAGCAGGGATATTGACAATCTTTTGAGGAATGCCAAGGAGGTCAATACTTGGCTTATCTGTAGAAAGAACAATGACATTTATAGACCATGTTTGTACATAACCTACACTCTTACAAGTGATGGCTTTTCAGGGGTTCCTTAGTAAAGAAAATGGTTCTATATAGAACCATGAACACACAAAGAACCCTCTTTTTTGCATCATTTAAGTGTTCTTCAGATTGATGGAGCATGTGTTTTATGTGGTTCTACATATCTTTTTTGAAACGATGTTACGATGTCAAGCTTGTAACAATAGAAGAATGCTTTGTAGTGCTACATAGAATCCTTTACAAAAAAGTTCTATATAGAACAATCTACAGTACATTCTCCATCAATCTGAAGAACCTTTTCACAATGCACAGAACCCTTTAATCATGCAGAGGGTTTGAGTCTTCATGGTTCGATATAGAACCATTTTCGTTACTAAAGAACCCTTGATGAACCATCTTTTTAAAGAGTGTACAATATGCAATTATTTGCTTTTTGCTGAACACTTTAAAGTTGTTCAGCAAAAAGCTGCCTGAAGAAGTGTCCTACCTTTCTGTTCCCGAATAGTTACAGGTGTCATCAGGTCTCTGGGCTCACTGAGACCTCTGCTGTTCTCAGCTCTGATTCTGAACAAATATTGCTCATTCTCATTCAGAGAAGCTATGGTGTGCTGTGAAACTGCTGCCCTCACAGTTGCAACATTCATCCATCGGTCAGTACCCGTCTTGCAGGCTTCAATAACATATCCAGTAAGTCTACTGCCACCATCATAAAGTGGTTTCTGCCATCCAAGAACCACAGTGGATTTTGTAATATCAATGACGTGCAAATCTTGAGGAACAGATGGAACTTCACATACTAGTACCGAATCACTGATTTCACAAGGTTCTCCAATGCCATATATGTTTTCAGGCAATACTCTGAAGAAATATCGAGTTCCTTCCTCTAAGCCAGTGATTCTGTAGAGTGTCTTCTTGCATTCAGTTGTCACTGTTTTGTAAGATTTCATTGAAGCTTCCCGCTTTTCAATTATGTAGTTGCTGATCGGAGCCCCTCCATCAATCGTGGGTACATCCCATGTAATGACAACAGATTCTTTTGTGTAATCCTTGACGTTGACTGCACCACAGGGTCCAGGAGTATCTATAATACAGATTAGTAATGTATTTTAAATGTTAAGTTCACAATATTAGTCAAACTGAAAACATTTTGCAGACACATATATAATATCTTACCATATATCTTTACGAGAATGGTAGCTGTCTTCTTGCCAGATGGATTTTCAGCTTCAATTGTATATTTTCCAGCATCATAACGGTGCACCTTCTCCACTGTCAAAGCTGTAGTGCTTTCTGTTGTTTCAATGTATCCACGGGACTGGAGGTCAATGCCAGTCTTTCTCCAGGTAATAACTGGTGGTGGTCTTCCAAGTACAGTTGCATTCAGATATAAAGTGCTGCCAGCTCTCAGGCAAACAGTTTTCTTCAAATCTTCAGGTAACTCAATATCAGGAATTTCTGTGAAGAATGCATTTTAATAGATTTCAGTTTTGCAGGTAATTAAGGGTTAGCTTCCTGGTCACAGATTAAGCCACATCTTAGAAAAAAATTGCCTGACACTAAAGATTCTCCAAAAACCTGATTATGCTTAGTGTGATCCCAAAGAAACAGCTTAGCATCTTAAAACTAACACTCATACAGTCATGTGAAAGAGTTTTTCAGCATATTTGAACAATCTTCATTTAAACAATGTTGATAGAAAAAGGTGATATAATTTAATGTGATGCCTAAAACTACATTTTTGTCATCTTTTATATAATTGAAATAAACAGAAATGCAATTTCCTTATGTTGAAAAAGTAAGTACACCCCTATATATCACTTCTTCAAATGTGTCAAATTGAAAACATACGCACCCAATCAGATGATAATGATTAGAACACCATTCGAGAATATCTTTGAGAGCCTGTCTTATTTAAACCTAAGATATCTGGTCTGGTTTTCTCTTTGTTATCAGAGATTGGGTTTTATAATCTACAGATAAAAAGAGCTCTCTGTGGCCTTCAGACAGAAAACTGTAGATGCCTATGAGTCTGGGAGCGGGTTTGAAAAGTGTTTCCAAAATATTAGAAATCAATCCTTCCACTGCTTAGAAGATTGTCTACATGTTAAGAAGATTTAAACTCACTGCCAACATGTCTAAGCCAGGCTGCCACAGCAAACTCAATCCAAAAGCAGATCGTAAGATGCTAAAGAAGTCTTTAAGAATCCAAAAAATTAATCACAGGATCTGCAGGTAGCTTTTGCCACTGTGGATATCAAAATGCATGCATCTGCTATTATAATGAAACTGCACAAATACTACATGGGAGGGGCGCCAGGAGGAAGTATTTATTGTCTTAAAAGAACATCAGAGCAAGAGTATAGTTTGCTACTCAATATCTAAGTAAAGACCAGAACTTGCCTGAACAATGTGCTATGGACAGGCGAGTCAAAGATAGAGTTGTTTGGGCACAGTACCAGAAGGCATGTTTGGCAAAAACCAAAAATTGCATTTGATCAGAAGAACTTCCTACCAACTGTAAAGCATGATGGTGGAAATGTTATGGTCTGGGGCTGATTTGCTTGTAAAGAAGTTGAAGCTAAAGAGTAGACATTCCAACAGAATAATGATCCCAAACAACACTAGTACAAGTAAATCCACCAAAAAGGAAGAAATGGAGGGTTGTGAAATTGCCTAGTCAAAGCCCATATCTGAATCCCATTGAAATGCTTTAAGGGGATGTGAAATGGGCTGTACATTCAAGAAGCATTGCACAGTTTAAATAATTCTCCATGAAAGAGTGGGCAAAAATTTCTCCCAACAGATGCCAGAAACTAGTGGACAGTTAGAGGAAGTGATAAAGCTGCCAAAAGCAGCAACACCAGTTACTGAAGCCGGGGTGTACTTACTTTTTCAACGGAAAAATAATGTTAGTTAATTTATTTTTAAATAAATTATTGCAAAGTCAAATTTCCTTTGTTTTTATTGTTTTATTACATAACATTTATCTATATATACTTTTAGCAGATGATCAAATACTGATATGCCCGCGTATGAAAAAAAGAAACATTTCATGTGGTTTGCTTATTTTTTCACATGATAAAAAATACAATATGCCAGATGTGTAAAACTTACCAACTCTTTCTGATGGTGCAGTCTCCACACTGCCTTCACTGAATTCTCCAGTGCCCATTGCATTCACTGCAGCCACTCTGAAACTATACTTTTTGTTGCTTGTCAGACCAGCTGCAGTGTACTCAGTAGTGGTCAGGATCTTCTGAGTGGCTCTATACCATTGTTCCATTCCTTCCTCCAGAATCTCAATGACATAACCACTGACATCTGAGCCACCATCATACATAGGTCTGGTCCATGTCATAGTGATGCTGTGTTTGGTAGAATCTGTTATACGAGGAGTGGACGGAGGAGCTGGAGTATCTGCCATAAGAAAACAACAGTTATATCACTGTAATAAGAAGTCAGAATAAGTGTCTAATAAGAATGTTTATAACAAGTAAATGTGATTGACACCATGATGTTTAGACAGAAAACAATCACTTACATGTTGGGTCCCTGCAGAGAACATATTGAGAAGCTTCACTTGGTAAGCTAGTGCCAGCTGTGTTGACAGCTGCAACACGGAACTGGTATTCACTTCCTTCTAACAGGCCGGTGATCTTGAGTCTTGTGTCATAGATGGTGTATGTTTTGTTCACTCTTGTCCATCTCACACTGCTCTTCTCACGTTTATCCACAAGGTAGTTCTTGATTTCATTTCCACCATCACTCTCTGGCTTCAGCCATTCAATAATAACATGTTGCTTTCCGACAGCAACAATTTCTGGTGCCCCAGGAGGTGTTGGAACAGCTATGATACACATAAAAACATTATTAATCATGTATTTGTTCCTGAAGCTTATCTGCAAATCACTGAAATATGAACAGTACTTACTATATGCATTTCTTGCAACAACTGGCTCAGACTCCAGTGGTACACCAGGTCCATATTTGTTCACACCTCTGACACGGAAGATATATTCATTGTTCTTGATTAGTTTTGTACTGACGCATGACAAAGTTTTGCATTCAGTTTCCATGACAACCCAGTTGAGTCGACTGGTCTCACGCCTGTCAACAATATAGTGAGTGACAGCATCTCCTCCATCCTCAAGTGGTATCTTCCAAGAAACTGTGCATTTTTCTTCTGTGACTCTGCTGATTGTGATTGTACCCTCTGGAGGCCCAGGTGTATCTGTAAAGCAGAGATAATAGAAGAGTTTGATAAGATGTTCCAAACCTATAAAATGCTTGCCTGAGTGAGATATATTTTACTTTAGCAATTCAATGAGTCCTCATATTCTTACCAAGAACTTTAACAATAACAGCGGCTGTCTTGGTTCCACTTGCATTCTTAACAGTCAAAATATATTTTCCAGTATCATTCCTGTCACAAGACTTGATGATTGCCATAGCTCTTGTGCTGGTGTATGTCAGCGAGTACTTGTCACCAGGCTCCAGCTCCTTCTCACCCTTGGACCAGAATACCTTGGGTTCAGGTTTACCCCCAACTGCAGCATCAAGGACAAGGTCTGATCCAGCCCTAATAGTGACTGTCTCACCCACAAGTTTGCTGTCTAATTCAGCCTTTGGTGGTGCTGAAAGAGATAAATAATGAATATTAGAGCAACAGCTATTTTTTTCTTAAAGTGAATATATTTTTTAACATTTGTCAGGATAATATCTTACTGTATTCATCCTTGCACGTGATAGGTCCTGTTGATTCAGATGGCATACTGTGAACTCCTGCACCATTTCTGGCAATAACACGGAATTCATACACTGCCCCCTCCTCGAGTGATGTTACAGTGAAGAAGTTGTCTGTGATAGTAGTGTAGTTGCACTTCAACCAGCGAGATTCATCATCATCGGTGGACGCTTTGCGTTCAACTACATATCCCACAATCTTGCTGCCACCATCATTGAATGGCACAGACCACTTAATAGAAACTGAAGATCTTGAGATGTCATAAACCTCTGGCTTGCCTGGAGGGTCTAAATAAAAAAGATACTCTGTAAGTAATGTAACAAACACTTTAGCATATTTCTACCTAATCTGTCTGCAGGGTCAAATACCACAAACAATAATTTAGTCACTGGATAAGAACAGGAACCCCATTGACCCAAAATACAGTATAATAGAAGCCAATGGGCAAGTGCTGAAGTGGCAGATACAAATTAGATTGAAAACACTGGAGTATTCTTTTAATTAGCACAGTAATTAGGACAAAAAAGCACATAAAACAGTTAAATTAACCCAATACTTACCAACTGGATTCAAAGCCAGCACTGGTCTTGAGGCTTCACTGGCTTTGCTCAGACCAGCAATGTTCATTGCATATACTCTGAACTGATACTCAAGTCCTTCAATAAGATTGGAGACTTTGTAGTGACACTCGAGGCATGGGATCTTGTTTTCCCGTACCCATAAAATGGTGTTGCGCTCTTTCTTTTCAATCCAATATCCAGTCACCTGGCTTCCACCATCATGATATGGTACATCCCATTTAATAGAAATGGCATTAGCAGACACTGACACCACATCTGGGCGGGTTGGTGGACTTGGTGGAACTGGAAAATATACATAATTGTCATTATTTACAGACTATTTCAATAACATATTTGACAGAAAAATATTAAAATTAATTGTACTTACTAAATGGATGCTCAGCAACAATGGCTTGGGATTCAATGGGCTTGCTGACTCCAAACTTGTTCTCTGCACAGACACGGAAAGTGTACTCCATGTATTTTGTTAAGTGCGTCACTTTGATGGTTGTCCGTTTCACACTTGAGTTCACAACTTGCCATGAGGTTTGACCAGATTCGCGTTTCTCAACTATATAATTAGTGATGTCTGTTCCACCATCATCTGTAGGCTCAGCCCATGTCAACACACAAGACTCTGATGTGATTCCTGAAACTTCAACTGGTCCTGTTGGTGGGTTAGGTCTTCCAAAAACAGTAACTGTTACAGTAAATGTCTTGGCACCAGCAGCATTTTCCAAAATGAGGTAATATTTTCCACTGTCACCTCTCTTGGCATCCTTTACTAACAGGGTGGTTCTGTCTTTGGATGTCTTGATGGACACTCTATCTGTTTCCTTGAGTTTCATCTCCTCAAGCTTCCATGTTACTTTAGGAGCTGGTCTGCCACTAATGGGAATATCAATGGCAAAGGAATTGCCAGTCTTACAGGTAATAAGCTGTTTGTTGATGCTACTAAGGTCTGCAGTTGGCTCAATGCGAGGTTCTTTGATGATGACAGAAGAGAGAGCATCTCTTGGATAACTGATTCCAGTGTCATTCTGGGCCTTCACCCGGAATTCATACTCTGTGTTCTCAACTAAGCCCTCAAGGACCATCTTCAAAGACTTAGTCTGACCACCAACAACCCAGTGATCGGAGCCTTTCTTTCTGGTCTCAACAATATATCCTGTGATGCGGCTTCCACCATCATGTTCAGGTTTCAACCATACCAAGGTGGCTGTTGAAGATGTTGTATCAATAACATCCAGTCTCTTGGGTGGTGCAGGCTCCTCAGTGGCAATAATAGGCTCTGACATTTCATAAGGCTCACCCTGTCCATACTGATTTTCAGCGATGACTCTGAATAAGTATGGTACACCAGCAGAAAGCTTGGTTACTCTGAGAATTTGGCGAGTACACTTGAGACTGACCTCTTGCCAACTCAGGTGACTTGCTTCACGTTTTTCAACAATGTAGTGATGGATACGGGCACCACCGTCATTAATTGGAGCATCCCACATTAGAGTCAGAGCTCCTCTTGTCACATCCTTGAATGAGAGTGGACCAGGTGGTCCAGGTGTATCCAGCACTTTCACTGTTAATGTAATGGATTTACGACCACTGTTGTTCTCAAGAGAGAGTGTGTATTTGCCAGAATCATATCTGGTACAATTTTCAATTGTCAATGTGCTGAATGTATCTGTAGTATTAATATCTACCATTACACCAAGTTCTCCATCTGCCTTTGTCCATGTAGCCAGGGGAGCAGGTTTTCCACGGAAAGGAATATGCAGAGTAACTGTTCCACCATTCTTGACAATATGTGTCTGTTTAAAGTCTGCATCAATGTCAATCTCTGGTGATGTCAGTCTGTCTACTGCTTGCACTGCATTTGGAATCTCAGATGTCTCTCCTTTCCCAGCACCATTGACAGCACAAACACGGAATTTGTACTCCTCACCTGGTTCCAAATCTGTAACTGTGTACTTCGTATGTATACAAGTTTGAGTGTTAACTCTGTGCCATTCCTCAAGGCTCGCCTTGCACATCTCAATGATGTAACCAATGATCTGCATACCACCATCAAAGACTGGTTTGGTCCATTCCAGAGTAACGGACGTCTTTGTTGAATCAATGACTTTTACCACTGTTGGTGCACTAGGTGGGCTTGTAGGTTCTCTGCACTTAAATAGTCTGGAGGTGCCACTTGGAGGACCAACACCAGCTCCGTTTTCAGCCATAACACGGAACTCATATTCATTTCCTTCAGTTAAGTGTGTAACTCTGTGCCTCAGCTCAGTGATTGGCCTCTTTGCTGAAACTTTTATCCATCGTAAGCTCTTCTTCTCTCTTCTTTCAAGGATGTAGTGCTTGATCTCATTTCCACCATCAAATCTAGGTCTTGTCCAGCATAAAGTAATACTGTCTCCTGTCACATGAGTGCAGTCAGGTGTTCCTGGAGCATCTGGTACAGCTGTAAAACAGTAAAACCGCATTTTTGAAAACAGATTTCTTGGAACAGACAATTGGAATACACAGTAGTACACAATTAGGTAAGATAGTAAATGTTACTTACTGTACTGCATTTTAGCAACAATTGGATCTGATTCCAATGGTTTGCCAACACCAAACTTGTTAACAGCAGAAACACGGAATTGATACTCATTGCCCTTAATCAAATTGGTGGCATTGAAAGAGCAGGCCTCACACTGGGATGTAACAAGTGCCCAAGTAATTCGAGAGGTTTCACGCTTCTCAATCACATAATGAGTGATAGCTGCACAGCCATCATTTTCTGGGGGACTCCACCAAAGGGTTGCCTTCTCAGCAGAGATATTTGTAAAGCGAAGTGGGCCCTCAGGTGGTCCAGGAGTATCTGAATCAAAGGACAAAGAATCAGCTTTGAAGTAAATTTTAAATTTCAAACACAGACTAATTATGTATTTAGAAATTCTAACAAACCTTGCACTCTGACAAGAACATCCTCTTTCTTTGTTCCAGAGCTATTCTTGGCTTCAACAGTGTAGATTCCACGATTGTCACGATCAGCATCTCTAATGAACAGTGAGCTTGATCCAATCATGGTTGTGATATCAACAAGCATTTTGTCAAGTTCTTTTCCATCCTTATACCATATAACTTGAGGTACGGGACGACCACTAATAGTGCAACTCAGTTTGATGTTTTCTCCAGCCTTGATTGTCAGAGTCTTTTCAGCACTGAACTGAATCTCAGGAATTACTGCAAGAAAAGAACATAGGACAATGGTCTATCTCAATTTTATGGTCCAATTTTATCCTCAAAGGGCCAGGTTTTCACTCCAAACAAGCTGGAGAACACCTGGTTCCACTTGTTTAATCATTTGGTCTTAGTCTTTAAACATTTCATCAGGTGATCTCCTGCTTTGTTGAAATGAAAACCTACTGCCGCATTGGCCCTTTGTGAATAAGATTTGACTTCCCTGGTCTATTTAAATATGTGCATACTGTGCCGAACATATAGACTAATATATGTAAAGCTTTATGTACCCTATTTGTGTTCTAAATAAAGTACATACCACTTTCATCCTTGGTCATTATGTAGCCAGATGACTGTGAAGGTGGACTGACAGTTCCAACAGCATTCCTGGCAATTACCCTGAATTCAAAGCGGTCACCACAAGCAAGGCCTGTCACTGTGAACTGGCATTCACTGATATCAATAAAATTGCATCTCAGCCAGCGTGCTCTTCCTTGGCGTCTCTCAACACTGTATGCCACAATCTTACTGCCTCCATCACGTTTAGGTGGTTCCCACTGAAGTGTGACGGAATCTCTTGTAACATCAATGCAGTTAGGCGTGCCAGGAGGGTCTAAATAATGAAATAGATTATAATTAGTTTATTTCTTTTGATATTTACTTGTGTATTGGTGTGAATAGAATGTGTGAATGAAAAATGAAACTCACCAACAGGAGAAATAGCAAGTTTGTGCTTGCTTTGCTCACTGACTGGACTCATTCCGGCATTGTTCTGAGCATACACTCTGAATGAATACTCCAGGCCTTCAATGAGACCAATTACTCTGTACTCTCTTCCAGATATAACATTAGAATTCACTTTGGTCCACAGAAGGCTATTCCTGTCTTTCTTCTCAAGATGATATCCAGTAACTGGAGAGCCACCATCAAAGCTGGGGGCATCCCATGACACAGTCATGCCATCACTTGTTACATTAAATACAACAGGCTTTCCTGGGGGGCCTGGTGGCTTATACTGGTGTTGGGCAACAACATCTGATGAGGTGAGCGGTTCGCTTACTCCATATTTGTTCTCTGCACGCACTCTGAATTGGTACTCAGTCCCCTTAACCAGGTTAGGTATCTTAAATGTGGTCCTTACCACACTTGAACAAACGATTTTCCAGGCTGCCTGAGAGGTTTCTCGTTTTTCCACACTGTAGCAAGTGATTTCTCCCCCACCATCTTCCTGTGGCTCACGCCATGAGATAATGATGCTCTGGGCTTTGATTTCATCAAATTGGATGGGGCCTACTGGTGCAGAGGGTGCCCCAAGAGTGATAACCCTGATGTCAAAGAAGTTCTTGACAAGTCTGTTGTCAAGGACCAAAGTGTATTTGCCTGCATTCTCCTTTCTTGCATTTCTCACAATCATAGTAGCTTTGTTCTCTGTTTGTCTGAAACGAACCTGTTCACTTTCCTTCAGTGGAACATCGTCTTTCATCCACTGAACAGTTGGTTTGGGTTTACCCTTGTATGGTAATTCAATATTTATATTTTGTCCAATACGGACACTTAATTCACCATTGGGATAGTCTATAAGGTTAGCCTCTGGTGGGATAAGGAAGTCCTTCACAGTAATGGGTCCAATTTGAGAGAAGTCACTGCGACCCTTCTCATTCTTGGCATATACTTTGAAGAAAACTTCAGAGTTTTCCTTAAGATGCGTTACTTCAAACTTGCAGCGTCTGCATGTACCACCAAGGGTCCATGTCTCCTCGTCTTTGGCTTTCTTTTCAATGATATACTCAGAAATATGGCTGCCACCATCATGGTCAGGCTTTGTCCACGCTAAAGTTACTGATGTATTAGATGAATCTTCCATGACAAGGTTCTTTACAGGACCAGGAGTCTCAGTTGCTCTAACAGGTTCTGTGGTCTCACAAGTGTCACCAACGCCATTTTCATTTTGGGCAGATACACGGAAGAAATAAGCAATCTCTTCAGACAGGCCTTCAACCTTGTATGATGTGTTGGCACATTCTGTTGTCATTATGGAGTAAGCCTTCAGTTTAGCATCCTTCTTTTCAACTATATAATTGGTAATAGGAGAGCCACCATCAATATGGGGAGGTTCCCAGCTCAGAGTGAGTTTACCACGCGTGACATTTTTCACTACCAACTTACTGCAAGCAGAAGGTGAGTCTAACACCTTCACAGATATAGTAACTGTCTTTGGCTCGCCAACTCCATTTTCAATTTCTAGAAGATATTTGCCTGAATCATCCCGAGTGACCTTTGGAATGATAAGTGTTGTTGAATATTCTGTATTATTAATAGTATATTTTGCATCGCCACCAATATTTCTGTCTCCCCTTCTCCATGTCACATTTGGTGCAGGTCTGCCTTTGAGAGGTATTATGATCTCCACATCCCTTCCCGCCTTTGCTGTATACTGAGTTGACATTGAAATATCAAGATCAATATCAGCCTCCTCTGTTGAAATGAAAAAGAAATATTTTGTTTAGATTCTTAACCAAGCATGGAAGTACTCTGACACATTACGTATATGTTTTAGACACAAGAGCAACACAAACCTAGAATATCTTTGGCTTGCACTGGTTGAATCATTTCAATTGGACGCCCAACTCCAGCACAGTTAACAGCAGATACACGGAAAAAGTAGTACACCCCTGGTTTCAGATGTGACACCACATACTCAGTGGTTCTTACTTCACCCTTAGAGCTAATAGTAACCCATTCTTTTTCATCAGCCTTCATTTGCTCAACTACATAGCTTGTGATTTCACTGCCGCCATCGTAGACAGGCTTCACCCATCCAAGGGTAATTGATGTCTTGGTTGAGTCAACAACTTTAAGTTTTGTTGGCTCGCTTGGTGGGTCTGAAATGACAATTAAGCATATATATTTTACACAACCAAATTCTAATACATGATATAGGAAATAAGAAAGAAAAATGAACATTATGCAGAAGTAACTAAGAATTTCATTAATCATTTCTCAAACACAAAAACAGATTATCTTACCGATGGGATCATATGCTTTATAGAAGATGGATGCATCAGAGTATTGACCTGCTCCAGCTTTGTTAATTGCACACACACGATACTGATATTCATTCCCCTCTGTGAGATTGCTAACTTTCTGCCTAGTATCACGAATTGGATCTTTGATGACCTTGAACCACTGAAGACTCTTCTTTTCTCGTTTCTCCAAATAATATCCATCAATATCACTGCCTCCATCCATGCTTGGCCTTTCCCATATCACAGTCATTGTTGATCTGGTAATCATGGTAACTTGAGGTTTGGAGGGTCGGCTGGGAGGTACTGCAAAAATAGATTTTATGGTTAATTCAGAAGACAAAAATATCAACACAGTTAAAAAATGGTGAGTGAAAATATCTTTACCAAAGAAGTTCTGTGCAATGACAGGCTCAGATTCTAAAGGATCTCCAATTCCATATTTGTTCACTCCACGAACACGGAAGATGTACTCATTGCCTTTGATCAGCCTTGGAACAGAGACAATGCAGTCCTCCAGTTTCTCAGAGATTATGGACCACATGATTCTGCTACTTTCACGTTTCTCCACAATGTAATGGGTGACCATTGCACCACCCTCATCAGCTGGAGGATCCCACATGATTGTAATAGTGTCTGCAGTGATTTTCTTGAACTGAATCTCTCCTGCAGGGGGACCTGGTTTGTCTAAAGGAGACAAATTATTCATGTCAATATATGATACACAAAACATATAATTCTTTCAACAAAAGTGAAGTCTTCTGTGAATGGCTCATCATTCATACCTTGGATAAGGACTCTGATGGCAGCATATGCTGAGCCCAAAGAATTCTTTATCTTGAGTTCATATGTTCCAGTGTTCAAACGTGTGGCATCCTTGATCAAGATACTTGCAGAATCAGTGGTGCTCGAAATCATGGTCTGAGCTCCAGATTCAAGCTCTTTTCCATCTTTAAACCATTCAATTGTTGGTTGAGGTTTAGCAATGATACCAACTTTAAGTTGAACTGTTGCTCCTGCTTTGTACTTAACAACATCATGATATTCCTGAGGAAGTTCAATCTCAGGGGCACCGAATGTGTCCACACAGGTTACTGGTCCAACAGTAGCTGAAGGGTTACTGACAGAACCAACTGCATTCTTTGCCAAGACTCTAAATTCATAAGTTTCATCTTGAGTCAGACCTGATATGGTGAACTTGGTGTCAGAAACCTTTGTCAAGTTAGCTTTTGACCATTTTCCTTTTGGACCATCTTTCTTCTCAATTATGTACCCAGTCACCTTGCTTCCGCCATCATATGAGGGTTTCTGCCAGGCAAGGCTGATGGAATTCTTTGTGACATCGGTGACACGGATATCAGTTGGAGGTTCTGGAAAAAAATATATAATGAATAATATCAGTACTACAGCTACAGGTGGTTGGTCGTTTTCTACCAGAAAATATATTGGACATAGTTGAACATATTCTTACCACAGGCATCAATTGCCAGCACAGCTTCTGAGATCTTGCTTACTGGACCAATGCCAGCTGCATTTTCTGCTGCAACCTTGAACTCATAGATCAGGCCAGGACTGATGTTTGTCACTTTGAAATGCGTAGCACGAATGACGGTTTTGTTCACCTTTATCCACAGTATGCTGTTTTTGTCCTTCATTTGAAGGTGGTATCCAAATACATGGCTTCCACCATCAGAAGAGGGTTCTTTCCAGTTAACAGTAATACTTTCTCTAGTGACAGCAGATACCCATGGTGTTGAAGGTGCCTCAGGAATTGCTGAAACAAAGTGCAACAGATTTTTGTTGATATATGTCATTTAGTCTAACCAAAATGTCCAATCCTTATGCAGAAAAAATGTTACTTACTATATGGGAGACTGACTGTGACAGGTGGAGAATCAATATGGTCACTGATACCAAAGCGATTTTCTGCCTTGATTCTGAATTGATACTCAATTCCAGTAGTCAGTTTCATAATCTTGATTGTGCATCTTGCAACTGCAGATGAAACTTCAACCCAGTTTGCAGTAGTTGTTTCACGTTTTAGAACAATGTAGTTGGTGATTGGGCTACCGCCATCATATGTAGGAGGGAGCCATTTCAGACTTACACTGTCCTCTGTGACATCATACATCTCAACCGGGCCAACAGGTGGACTTGGTCTATCCAGAACTACAATATTTAAGAAGGACCTGGTGGTTCCACTTGAGTTGGAGGCTGTAATGTCATATCTGCCTGCATCATGAGCAACACTCTCACGCAGAGTGATGACAAGACACTCAGGAGTTACTTCAGAGTTGAACCTCATGGTTGATCTCAGAACATGATCATCCTTTGACAAAGAAACCTTTGGTAGTGGTTTACCAGTAAGAGGGATCTCAACCTTGAGATTTGAACCAGCCTTTACATAGACAGTATTGTGCTGGAAGTCCTTCATGTTAATCTCAGGTGCCTCTGTTAATGCAGAAAACACAAACATCAATTAAATAATCAATGTATTAACTGTCATACAAGAGTAATAAAACAAATATTGGAGACAAGCTTTATGATATATAACTTACCTAACTGATCTTTAACAAGCACTGGCATAACCATGTCTTTAGGGTCACTAAACCCGGCATGGTTTTCAGCACGAACTCTGAAGAAGTACTCAGCATTCTCTCTCAAGCCATAGACAACAAAATGAGTTGTTTTAGTCACACCACACTTTATCCACTTCTGTTGTCCTTTTTCTAGAGCATCAACCTGGTAATTGGTAATCCTGCTGCCACCATCATGCTCAGGTTTACTCCAAGCAAGGGCGACGCTGTCTTTTGTGACATCAGTTACTCCAAGCTTTCCTGGTGGACTTGGTTTTTCTGAAATTAATTGTTATACATGGATTGAAATAAAAATTAAAATTGCAGTAATTCCAGAGTGATTTTATCAAGTCATGATTCACTATTAATATTACAGTCAAACACATACCTGTAATCTTAGTTCCCTCTTTCGTTTCAAGTGGTACTCCAATTCCATATTCATTTTCGCCAGTGACTCTGAAATAATAAACACCTCCCTCTTGAAGGTCAGTTATCTTGAAGGTAAGCCGAGGACAACTATCTGTAACCCTTGTCCATCCCTTTTTGCTTGCCTCGCGTAGATCTACAAGGTAGTTCTTGACAGGAGCACCACCTTCATTTTCTGGTGTGTCCCATGTAACAGTTGCAGAGTTTTTGGTCACTTCCTTAACTGCAATGCTGGCAGGTGGTCCAGGTGAATCAAGCACTTTGACATTCAATGACAGCGTAGCTGTTCCAGCAACATTTTGAAGAGTCACATTGTATCTGCCTGAATCATTTCTTGTAGCTTGCTCAACTGTGATAGATGTGCAAGTATCAGTTGTATCAATTGCTGCCCTAACTCTCAGATCAACATCAGGTTTATTCCACATTACATGTGGCACAGGCTTCCCCTTAAATGGGACTCTTAAAGTAAATGAGCTACCATCTTTGACAATCAATGTCTTTCTCATTTCATTACTGATCAGGAAAACAGGCTCTTCTTCTCTGTCTTTTGCTATTTGGGGATCAGTTTCTGGACTTGGCTCACTTGGACCAATTTTGTTGATTGATCTAACCACAAAGACATATTCTGCTCCTGATGTCAGCCCTACAACAGTGAACTCAGTGTTCTTAGTGTGTCTGACTCCAACAATCCAGTCCTCATCATTGGTTTTCCTGTATTCAACAGAGTATCCTGTGACTGGAGAACCACCATCAAACAATGGTTTGTTCCAAGCAAGTGTTATTGTGGTTTTGGTGGAATCAATTATCTTCGGTTTAGCTGGTGGTGATGGCAAGAACAATGGATCTTCTGCCTTTGTCAAAGGGCAAGGCACACTTGGTGCACTTAAACCTGCAGCATTCTCAGCATAGACACGGTACTCATATTCACATCCTTCACGGAGATTGGAAGCTTTGACTCTTAGGTCATAAACAGGCCTTTTGTTCACACGAACCCAACGGAGACCTGATTTTTCACGTTTTTCAATTACATAGCCACTAATACTACTGCCGCCGTCAGAGATAGGTCGTTCCCAGCAGATTGTCATTGCTTCACTTGTTACACTAGTAACTTCAACATTTGTTGGTGCAGCAGGTACTGTGAATGGATCCATTGCCTTAACGGCATCACTCTCCAGAGCTTCACCTGTTCCATATTTATTCACTCCCCGAACCCTGAAAATGTATTCATTGCCCTTAAGCAGTTTTGTGACTTTGCATGTTGTGGCCTTCATGTCTGCATAGACCAAGGTCCAAGCAAGACGGCTCGTCTCACGTTTTTCAACAATGTAGTGCTGAATGTCAGCACCACCATTTTCTTGGGGTGGTCCCCAAGTTAATGTGCATTTTTCTGCTGTCAAGCCAGTAACTTCCAGTGGTCCAGATGATGGACCAGGTCTGTCGAGGACTTTACAGTTCACAGCTAAAGATCTGGTCCCAGCAACATTCTGTAATGTGAGAACATACTGTCCAGAGTCTCTTCTAATGCTGTCTCTGACAATCAGTGTGCTAGACGTAAGTGTTGAAGAAATTTCAACTCTTGCTTTTGCTTCAATTTCTTTTCCATCCTTTGACCATGAAATCACCGGAATTGGACGGCCAGAAATTTCAGCATCAATTCTTAGTATATCTCCTGCTTTGACTACAACAAGCTGTCTGAGTTTATCTTCAATTGTGATACGGGGTGGATCCACATCATCTTTTACTGTAACAGGGCCTGTACCCTCTGATGGCTCACTGAGTAAACCTGCGGCATTCTTTGCAATCACACGGAAATCATATCTCTGATCTTCAGTTAGTCCTGTGACATCAAAATATGTTTCTTGGAGATTGGTGAAATTGCACTTCAACCAACGTCCATCTGGAAGTTCTTTACGCTCAACAATATAACCAGTCACCTTGGCTCCACCATCATTTTCAGGTTTTGTCCAGGAGAGAGAAACAGAGGTTCTTGTTATGTTCACAACAACTGGCTGACCTGGAGGATCACATGGATCTCTTGCAGCAACAGGCTCACAGGCTTTTGTGCAAGGTCCAATGCCTGCAATATTCTCTGCATACACTCTATATTGATAGAGGATACCCTCTTCAAGTCCAGTTACCTTGAACTGAGTATCAGCAACAAGACCCCTAGTGATCTTTGTCCAGAGAATGCTACTCTGTTCTTTGCATTCCAAATGATATCCCATGACTGGACTTCCACCATCACTGGCTGGTCGTTTCCATGTAACCAACATGCCTGACTTGGTGGCATGAGCAACTTGAAGATCAGCTGGAGGGCCAGGTGGTGTGAAGGGGTACTGTGCAACTATTGGGGCAGAGTCAACAGCATGGCTTTTGCCATAACGATTTTCAGCAGCAATACGGAACTGATATTCCGTTCCCTGTGTCAAACGAGATACTTTAATTGATGTCCTTGCCACTGTAGCTGAAACAATTTGCCATGCTGTAGTGGTTGTATCTCGCTTCTCAACAACATAGTTGTTGATTTGACAACCACCATCGTAAACCGGAGGATCCCATGATAATGATATGTAATCAGCACTTACTTCATCTACTCTGATTGCACTTGGTGGGCCTGGTTTGTCAAGAACAATAACTGTTATTTCAGCTGATTTAATACCAATTGAGTTAGTCAGCGTGATCTCATATTTTCCGGCATCGTCCCTTGTTGCATCCTTAATGATAATCTTAGAGGATGTTTTAGATGTCAAAACATTTACTCTGGTTGTTTGCTTCAATGAGTGGCCATCTTTCTTCCATGTCACTTCTGGATGTGGCCTGCCTCTAAATGGAACATCAATTTTGAGATCATCTCCAGCCTTAACACTGTAAGCGTTAAATAACAAGTCAATAATCGGTTCAATAGTGATGTCTTTGGCCACAACAGGTGCTACCAGGGGTTTAGGATCACTCTTTCCTTTGTCATTAATGGCTGTAATTCTGAATAAATATTCCTCTCCTGATGTAAGTCCTTCAATTGTGGCTTCCAGTGCTTTAACTGTAGCACATACAGTCCATTTTTCCGATCCTTTAGTCAACATCTCTACAATATAGCCTGTTATTTTGCTACCACCATCATGGTCTGGCTTTTCCCATGAGAGGCTTGCACTATGGCGAGTTACATCTACAAGTGTAACCTTACCAGGTGGTAAAGGTGCTTGAGAAACTTTGACTGGCTCAGTGGTAGTTGCAGGCAAGCCAACACCAAGTTCATTCACAGCTAGTACACGGAAGTAATAAACACCTCCCTCTTGGAGATCATCAACCCTGAATGAATTCCTGACACAACTGTTTGTCACAGTTGTAAATGCCATTCTTTTAGATTCACGTTTCTCTACAATATAATGAGTAATCTTGGCTCCCCCATCAATATGTGGTGGTTCCCACTGTAGTTGGACTGAATCTCTCTTGATATCTTTAACAACAAAGTTTACTGGAGCACTTGGAGAGTCCAAGACTCTGACATTAACAAATGCAGATTTGGTGCCACTGTTGTTTTCAAGCGTCACAACATATTTACCAGTATCAAATCTGTCAACGTTGTCAATGACGAGCATGGTGTAAGAGCTTGTGATTTCAATTTGGGCACGCTCTGTTAGGGGACCTTCTGCCTTTGTCCATTTAACTTCAGGTTCAGGTCTTCCTCTGATGGTGACAAACAAGCGCAGTGTTGCACTTGCCCGAACAGTCACAATTTTCCTCAGATCAGCATCTAACTCTACCTCAGGGGCCTCAAGTTTCTCGGCAGCGACAACAGAACCTTGAACATCAACATGATCTCCAGCACCTTCAATATTAACTGCACATAAACGGAAGTTGTATTCTGCATTTTCCTTCAGTTTTTTCACTGTGTAGTGTGTTGTTTGTACACCAGTAGGTGGTGTACACACGATCCATTCATCATCACTGGCTTCTTTCATCTCAACAATATATCCTGAGATTGGTGCGCCACCATCATAAATGGGCCTACTCCATGCAAGCGAAACAGTTGTGCTTGAATAGTCTGTCACTTTGGGATTGCTTGGAGGGCCAGGTGGATAGGTTGCATCACAGGCTTTGTAAAATTCAGATGGTTCACTTGGCGTGCCAACACCTGCAGCATTTTCAGCAGATACTCTGAACTCATAAGAGTGTCCTTCCGCTAATCCAGTGGCTCTAAAACGCAGATCAGTTAGTCTTTTCCTGTTACACTTTGTCCATCGGACACCCTCTTTATCACGCTTCTCCAAGATATAGCTCTCAATTTGTGAGCCACCATCATCCTCTGGTCGTTCCCATGTAAGGACCATTGAGTCTCTAGTGATTGCACTTGCTTCTGGTGTTGAAGGAGGACCAGGTGTCTTGAAAGGATTTTTTGCAATGACTGGATCAGATTCAAGTGGTTCGCCAATACCATACTTGTTCACTGCCATGACTCTAAAGATGTACTCATTACCTGGTAAGAGTTTAGTGACTTTGTAACTGATAGCTTGAATTTTGGGTTCTACCATAGTCCAAGACAGTCTGCTGGTTTCCCTCTTTTCAATGATGTAATGAGATATACCAGCTCCACCATCATGTGTTGGATGGCTCCAGTGTAAATAGCATTTCTCTGCTCTGACACCAGTTACCTTCAGAGGCCCATCTGGTGGACCAGGCCTATCCAGCACTTTGACATTTACAGGCACTAGTTTTGTTCCACCTACATTGCTGAGACTTAGGACAAAATGTCCACCATCTACTCTTATGCAATCTTTAACAGTTAGAACAGTATGTGTAATAGTGGATTTAATTTCCATTCTTGGAGTAGCACTGTCAATTTCTTTTCCATCTTTTAGCCACATGATGTCAGGGAGTGGTTTTCCTGCAATGTCAGCATCAATTGTGAACGTGTCACCAGCATTCACAATTATGACATCCTTGAATTTTGAATCCATGGAGACTGAGGGGGCTTCAATCTCATCCTGTGCAGTAATTGGCCCAGTGCTTTCAGAAGGTTCACTTAAAACACCAGCTGCATTTCTTGCAATTACTCTGAATTCATATCTGTCTCCTTCTGTTAATTCTGTGATTGTAAATTGTGTATCAATTATATTAGTGAAACTGGCCTTCATCCAACGGCCATCAGGTAGCTTCTTCCTCTCAACAATATAACCTGTGATTGCACTGCCTCCGTCATATTGTGGCTTTTCCCACTGAAGTGTGACAAGATTCCTTGTGATAACAATAGCTTCAGGGGTTCCAGGGGGGTCACATGGATCACGTGCAACAACACTTTCTGAAACTTTGCTAGGTGGACTTATTCCTGCAATATTTTCAGCATACACTCTATATTCATACTCAATGCCTTCCTCAAGACCATTTGTTTTGAATCGAGTGTCAGCAATCAAAAGCTTGTTAAGTTTTGTCCACAAAATGCTGTTCTTCTCTTTGCGCTCAAGATGATAACCAATAACAGGACTGCCTCCGTTATTGCTAGGTGGCTTCCATTCAATAACCATATGATCTTTTGTTACAGAGGACACAAATGGCATACCAGGTGCTCCAGGTTCACTGAAAGGATAACTAACAATGACAGGTGCCGAGTCTAATGATGAGCTCTTTCCATATCTATTTTCCGCAAATACTCTAAACTGATATTCTGAACCAGTTTTCAGCTTAGATATTTTGATTGTTGTACGTGCAATGGTTGCAGAAACAATCTGCCAGGCTGTGGTAGTGGTGTCACGTTTTTCCACAATATAGTTGTTTATCTGACAACCACCAGTGTATATAGGAGGCTCCCAGGAAATGACAACATAGTTGGCACTTACTTCCTCAATTTTAACTGGCCCAACCGGTGGACCTGGTTTGTCTAGGATGATTATGCCAATTTCCTCTGAGACTGTGCCTACACTGTTTGTAGCTGTTATTGTATATTTGCCAGAATCCTCTCTATTAGCATCTTTGATGCTAAGAACTGTGGATGCTGCAGTGCATGAGACATTTAGTCTAGTTGTTTCTTTTAGTGCTTGTCCATCCTTAGTCCATGTAACCTTTGGTGCGGGACGACCTTTTACTGGAATTTCTATTTTGAGGTCCTCACCACATTGGACACTGTATGTATTGACAGTCATTTTGAGGGTTGGTTCAATTGTAATATCTTTGGCTGTGACTGGAGCAGCCAGTGGCCTTGGATCACTTTTTCCTTTATCATTAAAGGCTGAAACCCTGAAAAGATATTCTCTACCAGCACTGAGTCCTGTAACTGTACCCTCACATGTTTTCGTAGTCGTTGCTACTACCCAGTCTTCTGATCCTTTGGGCTGCATTTCAATATAATATCCTAGGATCCTACTACCCCCATCATGATCTGGTTTCTCCCATGACAGTGAAGCAGTGGTTTTAGTCACATCAGTTAAAGTTACCTTTCCCACAGATAGAGGAGGATCTGCAGTCTTTACAGATTCTTCTGTTTCTACAGACAGACCAACTCCAAACTCATTCTCTGCCATGACTCTGAAGTAATAAATGCCACCTTCAGTGAGATCACCAACACGCAAGCTAGTCTTTGTGCATTTTGTGGTAATGTTAGAGAAGGCTGGCCGAGTTGATTCACGCTTGTCCACAATGTAGTTCTTTATCTTTGCACCACCATCAATAAGTGGTGGCTCCCAAACAAGAGTGACATAATTTCTTGTGATATCTTTCACAATTAGGTTTAGTGGAGCACCTGGTGTATCCAGCACTTTCACTGAAACAAATGCTGACTTGGTACCACTGCTATTCTCTAGATTCAGCGTATATTTTCCAGCATCATTCCTGTCACAGATGTCAATTGAGAGCTGGGTGTAATCCAAACCCTTTTCAATTTGTGCTTTACTTGGTAGATCACCATCATCCTTTGTCCAGTTTATCTCTGGAGTGGGACGGCCCTTAAAAGGTATACTGATTCTCATAGATCCTCCAGCACGAACCACAATGCCCTTTCTTAATTCAGAATCAAGTTCAATTTCAGGAGGATCCATTTTATCGACTGGCTTCACTGTGCCTGGGATAGTAATTGGCTCACCAACACCCAGTTTATTCAGAGCACATATCTGAACCTTATACTCTTGGTGTTCTGTTAGTTTGGTTATTGTGAATTTAGTATCATTCAACCCAGTAGGTGGAGTACATGTTAGCCATTCCTCTTCATCAGCTTTGCAGATCTCTACAACATAGCCCTGGATGTCTAAACCACCATCATAAATTGGTCTACTCCATTCAATAGTCACTGAGTTCTTTGTGGTGTCAACAAGGTGTGCATTAGTTGGTGGACCAGGTTTAAATGTGGGATCACATGCTTTGTAATACACAGTTGGTGGACTTGGTTGTCCAACTCCAGCAGCGTTTTCTGAAGATACTCTGAATTCATATTCATGATCCTCTGTGAGGCCTGTAACTCTGAAACGAAGGTCTGTGACTCTGCGTTTGTTACATTTTGTCCATCTCACACCAGCTCTGTCTCTCTTCTCTACAATGTAACCACCAATCTCACTTCCACCATCAGTCTCAGGGCGAGTCCAGCACACCGTCATGGAATCCCTTGAAATATTTGTTATTTCTAGTTCTTTAGGAGCTCCAGGAGGAACAAATGGATTCCTCATAATTACTGGGACAGACTCCAAAGGTTCACCAACACCATATTTGTTGACAGCCATGACACGGAAGATGTACTCATTTCCTTTAAGAAGCTTAGTGACCTTGAACATAGTTGCTCCACAATCGCTAGACACTACAGTCCAAGCAAGACGACTTGTTTCTCTTTTCTGAATGACGTAATGAGAAACACTGCTACCACCATCATGTCTAGGAGGAAGCCATGATAATGAGCATTTCTCACTTGTAACATTAGAGACTGTTAAAGGACCATCTGGGGGCCCAGGTCTATCGAGCACTCTTATATTGAATGGCACAGATTTAGTTCCACCAACATTAGTAAGGTGCAAAGTGTACTGCCCTCCATCAATTCTAATGGCATCTTTAACAACAAGGATGGCTTTGAAATTAGTGTTCTTGGTCTCTGCTCTTGCTGATGTTTCAACTTCCACATCACCTTTGAACCACTGCATTGTTGGAACTGGCTTTCCCAGTACAGAAGCCTCCAGTGTAAATGTGTCTCCAGCATTTACAGTGATTATTTGGCTGTACTGTGAGTCAACCTCACAAGTTGGTGGCTGAACTTCATCCTTAGCTGTGATTGGCCCAGTGCATTCAGAAGGCTTGCTGACTGATCCAGCACCATTTCTGGCAATCACTCTGAAGTCATACTTTGAGTCTTCTGTCAGACCTGTGACTGTAAATTCAGTTTCAAGAATATTTGTGAAGCTTGCTTTCATCCAGCGGCCATTTGGTAGGTCTCTCTTCTCCACAACATACCCAGTGACCAGACTGCCTCCATCATATTCTGGTGGTGTCCATCTGAGCATCACTGAGTGTCTTGTCACAATTACTGGCACAGGAGTACCAGGAGGATCACATGGGTCACGTGCCACACAACCCTCAGAAACTTTGCTGCATTTGCCAATTCCAACAATATTTTCAGCAGAGACTTTGAACTCATATTCTATACCTTCCTCCAGTGGTGATGTTTTAAATCTAGTGTCTTGAATAAGTGTTTTGTTTATCTTTGTCCACAGAATACTGTTCTTTTCTTTTCTCTCAAGATGATATCCAAGAATAGCACTGCCACCATCTGAAACTGGTTTGTGCCACTCAACAACCATAGACTCTTTTGTGAATGCTGACACAAATGGAGTTCCAGGGGGACCTGGCTCTTTGAAAGGGTACTGAGCAACAACTGGTTCTGAGTCTATTGCGTAGCTTTTGCCATATCTGTTCTCAGCAAAGATCCTGAACTGGTACTCAGCTCCAGTTTTCAAATTTCCAACTTTAAGTGTAGTCCTTGCCACTGTAGCTGAAACAACTACCCAGTTGGTTGTAGTAGTATCTCTCTTTTGTACAATATAATTTGATATCTGACAACCTCCAGTGTACGTTGGAGGATCCCATGACAATGTAATACTTTCTGCGCTTATTTCATCTATCCTGACTGGACCTGTTGGTGGACCAGGTTTTTCAAGTATGATGACTTCAACAGTGGCTTCTTTTTGTCCAAGTATATTGGCCACTGTAATGTTGTACATGCCACCATCCTCTCTTGTTGCATCTTTAATAGACAGAGTTGTGTGGTGTGCAGTGTCTGCAACATTAACTCTTGTGGTCTGTTTCAGAGCTGTACCATCTTTAGTCCATGAAATAGTTGGTTTTGGATGACCAGTGATACGGGCCTCAATTTTCAAGTCATGGCCAACTTGTACACTGTAGGTACTAAGTTTTGTCCTCACAGATGGATCAATTACAAGGTCCTTTGCAGTGACAGGATGTGCTAGAAATCTAGGATCACTCTTTCCTTTGTCATTAACTGCAATGACTCTGAAACTGTACTCTTCACCTTGGACTAAATTGGTAACAGTGGTGTCAAGTGATTTAACTTGTGCACATAAAGACCATTTTTCAATGCCCTTTGCTTGCATCTCAACTTCATAGTGGGTGATTCGGCTGCCTCCATCATGTTCTGGTTTTTCCCAAGACAAAGATATGCTCTTGCGTGTAACATCCACTACAGTGATTTTTCCTGGTGGTTGTGGTACTTCTGAGATTTTCAGTGGTTCTGGGGTCTCAGCAGGTAAACCAATACCATGTTCATTTTCAGCAAGAACTCTGAAGAAGTAGTTGCGTCCCTCTTCAAGTTGTTCAATCTTGTATGTCATTTTGTTGCAGGAAGCCACAGCAGAGTATACCTTTCTTGTGCTCTCGCGCTTCTCAATAATATAATTTTTTATCTTAGCTCCACCATCCAGCAAAGGTGGCTCCCATGTCAAGGTAACTGAATTCTTTGTTATTTCCTTCACATGGAAGTTTGCTGGTGCATCAGGAGTGTCAAGTACTCTGACACTAATAAATGCAGACTTTGTTCCACTTGAATTTTCCAAAGACAAAGTGTATTTACCACTGTCAAATCTGTTGATGTTTTCAATTACAAGAGAGGTATAGCTGCTTGTGATATCAATTTGTGCTGTCTCATTAATTTCTCCTTCAGCTTTTCCCCATTTGACCTCAGGAGCGGGTCGGCCTCTGATGGGAACAAATAATCTAAGGGATCCTCCAGCCCTAACAGTGATCATTTTTCTCAAGTCAGCATCAAGATCAATATCTGGTGCTTCAAGTTTATCTTCCATGAGTATAGATCCTTTGATATCAGCATTTTCGCCAACTCCAACCTTATTTATGGCACAAATTCTGAATTTGTATTCATGTTTTTCCAACAGTTTTTTAACTTCAAATCTTGTTTCTGTGATTCCAGTGGGTGGTGTGCACATTGTCCATTCATCAGATGTGCCTTCACAGGCCTCAACAATATAACCTTGAATCTCACAACCACCATCATAAATAGGTTTTCCCCATTGTAGTACAACAGATGACCTAGAGATATCAATAACCTTGGGATTGTTTGGTGGTCCTGGCCTGAAGACTGGATCCACTGCCTTGTAGTACACGGTGGGGGAACTTGGCTTGCCAACTCCTGCTGCATTCTCAGCAGAGACACGGAATTCATAACTGCGATTTTCAAGAAGGCCTGCCACTCTGAAGCGGAGTTCACTAACCACACGTTTATTGCATCTTGTCCATCTAACACCTTCTTTATCCCGCTTTTCAATTACATATCCAGTAATTGCATTACCTCCATCATTAGTAGGTCTTTCCCATGTAACAACCATTGAGTCTTTTGTAATGTTGGATACCTCAACACCAGTAGGTGCATCAGGTGTGACAAATGGATTTGCTGCAATAACTGGGTCAGATTCCAGAGGCTCACCAATTCCATATTTGTTGACAGGGATAACTCTGAATATGTACTCATTTCCTGGAAGAAGCTTGGTAATCTTCAGATTCAGGGTTTGTACCTTAGATTCCACAACAGTCCAAACTAATCGGCTGGTTTCCCTTCTCTCAACAATGTAATGAGATACCTCAGCACCTCCATCATGTAAGGGTGTTTTCCAAGCTATGCAACATTTCTCACTTGTAACCCCATAAATTGAAATTGGCCCACCTGGTGGCCCAGGCCTGTCTAGAACTTTGACATTGACACTTACAGATTTCTCTCCACCAACATTTTTCAATAATAGCATATACTGGCCTCCATCAACACGAATAGCCTCTTTTACACTTAAAGAAGTTGTGAAGTCAGTACTCTTAATCTCCAGTCTAGCTGTATTTGTAAGTGCTTCACCAGCTTTAATCCAGTGAATTGATGGAATGGGCTTGCCAAATATTCCAGCATCAATCTTGAATGATTCTCCAGCATTAACAACAATAGTTTGAGAATATTTAGCATCCAAATCAATCAAAGGTGGCTCCACTTCATCCTTTGCTGTGATGGCACCTGTACTGTCAGATGGAATGCTGGATACCCCTGCAGCATTCCTTGCAATGACACGGAATTCATATTGTTGGTCTTCCACCAAGCCACTGACGACAAATTCAGTTTCTAATATATTAGTGAAACTAGCTTTCATCCAGCGACCATTAGGCAACTCTTTCTTCTCAACAACATAGCCTGTGACCCTGCTGCCACCATCAAACTCTGGTGCTGTCCATCGTAGTGTGACAGAACTTCTGGTGACAATCACTGCCTCAGGTTTGCCTGGAGGATCACAAGGATCTCTTGCCACCTGGATTTCTGACACTTTGCTAGCTTTGCTCAGACCAACAATATTCTCGGCATAAACTCTAAACTCATATTCAATGCCTTCTTCAAGACCACTGACCTTGAATCTTGAGTCTGGAATTATTGTCTTATTTTGTTTCACCCATAGGAGGCTATTTCTTTCCTTACTCTCAAGATGGTAGCCGAGAATCTTGCTTCCGCCATCACTGCCAGGCTTGTTCCATACAACAACCATGCTTTCTTTGGTAACAGACTGAACCGTGGGAGTTCCTGGTGCACTTGGGACTTCAAATGGATACTGTGCAAGTACAGGCTCAGATAGTAGAAATGAGCTCTTTCCATATCTGTTTTCAGCTGCAATCCTGAATTGATATTCACAGCCAGTCTTTAGTCTTGCAGCCTTAATTGTTGTTCTAGCCACTGTTGCTGACACAATCTGCCAGTTTGTGGTAGATGTGTCTCTTTTTTCTACAATATAATTGTTGATTGTACAGCCGCCTTCATACTCTGGTGGTTGCCAGGAGAGTATCACACTCTCTGCAGTTACTTCATCTATTTTGATCGGGCCAGTTGGAGGACCAGGTTTGTCTAGTATGACAACAGTAATGTCAGTTGTGGCCTCTCCAGCTGAGTTTGTAATCTTGATAGTATATGTGCCCACATCATCCCGTGTTGCCTCCTTGATTACAAGATATAGATGCCTATCGGTTACTTCAGCATTTACTCTTGTTGTCTCTTTCAGAGCAATGCCATCTTTGAGCCAGGTGACTGCTGCCTTAGGTTGAGCAACATAAGGTACATCTATCTTGAGGTCGTCACCTGCCAGCACACTAAATGTACTGAATAAAAGCTTGAATGCAGGGGTGATAACAAGGTCCCTTGCTACCACAGGCACATTGAGTGGACGAGGATCACTTATTCCTTTTTCATTTGTTGCAGATATACGGAATGAGTACTCTTCACCTTGAGTCAGACCAGCAATAACTGCCTCTGTTACTTTAACTGTCATGACCTGAGTCCACTTGTCACTACCTTTCCCTTGCATTTCCACAATATATCCTGTTATCCTACTTCCTCCATCATGATCTGGCTTCTCCCAAGACAGAGTTACACTGCTGCCTGTAACTTCTTTAAGAGTCACTTTGCCAGGAGGAAGAGGCTTTTCAGAAATCTTGACAGGTTCAGCAGTTTCAACAGGGAGACCAACACCATATTCATTTTCAGCCAAAATTCTGAAGAAATACAAGCAACCCTCTTGCAGATCACCAATTCTCCAGCTTGTTTTGGGGCAGGATGCATTTACAATAGAGTATGCCTTTCTTGTTGATTCACGTTTTTCTACAAGGTAGTGCCTGACTCTTGACCCACCATCAATGATCGGAGGATCCCAGATTAGCGAGACTGAGTCTTTTGTAATTTCCTTAATTGTCAGGTTTTGTGGTGCTCCTGGAGTGTCAAGCACCCTCACATTCACAAATGCTGTTTTGCTTCCAGAGCTGTTTTCCACTGTTAGCATATACTTCCCACCATCAAACCTGTCAACATTCTCAACAACAAGTGATGTGAATGATGATGTTACCTCAATGGATGCTCTGTCAAGAGGTTCACCATTCTCTCTAGACCATTTAACTTCTGGTGCAGGTCTTCCTTTAATTGGCACAAATAATCTCAGAGTGCTGCAAGCTCTAATGTTTACTACTTTGCGAAGGTCTGAATCAAGCTCAATTTCTGGAGGAAGATATCTGTCCTCTGCTTTTGGTGAGCCAGGTACAGATGCAGGCTCTCCAACACCCTCACAGTTCAAAGCAGAAATATTTATTTTATATTCTTGGTTTTCAATTAGATTTGTTATGGTAAATGAAGTTCCTGTAAGACCTTCCCTTGGAGTGACAATTGTCCATTCATCTTCTTCTGGTAGGCACGTTTCCACAATATACCCTGTAATGTCTGAGCCACCATCATAAACTGGTTTGTTCCAGGCAATAGTAATAGATGACTTGGTTGTGTCCAAAACTCTTGGATTCCCTGGAGGTCCAGGCTGGAATATTGTGTCGCATGCCTTATAAAATGGACTTGACGGACTTGGAGCACTTAAACCAGCAGCATTCTCAGCAAGAACCCTGAATTCATATTCATGCCCTGGTGTAAGTCCAGATACTTTGAAGCGCAGATCAGTAACAGTTCTCTTGTTGCATTTGACCCATCGAAGACCAGTTTTATCCCGTCTTTCTATTATATAAGTATTAATGGGACTTCCTCCATTACTTTCAGGGTGCCCCCAGCACACCACCATAGAGTCCTTTGTGATTGTTGTTACTTCAGGGGCTTGTGGTGGATCAGAGGGTACATATGGGTTGGTTGCAACAGCAGGCTCAGACTCAAGGGGTTCTCCAACTCCATATTTATTCACAGCCATAACTCTGAAGATATATTCATTTCCTTTCAGCAATTTGGTAACCTTATAGCGGTTAACTTGTAAATCTGTGGCTACATTTGTCCATGCAAGTCTGCTTGTTTCACGTCTCTGAATGATGTAATATTCAATCTTTGCTCCCCCATCTTGAAGTGGTGGCAACCATGACAGAATACATTTCTCTGTTGTCATGTCTGTAACATGAAGTGGTCCTTCTGGAGGCCCAGGCCTGTCAAGGACTTTAACATTAAATACAAACTTGGCAAATCCTCCAGGATTACTAGCAGTCAGAGTAAATGCACCTCCATCTCTTCGTGCAGAGTCTTTGTTGATCAAACATGTGTAGAAGTCTGCTGTTTTGATTTCTAGTTTTGCAGTATCTTCAAGCTCCTTCCCATCTTTGGTCCATACCAAGGATGGGATTGGTCTTCCAGTAACATTTGCATCTAGTTTGAAGACATCTCCTGCTTTAACCACCACAACAGTGCTAAAGCTGGAATCAACATCAAGTTTTGGTTCCTCAATATCATCCCTGCAGATTATGACCTCAGAAGGTTTGGAGGGGATACTGACAGATCCAGCAGAATTTCTTGCAAAGACACGGAATTCATATGAAGCATCTTCTGTAAGACCACTTACAGTGAAGTTTGTCTCAAGGATGTTGCTGAAGTTGGCTTTAAGCCAGCGACCACTGGGTAGTTCTCTCTTTTCCACTGTGTATCCAGTGATTGGGAAACCACCATCACCCTCTGGCCTCATCCACTGAAGAGTAACCTCATGTCTTGTTATATTAATTGCCACTGGTTGACTGGGAGGGTCAACTGGATCAAGTGCATATGCCATCTCAGATGGCTTACTTGGCTTGCTAAGACCAGCCATGTTTTCAGCAATAACACGGAACTCATATGCAATAGCATCCATGAGACCTGATGATTTGAAAATGTTTCCAACTACAAGAGCTTTGCTGATCCGCTGCCAAAGGATGCTGTTTTTCTCTTTCCTCTCAATATGATATCCCAAAATTGGGCTTCCACCATCTGAAGAGGGTTCATTCCAACTGATTGTAATAGAGTCTTTTGTAAAGGCAACAACTTGTGGGATTCCTGGTTGGCCTGGTACATCAAATGGATAAGCAGCAACAACTGGTTCTGATGTTATGGAGGGGCCAACACCATATCTATTTTGAGCTTTAACACGGAACTGATACTCAATTCCAGTTGTAAGACGTGCAGCTTTGAATGTTGTCCTAATGACAGTAGCTGCCAGCTCCACCCAAGAGGTGCCTGTGGTCTCTCTCATTTCAACTATATAATTATTGATAGGAACTCCTCCATCATTCTCTGGTGCATCCCAAGATATAAGTACATAGTCACAGGACACTTCATCAATCTTTATTGGTCCCATTGGAGGTCCTGGGATGTCATGTACTTGGACAGTAATGATCTCTGTCACAGTTCCTAATATATTCTTTCCTGTCATTGAATACTGTCCTCCATCCTTTCTCTTGATTTCACGTATGTTGAGAATTGTAGAGGTCGCTGTGTCATCAACGTTGATTCTCTGTGTCTGTTTAAGTTCTTGATCATCTTTTTTCCAGACAACTGATGGTCTTGGACGACCCAAAACAGGGATTTCCACCTTCACATTATCCCCTGCTTTGGCTACTACCAACTTCTGATAGACACCTCGGAGATCAAATCCTGGTGGTGTGGTCTGCTCCTTAATTACAACTGGCCGGCTTTCACGAGGTTCACTTCTGCCTGAGCTGTTCACAGCAAAGACACGGAATATATACTCTGCATTTTCTGTCAAATCTGTTGAGGTATAGTCCAAAGCCTTTACTGTTGTCACATGGACCCACTGGTCAGAATCCTTCTTCTGAGCCTCAATCACATAGCCAGTGATTCTGCTACCACCATCATGTTTTGGCTTGGTCCATGCAAGAGTTGCTGTGTCCTTTGACACATCAGTAACTATTAGATTGTCTGGTGCAGATGGAGCTTGAGAAGCTCTGATTGGCTCAGCTGTCTCTGCTGCCTCACCAATACCTCGTTCATTTTCGGCTGAAACTCTGAAATAATATTCAGCTCCCTCTTCTAAATCGGTAACTTTGTAGGAACACTTTTGGCAGTTTGTAGTGATCGTTGTGAAAGCCTTTCGGGTTGCATCACGCTTTTCAATGATGTAATTTATGATCTTAGATCCGCCATCAATAATTGGAATCTCCCACTGAAGAGTGATACTGGTTTTAGTGATTTCTCTTGGCTTCAGGTTGACTGGTGGTCCTGGTGTGTCCACAACTCTGACATTAACAAATCCCGTCTTCTTTCCAGCAACATTTTCTAACATCAAAATGTATTTGCCAGCATCATACCTTGTGCACTCGGGAACAACTAATAAAGTGTATGACTCAGTAGTATCAATGTGGGCACGACCTTTAAGAGGAACATCTTCTTTCATCCATGTAACTTCTGGAGTTGGACGACCTTTAATTGGCACAAATATACGAATAGAACCACCTGAGCGAACAACAAGTGTTCTTCTCAGTTCCGCATCAAGTTCAAAGTCAGGAACCTCTTCACGGTCAACAAGTTCCACAACTTTGTCAACTTCAGCAGGTTCCCCACGTCCCTCTGAATTAACTGCACTAACTCTGAAATAATATTTCCCTCCTGCTTGTAGGTTTGGAACTACAAACTCATTTATCCTCAATAGAGAAGTTGTGGCTTGAACCCAGTCATCAACTCCCTCCTTTTTGTACTCAACAATGTATCCAGTCACGTTGAGTCCACCATCATAAAAGGGTCTTCCCCAGTTGAACGTGGCTGTCGTTTTGGTGGTATCAGTGATTCTTGGATTGGATGGAGGCCCTGGAGGATCTGGAAATGAAGAAAATATTTGTTATTAAGTTAAAAATACAAGTGAGACAAATCTTTGAAAACACAAAATATAAAGTGAGAAATATTTAATTTACTTACATGCTATGTCCTTTGTAAGCACTGGTTGTGATGGCTCACTAGGTTCTCCAAAACCAGCTTTGTTCTCTGCAGTTACACGGAACTCGTATTCAACTCCTTCAGTGAGTCCTGATACTTTGTAACGTAGATCAGAGATGGTCTTCTTTGAAGCTCTAACCCATCTCATACCTCTTCTCTCTTTCCTCTCAACACTATATCCTCTAATGTCGCTTCCTCCATCCAAAACTGGCCTCTTCCATGAAATGGTTACAGCGCTTCTGCTGACATTATCAATTTCAGGCTTTGATGGTGGCCCAGGGGGTCCTGTTATGAATAAAAAGACATTTGTAATAATACATCACAGCAGAACAGTAAAATACACAGCTACACACAAACTTGAACTTACCGAAACTATCAACCATTCTGACTGGACCAGACTGGTTTGCATCGCCAGTACCATATTGATTCACAGCTGAAACACGGAAGATGTATTCATTGCCCTTAATCAATTTGCTGGCCACATAACGGCAATCCATTACATTTTCTGCAAGCTTTGTCCAAAGGAGGCGGCTAGTTTCTCTTTTTTCAAGAATGTATGACTTGATGGCGCATCCTCCATCTTCATCTGGTGGTAACCATGTCAATGTGCACTTTTCAGCAGAGACACTGCTGGCTTCAATAGGACCTGGTGGACCAGGTACATCAAGGACTTTTACTTTCACTTTTTCTTCCTTAATACCAAATGGATTGCTTGCAGTGATTGTATATTCTCCAGTGTTTTTTCTGCTGGCATATTTGATTGAGATAGTTGAAGACGTGGGAGTGTTTGTTATCTGGACAACATCTGAAGGCTTGAATTCTCTTCCTCCCTTAGACCATACAGCTGTAGGTGGTGGCTTGCCAAGAATGCTTGAAGCAGTAATCACAATAGTTTCTCCAGCCCTGACAGTGACACCATCCTTCATTTCAGGATCAATTGTAATAGAAGGTGGCTCTGCAAAAGGAAGACAGATAAATTATAGTCTGGTTTTGACTGTTAGACAAATTAGAATTACTCACACCCTTTGAGTAAAACTTACCATATTCATCTTTGCAGATGAGGGTGTCAGTTTGCTCTGAGGGAGCACTGATAGCACCTGCCGCATTCTTTGCTCTAATTCTGAAATCATACATGCACCCTTCTATTAAATCTGTTACTGTGAAGGCACAGCTCTGGATATTGACATGGTTTGCTTTCATCCACGCCTTTCCTGGATGCTCCAGTTTCTCAACAATGTAGCCAGTTAGCTTGTGGCCTCCATCATATTTAGGTGCAGTCCAAATGAGTGTTACACTGTTCCTTGTAACGCTGATCACATCAGGTTTGCCAGGAGGATCTAAAGAATTGAGTTAAACCATAATACATTAAATATTCATTATGTGGCATTACACAAAAGCTTGCAATAAATAAAATCATTGATTGTAAAATAACATTGACTTACCAATTGGATCAAGTGCAACAAGTGCTTCAGTGGGTTTGCTTGGTTTTCCAAGTCCAGCCATATTTATAGCCATCACTCTGAATTCATACTCAAGACCTTCAACTAAGCCTGTCACTCTGCACTCCTTCACTCTCAGAGGTGTTTTGCTGGCTCTCTTCCACAATAAACTGTTCCTGTCTTTGAATTCCACATGATATCCTGAATTCAAAAGGAAAATAGATTCATTTGCTTGGTTTCACAGTTTCACAAATTCAGAACAAACGCATCAGAAATGTGAAAAAGGAAATATTTACCTGTAATAGGAGAGCCTCCGGTATCTTTTGGATCAGACCATGACACAATGGCAGACTCATGGCGAATACTCAGGACCTCCGGTGGAGCTGGTGCCTCTGGGGCATCTTTTGGAAAGAAAAATCAAACTTTTAAGGCTACCTGCTTGAAAAAGGCTTATTATGATTCTTATTTTAATATGGTCTTATCCTTTTTCTTTTCATGATCTGTACTTTAAATTATAAAAGTTTTGAATATTCATTCTAGTAAGGCAACATTTGGTTAATACTAGAAAATGAATGTAAACCACAACTGTTAACTGGTAATGTATTTTAGTGAGTTCCATCAAAGGATGTTTAACCAAACTGTTTTTGTTAAGGCAATCAATGAACACTTACTGAATGGATGTTTGGCCACCACTGGATCAGATCTGAGGAACTCTCCTACACCATATTTGTTTTCAGCACACACTCTGAATAGATACTCTGTGCCATCATGGAGTCTTGTGACTCTCATGGTGTTCTTCTGAATGGCTGAAGCAACTGTTGCCCACTTATTACTTGTAGAATGCCTCTTTTCTACGATGTAGTTGGAAATTTCTGATCCACCATCATCTTTGGGTGGGCCCCACTCCAAAGTAATTCCATCAGCTGTGATTTCATCAAACATGATGGGCCCTGTGCAAATTCCAGGCTTTCCAACCACCTTGATGTCAATGGTGGATTCCTTGGTTCCTGCACTGTTTTTCAAAATTATAGAGTATTTCTCAGCATCACCTCTTTGACAGTCACGTATCAGCAAAGTTGTGTTTGTTGCTGTGGATTCCACAGAGATTCTTCCACTATCTCCCAAAGTAACACCACTCTTCTTCCACATGACTGTGGGAACAGGAATGCCAGTAATGGGGACTGTGAGGCGAACAGTGCTTCCCTCCTTTGCCACATAACAAGAGTCTGGCAAGCCTTTAAGGTCACAATCTGGCAGAACTGCAAAGGCAATAGAGAAATATTGTTATTTCAATGTAAATGGCTTTTGAAAATACTGCATAACTAGAAAATAACATGTAGTATAACTGTTCGATATTAAAATAATTCATATTAGTGCTTAATATTAAAGCTAATAACTTGAAAGGGAAATGTTACTGACACATACCGACTTGATCCTTAGCCATCACAGTGAGTTCAGCTGGGGGTCCTTCAGAAGACTCATTGAAAGCTTTCACTCTAAAGGAGTATTCTTTTCCTTCCTGTAAGTCCTTTACTGTGTATTGTAGGAACTTGGACTTCATGAGCTGCTTCCATTTGTCTTCACCTTCACTGATCTCTAGAGTATAGGCAACAATATGACTTCCACCATCACTGACAGGCTTCTTCCAACTAAGAGTGCAGGAATCCTTGGTGACCAGTGCAGGCTTGAAGTCTGTAACTGGTCCAGGTTGCTCTGCAAAACAGGTCATGATTTGAGTAATTTTGTGTAGCTTGGAGTTTGAACAGGAACTCGCACCACATTGTTAAATAAAGTCCAATTTGGGCACAAAAACACACAATTCTCACCTGAGGCTTTCACTGGTCCAGCTGTCTCACAGCCCTCACCAATACCGTACACATTTTCAGCTGAGACTCTGAAACAGTAGGCTTTTCCAGCTTCCAAATTAGGAATTCTGAAAGATGTTTTGGGACACTCAGGAGCAACACAGGTCCATGCCTTCCTCTCTGCTAGACGTTTTTCAACAACATAGCTCTTCACTGGACTTCCGCCATCAACTTGTGGAGCATCCCAAGTAATGGATGCATGATTTTTTGATGTCTCTTTGACAATTAGATTGAGTGGTGGTCCAGGTGTGTCTACATAGAGTGACATAAATATGTTAAAACTACTATAGATAGACTATTATAGCTTTAAAAGGCAATTTCTGGGCTATAATTCTTTAAAAATAAAGAAAACAAAAAAAAAAAACATTTTACCTAAGACCTTGACAACAATAGTGTAGGACTTTGTGCCACTGCTGTTCTCAAGGGTTAGTACATATTTTCCAGCATCATATCTGTTGATGTCCTCACAGTATACATATGTATCCCATTCAGTTGTGGTGATCGTAAGACCTTGCCTCTCCTTCAAGTTAGCATTGACCTTGCTCCATGCTACTTTTGGTGCAGGACGACCTCTGATTGGCACATAGATTCTCATTGTAACTCCAGCACGCAATACCAGTGCTTTCCTAAGATCTGCATCAAGTTCAGCCTCAGGAGCAACTAAAAGAAAATTAAAATAAAAAAGCCGTTAGAAAATTGTGAGTCAGGTAGTTGTAGAAACTCATGTACATGTAGAAACTCAGCTTGAGGATTCACATACTTAAAATGTCCTGTGCCAGATGCTTCCCGGGAACTTCGCTTGGCTCACTGTAGCCAATCTTGTTCACAGCAGTCACACGGAATTGATACTCAGTGTTGTCGATAAGACCACTAACAAGGAACTTTGTCGCCTGGAGATTCTTTGGCATATTACATTTCAACCACTCCTCTGAATCTGCTCTCTTTACCTCAACTAAGTAGCCCAAGATTTCACAGCCACCATCATAGGCAGGCTTGGTCCAGGATAGACTGACTGAGCTATGTGTAGAGTCAACAACTTTGGGAAAAGCAGGTGGGCCAGGAGGATCTGCAGTAAAAAGAAAAGATAAACGTGTCTCAAAACTGATAAAATGGTGGACAAAAGTGGATTATATATTGGGAACTTTACTCACACAATGGGTCCACTGCAAGTGCAGCTTGAGAGGCATCACTTGGTTTACCAAGACCAGCCTTGTTGAGAGCAATAACTCTAAACTCATATTCTGAACCCTCAGTGAGACCTCCAGCTTTAATAGTTCTATCAATGACAGGTCTTCTATTTATTTTGGACCAATTGACCTCCTGAATTTCACGCTTCTCAACCATGTATCCAAGGATCGGGGCCTTGCCATCATCAGCAGGAGCCTTCCAGCTTACAGTCATATGGTCTTTGGTGACATTGGTAATAACTGGAGGGTCACACGGTCCAGGAACATCTGTATGTGTGAATTACATCGCAATTATGACATTGGTGAATTATGAATCTCAAAATAATTTTAATATTTTTAGTCAATAAATTGTGCATTTAGAATGAATGTAAATAAAAGTAGGAAATATAAATACTTACCAAAAGGATTCTTGGCAATCACAGAGTTAGTGACAATTGGGTCACCAACACCATATTTGTTCTCAGCGCTGATGCGGAACTCATATTCATGGCCTTCAATTAGTTTCTCCACTGAGCAGTCCGTGATGTGGCCACTAAGATTGGAAGTAACCTGAGCCCAGTTAGCTCTGCTTGTCTCACGTTTGTCAATAATGTAGTTGGTTATTTCAGCACCACCATCTGAAAGGGGTGGCTCCCATCTCAGTTTAACCCGGTCAGCAAAAACTTGGCTGATCTTAACTGATGCTGGGGGTCCAGGTTTGTCTGTGGAAAGATTTTTTACCAAGCTGTCAATAGCAATTCACAATACAGCTATTTAAAATTCCCAGAAATAACAGCTTTTGCTTTGCGTCCTCTGATATTTCAGAAAGAATTTGTGATAAGAGTAGAGCTGATAAATGTGAACACCTTATTTAAAGTGGCACTCGTGTCAAAATAAAATGTTAACCATGGAAACAGCTGTTTTAACGTGGTTACTCTTCTCCTGTGATAGTGCTGCAATAGTCAGGTTTGCACTACTGCGCACTACTATGAATATTTTCTGTGATGTATTAATGTCCTTTTCAATAGTCTTTAACCACTTTTTGCGAAGTTCAACATATTTTTACAGGAAAACTGTTTGCATATTTAGAAGGTGCTCTTTGATGAAAAAAAGTCTTGTTTGACAACTGAAGTAAGAGCTACACTAATGCTAGCTAGCACCATGGTTGTAGAATAACTCCAATATGCTAGGGGAAACAAGGTGTTATTAAATTATTAATGGCACTGTCAACATTGCTAAAAAACTTACCTAATACTTTCAGCTTAATGTTGCCAGACTTAGTGCCACTTGGGTTCTCAGCAACAATTGTGTACTCTCCAGACTCCTTCCTTGTCACAGAGAACAATTCTAAGAGGAAGAGATGTCTTTTCTGAGACATCTTTATGCCTTCAACAAGTTTCAGTGGCACACCATCTCTCCTCCATGTCACTTTTGGTAGCGGTTTGCCATAAACCTCAGCCTCAAGGCAGACATTTGTTCCAGCTTTGACTGTGATAAGGCTCTTCATTTCTAGACCAATCTCAACCCTTGGTGGAACTGAAATGTGTGGAACAAAAAGGAGATATTATTAGCTGCTTTGTTTAAAGCATCTGATGTTGATAAAAATTAAAAATTTGAGTGGAAAAATACTTACCATGCTCTGCAATCACTGTTATAACATCAGACTCTTCTGAAGGCAGACTGACATTAATTGCTGTCTTTGCAATGATTCTGAACTTGTATTGGGCTCCCTCTTCAAGTCCAGTGACAATGTAGTCCTCTTTTGGCACATTTTGACTACTTGCATTGACACGAATCCATTTGTCACCGGGAAGCTTCAAAGACTCGACATAATAACCAATGAGTTTGCTACCACCATCGTGTTTTGGACGGTTCCAGACAAGAGATACAGAATTCCTTGTTACGTCGAGGACCTCAGGTTTTCCAGGTGGATCTAATAAAAATTTGATAAAAATGACATTGTCAGATGACATTAAGGAATGTTAGTAACATATCCACATTCCCTTTACTATACATACCAACTGGGGCCCTTGCTGTAATGATCTCTGTTGGTTTGCTTGGTTTGCCCTGTCCCGCCTTGTTCACAGCAGACACTCTAAATGTATATTCAAGACCCTCAATAAGGCCAGAGCAGGAGTATTCAGTTGCACGAACAAGGGTCTCATTTGCCTTGACCCATAGAATGCTATTTCTCTCCTTACGCTCAATGGAGTATCCTATAATAGGGCTACCACCATCATTGGTCGGTCTCTCCCAGGACAAAACAACAGATTCCTTGTTGATTTTGTTAACACAGCAATTCCTTGGTTCACTGGGTGGATCTGTAACAAGAGTTACATTTTTGTTGAATTTTTGTTGAACTGTATTCTATAGATACTGCCATATTTTCTAAAATTGTTTCAAAATGACATTGATTAATATCAGTTAGTGACACCTATAATACCTATGATTTTTTTTTTATATATATTTTAGTGGTCAACCAGACCTACCAAATGGATATCTGGCAATCATTTTCTCAGAGTAGATTGGCTCTGAAACTCCAAAGCGATTCTCAGCACGCACTCGGAAGCCATACTCCTTGCCAGGGGTGAGCTTTACAACACGACAACTGGTCTTGGTGCAAGAGGACACAGCAGGGACCCAGTCACCTCTGGTTATATCACATTTCTCAACAATGTAGTTAGTGATGTTGCTACCACCGTCCTCTGTTGGAGAGTTCCATGCAAGGGTACAGGCATCAATGTCTACCTCAAGAATTTCCAGGGGACCTTCCGGAGGACCAGGGATGTCTGGTGGAAACAGTGACATTTCAGTTGTCACAATGCATTTGTTAGGAAGATTCTCTATGTGCACTTTTTTCCCTTACAGGTTACTTACCTAAAATTATGATTCTAAGGATTTGGTTGACCTTAGAAATGCTGTTCTCAGCAGATAGGCTGTAATAACCACTGTCTTTCCTTGTTACATCTTTAATCATGAGCGTAGATGAAGATAATGTCTTTTGCACAAACAGACGATCAGATGTAACCAGGTCATCACTTCCTTTCTTCCATGTAGTGACCGGAACAGGCTTGCCATACACAAGCGCTTCAACTTTGAACTTTGTTCCTGCCTTTGCAGTGACCATATCAGGCATGATAATCTTTGGTGCCACTGAAAAATTAGAATAAAAAATTAGTATAATTTGGAGTGTGAAACATAAAATGTCATTTTGGTAAAACTGATAAATGGGAAATTTAGCTACATGACATTCTTTAATACATACTCAGCTGTTCTTTCACTTCAAAGATTCCTTCAGCCTCTCTTGGCAGACTGCATCCTACAGAGTTTCTGGCAGCAACCCTGAATCTATACTTTGTGTTCTCTTTCAGACCAACAACAACAATGCTCAAGTCTTTTACAACTGAGTAAGTTGTCCATTTGTCTTCAGGTTGGCCAGCCTCCTGATAATCAACAATGTAACCATTTATCTTAGCTCCGCCATCTCGCAGAGGCTTTACCCAGCCAAGTGTTGCACTGTTTTTTGAGATCTCCAAGACATCCATCTTCTTTGGAGGATCTGGTTCACCTTTAGGGCAGAATCGATTGGAAGGTAATTGACTTGTATTCAGTATATTATGAAAATTAATATTCATGAAAAAGTATGCAGTATAAAGTCACTTACTCATTGGATCTGTGGCCAAGTAGGATTTTGGAGAGTCCTTTGGTACCCCAATACCATACTTGTTTACTGCAATGACCCTGAAGTAGTATTCAGTTCCAGGCGTCAGGTTTGTGATTTTGAAGCTTGTCTTCTTTAAGTCGTTAGTGCAATTTGTCCATGTCTTCCTATCTACTTCACGCTTTTCAACAATGTAATTCAGGATTGGACTGCCACCATCATTTTCTGGAGGTAACCAAGAGAGCTGGCAAGATGTCTTTGTGACATCAGTTGCCTCCAGTCCACCAACAGGCCCAGGAGTATCTATTAAACATTACATATTTGTTACTGCATTTATGTGTCATAAACAAGTCAGATGCTAAAGGTGTTGAGAAACAGGCAGAGTACTATTCTTAAACTTCATTTGTTTATTAACTTATATTTTATTATTAAATGTTAACTGTTAGTCAACATACCTAAGACCTTTACACGAACAAATATAGCTTTCTCTCCTGAGGGGTTTGAGAGTGTCAGAGAGTATTTTCCAGAGTCTTCACGTGTGCTCTCAGGGATCACAAGGAAGGTCATTGTATCAATCTGATCCACATGACCTCTCCTGACAACATTGTCAACTCCCATGCGTTTCCAGGTCACTTTTGGTGCTGGTCTTCCTCTGATTGTAGCAAACAGCCTTATGGGACATCCTGCTCTTACACTGAGTCCCTTCCTCAAACTGGCATCCAGATCAATTTCAGGTAATTCTGTATAAAAATATATTTTTAAATACCTGGCTTTTGATACAGTGCACTATTTTAAAGTAACCACGTACATTTAAGAATTAGAGGAAACACCTTACCGTGAATCTCTCTTGGTGACACAGCATCTTTAAGTCTTGCTGGACGGCCCATGCCAACTTGATTTTGTGCAGAGACACGGAATTCATATTGCTTCCTCTCATCCAAATTGAGCATTGTAAATTCAGTGAGAACAAGCTGTCCACTAGTGTTACATTTTGACCAGCCTTCCTCTGGATCTCTCTCTTGTTCACCTTCCATTTCAATCTTATCCCTCATCTCAACCAAATATCCTATGATTGGGGCACCACCATCATACACTGGCCTGACCCAGCCAAGTGTAACTGAAGTTTTTGTGCTGTCAACCACTTTCAGGCTTCCAGGAGGACCAGGGGGCTCTAAAATATTCATAAATGCAACCATTTTAGCATGTATATCATAAAGAAAAATGCAAGAGTCATGTACAAATTAAGACCTTTAAAAAATGTTAGAAATACATACCAATTGGATCTTTGGCAGCAATAGGTCTTGAGGGTTTGCTTGGTTCTCCCAACCCAACCTCATTTTCAGCCTTAACACGATACTGATATTCATGGTTGGGAATCAAGTTAGTTACTTTCATACGCCTCTCAGAAATAGGGCTCTTTGTAACTGCAACCCATCGTACAGCACGCTTCTCCTTTCTTTCCAGAATGTAGCCAGTAATGGATTTTCCACCATCATTTTCAGGAGGGGCCCAAATAACAGTCATCTCATCCTTGCCAATTTTAGTGACCTCTGGGGGATCAGGTGGACCAGGTCTGCTGAACTGTGTCTTGGCAGTAACAGGCTTGCTCTCCATTGGAGGACCTGTTCCCATCTTGTTTTCTGCCCTTACCCTAAAGATGTACTCATTACCTTCCACAAGGCGGGTAACGTTACAGTAGTTAGTGACCACTGAATCAGAGTAAGTTGACCAAACCATTCTTCTAGTCTCACATTTTTCTAGGATATAGCTGTCAACCTCACAACCACCATCATCCTCTGGAGGATCCCACACAACTCTACATTTGTCAGTGGAAATGCCAGAAACCCTGACGTCTCTTACAGGTCCTGGTATGTCCAGAACACTTATAGTTGCGTATGCAGTAAAACTGCCAGCTGAGTTTGTGGCAGTTATTACATATTTTCCAGTGTCAGAACGTTTAGCTTTGGTCATGAGGAACTTGGAGTAATCTGCCCCAGTGTCGATGCTGATCCTTGGGTTATCTCCTGTAGCTTTGTCCTTCACCCATTTGACCTCAGGTTGTGGTTTTCCTCTAAGAGCTGCCTCAAGTCTGACTGATTCACCAGCTTTAACCACTATAGTACCAGCAAATTTGAGGTCAAGGACTGGTTTTTGAATTTGTTCTTTGACAAGAATTTCGGATGTCGTCACCCAGTTGCTTTTCCCACCATCATTTGTTGCCTGAACTCTAAACTGATATGTTTGGTTCTCAGTGCATTTGTCTACCATAAAGAATGTGTCTTTAAGTATTTTATCATGTAAGCATTCCCATTCTTCAGCAGTCTTGGCTTTCCTCTCCAGAATGTAACCTAGGTTAGGGCTGCCACCATCATAATCTGGCCTTCTCCACCTCAAGAAAACAAAGTTCTTTCCAATATCAGCTACATGAAAGTTCTCTGGTTCACCAGGCTTCTGAAGTGGATCAATTGCAAGTATAGGTGTCTTGGTTTCTGTTGCTGGTCCAGGACCACACTTATTCTCTGCAGATACACGGAACAAATATTCATGATTCTCTAGGAGTTTTGCCTTTACTTTGCGGTTGGTGCAGTCAGAAGAGATCATTGACCATGCTCTAATGCTTGGCTCACGACACTCAACAATATAATTTGTAATCTCAGTGCCTCCATTGTCCTCAGGAGCATCCCAGTTCACCATACAAGCATTTTTGGTCACATATGTCAGCACAAGATTCCTGCAGTGTCCAGGTCTATCCAGTACATTTACAGTGATGTTGGCTGAGGCTTCACCACTGTCATTCACAGCCTTAAGAACATACACTCCGTGATCTGCCCTGGTTGCTTCCTTGATGTGCATACTCACTACAGGGAAATTATTTGTTAGAGTGGTACGTTTGTCCTTTTCTAAAACCTTCTCTCCCTTTGTCCAAGTAATCTCAGGATCAGGTCTTGCTTTCACATATCCAGTAATATTAATATTATGTCCTACACGGACTGTCACATGCGTACGGCATGTGACATCCATCTCAATCTCTGGGGGGATAAGAATATCTTTAGCAATAATTGACTCAGGGATTTCTCTTGTCTCACCATCTCCAATCATGTTGACAGCTCTAACACGGAATCTATATTCTGTGCCCTCAGTCAGTCCTTTGACTCTATAAGCACACTGTGCAATCAAATCATCTTTGTTGACTTTCTCCCATTCACCACCAGCTTTCTGCCATTCAACAATGTATCCCAAGATTGGACTCCCTCCATCTCTTGTAGGCTTTATCCAGACTAAGTCTGCATAGGTACAGCTATAGTCCTTAACTTTAGGGTTGACTGGAGGTCCAGGAACTGTGATTGGTCTGCAAGGTTTGGCTGGATCTGAGATAGGTGAAGGTCCACTAAAACCAGCAGTATTTTCAGCAAATACCCTAAATTCATAGTCGTTACCCTCAAAAAGTCCAAGAACTCTAAATCTGAGTTCCTTGCAAGGTGTCTTATTCACTCGAATCCATTTGCCTCCCTTATGTCTCCGCTCAATAATGTAACCAGTAATAGGACTACCACCATCATACAATGGCATTGTCCAACCAAGAGTGAGTGCATCCTCAGCAATATCAGATGCAGCAGGTTTTCCAGGATGGCCAGGGGGCTCAAACTGGTGCTTTGCCACAGTTGGTGCACTTTCAAGAGGTGCACCAACTCCCATCTTGTTTTCTGCACGGATTCTCACAACATATTCAACTCCACTCTGCAAACGAGAAATTTTAAGCCTTGTGGCAGTACTGCCAGAACTAACACCGCCCCAGGTTTCCTTGTTAGACTCTCTCTTTTCAACAATATAATTCATGACAGGACTTCCACCATCGTCTTTGGGAGGACGCCAGTCAATGACCATGGAATCTGGAGTGATCTCAAGGATGTTGACAGGGCCTATTGGTGCAGCTGGGACATCAAGTACAGTGACATTCATAGAAACAGTCTTACTTCCTGCAGGGTTAGAGACTGTGAGAATATAAATTCCAGTGTGATTTCTTGTGCAGTCTGCAATGTTCAACACAGTTGAAAAACTGTCTGTGTCAATCTTGGTATTTCCTTTAGTTCTAATTTCTTCTCCGTCAATGACCCACTTTGCAGTGGGTACTGGAATGCCCCTCATGATTGCAGGCAGTCTGATCGTGCTCCCTGCCTTCACAATAATTCCTTCAATCAGTTTCGCATCAACTTCAACAATTGGGGGAACTGCAAAAAGAGAAATACAATATAGATTTTAGAAGTATAAAAAATATATATATCTACTGAAATGACTGGATATTACACAATTGATTTTACCAAGTTTCTCTTGGCAGAGGACTGGCACAGTGGTATCTGGCCGGCTAAGACCAATTGCATTCTCTGTCTTAACACGGAATCTGTAGGTTTTGCCCTCCTCTAGTCCAGTCACATGGCATTCAGGAATGCTGACAGTCTTGAAGACAATCCAGTCTCTCTCACCCTCCTCTTGATACTCAACCAAAAAGCCAGTGATGTCACTTCCTCCTGTGCGATCAGGCCAATTCCACTGGAGCCACACCTCTGTTTTGTCAACATCTACATGATGCAGGTCCTTTGGTGGACCAGGTGGAACTGAAAGACAATACATTTTTGCACTTTTACTGGCAGCTTACCTTAACTCATGACAACACAGTCACTAATTCTTAGTATGTTTATACTTACACAGTGGGTTCATTGCCTTAACTGGTTTGGTTGTCTCAACATATTCACTCCTGCCAAATTGATTTTCAGCAGCGACACGGAACATATATGCTGTGCCTTCTATCAAGTGCTTGGCCATCAGACTTCGCTTTTTAGATGTTGAACAGACAGGCACCCACTGCGTGGAAGCAGTATCCTTCTTCTCTACCACGAAGTTAGTGATACGTGTACCACCGTTATCTTCTGGATCTTTCCAGGAAAGCTGAGCTGAGTCACTTCTAACATCAGACACCCTCAGATGCTGAATAGGCCCAGGTTTGTCTAGAACAGCACAAAAGGTTGCTATGTTTATAATGCAGAAAAAGGTGACATTCAAACTAAGATGTCAAGAACATTTTTATTTAATACTCATTGTCTCCCTGTGGCAAACAGGTTTCCATACATATATGCATTTTTTGGTAAAGTGAAATCTTCAATAAACAGCTATGGAACTGAAAACAAATAGAAAAAAGAAAACAAAAAATAAGTGTCTTACAAATTTTTGTAACCAATTTGACACTGTCTTGCAACTGTTAAAAGCAACATCACAGCTTAATGTTGCCATGTGTTTGATTCCTGTTCTGTCATCTTCAAAATATTAAATAAACTATATGTGAGAATAATAAGTTGCCAAACTTTTATGTTAACACAGTGTATCTATTTTTGGGTGTCTTAAGAATCATTCGATCTTTTACAATGTACATGAGATTTGAAAAATGAAATATAGAAAAGTTTAGAGATTTTTTTTTTACTGTGCATACAAAAAACTGTCTAAAAAGCCACAAATAGGTTGTGATAGAAATGGATGAAATTTGAAAATAAAAGAGCATTTATTTCATCTAGACCTGTGTTAAATCAAATTTCGGACAAGCCTACCTAGAACAAGCACAGTGCATGTTGCTGTCTTCGATCCGGCTGGATTTTCAGCATTGAGGGTATAGTCTCCACAATCTCCACGGTTACAGTAACGCATCTCAAGCTTGGTTCTTACTCCAGAAGTTTCAATTTCTGCTCTTGGAGGTACCTCTGCATCATTTTTCTTCCATGTGATTTTGGGGAAAGGCATACCCTTGATTCCAGCAACGATTTTAATGTGTGTTCCAGCCATTGCTTTAATCTCACGAGGCATGCCCATATCCAGCAGCAGCTCTGGGGGTTCTTCAGATGATGAAAAAATATATGGTATTAGAATTTACACAACACAATTCTCACGTTGATAATTTGATTTAATTATGTAAAATTAATTTAATTGACAATTTAATAATGTAAATTGCTCCTAATTACCAAGTCTATCTTGTGCCCGTACAGGCTCTGGAACATTTGCAGGCTCAGATTCACCAGCTGCATTAACAGCTTTTACTCTGAATCTGTACAGTACTCCATCTTCAAGGTTGACAACTTTGAATGTAGTTTCCTGACAAGAGTCAGGAGTCTGATTAACCTGTAGCCATTCCTCAGATCCAGCTTTCTGATACTCAAGGAGATAGCCAAATATTTTGCCTCTGCCACAGTCCTTTGGTGGCTGCCAAGAAAGAGTGACAGAGTCCTTTGTGTTGTCAATTGCCATTGGATTTACTGGTGGGCTTGGAATCACTGTGAGAGGGAACAAAAAGATTAAAAACAATCTCTGTAACACTATTTTCTATGGCAGAAGTCAACATAAGTAACCTGACTGCTTACCAATAGGATCTTTAGCAAAGACAGGCTTTGAGGGTGGACTGGGGTCTCCAACACCAACCACATTCTCAGCCATGACGCGGAACTCATATTCACATCCCTTGAGAAGATCTGGAACCCAGTATTCTGTTTTAGGGAGGATGCGTTCGACAGGCATCCATCTGTTGGTCATGGTTTCTCTCTTCTCAACTATATAGTGGGTGATTGGTTTTCCACCATCAGCTGGTGGTTCCCAGGAAATCAGAGCTGTGTCCTTGTAGACTTCTTTCACCACTGGAGCATTTGGAGCATGTGGCACCTCTGTTTGTGGACAGCACAGTGGAAAACATATGTCAGTGAAATTAGTAGTAATGAAGTAATGCTGAAGTGTTAGTGAAGAAAAATTTTTCAGAAACCATTACTTACTGAATACATCCCTTGCTTTTGTCTCTGCAGACAGCAAAGGGTCACTAATGCCATGGATGTTCTGAGCACATATTCTAATAATGTACTCTCTGCCCTCAATCAGTTTTGGAACTCTGCATGTTGTTCTAGTGCAGGATGCAGTGACAGGCATCCAGAGATCCCTGTTAGTATCTCTCTTTTCAATAATGTAATTAGAGACAGCACATCCACCATCATCCAATGGAGGTTTCCAAGAAATGACCATGTGATTCCTGTAGATTTCATCAAAGACAACAGGGCCCTCTGGAGGTTGTGGGCGATCTGAAAATAATATATTTTATATGACATGTATTTAATACATTTCAGCAAAAACAGGCAAAAATGCTGTCAAATATAACTTCTTTAAAAGAGAAAAAAGATCCAAAACACACCAACAACAGTAACAGTGCAGATGCCCTTCCGCGTGCCTGTTGAGTTCTCCACAACCACAGTATACTTGCCACTGTGATCACGCTTAGCTTTCTCAATAGTCAAACACAAAGTCTTCTTGGTGCTGGTGAGTACAATCTCCTCATTTCCCTGAATCTCCTCATCATTTTTAAACCATTTTATATTTGGGGTTGGTTTCCCTGTGTAGCGACCTTGGAGAATGCAGGGCTGCCCAACACGAACCAAGAGCGTGTCACGGAACTCCAGATCAAGAGTAGGTGGTTCTGAAGTCATAAAAATATATTACCATTTCATATATGGAAATAAAAAATCTGAATATTCTATTTTACAACTGTGATGTTTTGCCATTATTATGCTGTATCTTACCAAGCTCCTCCCTGCATGTAATTGGTTTGGTGCTGAAGGAAGGCTTGCCTTGGCCAATTTGATTCACAGCACTGACACGGAATTCATAAGTTAAACCCTCTTTCAGACCTTCATGAGTGAATTTACGATCCATCAGCTTATCATCACTTGCTATGCGGACAAAGTTGTCCTTTCCAATCTGACGAACTTCAAGAACGTAACTTATCACTTCTGCACCACCATCATACTTTGGTGGTCTCCATGCCACACTGATTGAATCTTTCTTGACAGCTGTTACCTCTAGATCCTCTGGACGCTCAGGAACAGCTGTACACAAATAAAAAAACCACATAAGTATAGAAACGTAGATGCATTTTTATAACTGTAATAAATAAATAAATAAATAAATAAATAATTCTATTCTATTTTCCATTTAAAAAAAGACCTTAAATTAAACTTACAAACTGGATCCTTAATGAGAACTTCAGATGCTGTCTCACTAAATGGACCTCTTCCAATTATATTTTCAGCAGCAATTCTGAAGAAGTAAGCCTTGCCATCAATGAGACCCTGAACCACAGCGTTATGTCTGGTGACAGTGTATGTCACTGAAGTCCAACCTCTACGGTCTGACTCTCTCTTCTCAATGATGTAGTTAGTTATGGCTGAGCCACCGTCATCTTCTGGTGAATACCAGGTCAGCTTGCAAGAGTCATTGGTAAGATTTATACCAGAGAAGGGCTGACCCACAGGGCCAGGAACATCTTCAAAAGAAAATAAACCCCAGATTTAGACATGTTTTAGTGTTACTGTGACAATAGTGTTCATATTTGAACATGAACAGCACTCACCCAGCACCTCCACAATTATCGCCTTCCTCCGTTCTCCTCCTTCATTCTTGGCAGTCAGGGTGTAAATGCCTTGATGATGTCTTCTACATCTCTTGATGACCAGAGATGAGCTGATTGCAGTAGTCTCAATGACAGCCTCTTTAGGCAAATCACCATCATCTCTGTTCCACGTAATCTCTGGTGCAGGCTTGCCAGATACATAGGCAATGATGCGAATTACACCGCCAGCATGAACAACAATCTTCTCTTTTACAGTTGCATCCAGGTCCACTTCAGGAGGAACTAGAATTGAATTTAATTGAAGGATGTAATTGAATTTCTTTGTAAGAATGGGCATATTTTATTTAAAGGGAGATCTCAAAATATGGAATTAAGGCTGAATGCACATACTTCACTGTATACAAATAAAACTGTCCTAAACTGTTTTTAGGAAACTGTTGTTGTTAGACATTGGTTTCTAGCATTGTTTTTATAATGTGGTTTAAACAAGTTCTACAGTACTATCTTGGAAAATTTCTTTTTTCGTATCAGTGGAGGTGACTTAGGTGAAACATCCTTTTAATACATGAGTTTGTTCGTACTTGTCCTGTCCTTGACCTCAATCACTTCAGCAACTTCACCAGGTTCACCAACACCTGCAGCATTCACTGCTCTCACTCTGAATCTGTAAAGTCCAAGCTCTTTCAATCCAGGCACAACAAACTTGGTGCCTCTAATCTCCTTGTCTTTGGCCTACAAAAAAAAAATCACACTCCACTTAACTAACCTGTAAGTATACATGCAATATATTATATGAAACTTGAAATCACAGACAACAGATTAAAATTGTAGTTTTATGACTTCATATACCTTCTCCCATTCTTCCTTTCCTTCTTCTTTGTATTCAATGAAGTATCCTGTAATCTTAGATCCACCATCAATCAATGGAGGAATCCATTCAAGGTCAACAGTTGACTTAGTGCAATCAGTTACCTTTGGAATTGGAGGTCCAGGAGGAGCTGTAACAACAGTAAAAAAAGATAGTAAAACACCCTTGTACTCAAACATAAGCACACTTCAATGACATAACACTTTTATTTTATCATACCAATTGGGTCTCTGGAAACAACAGGATCTGATGGCAGACTTGGAAGTCCACATCCAGCAGCATTAATGGCAATAACACGGAACTGATAGGTGGCTCCCTCCAAAAGACCAGTCACAATGTGGGAGACACTAAGGGGCCTGATTCTGATGGGGTCACGGTTCACTTTGGTCCAGCGCTTGGCTGTAGTTTCCTTGCGCTCCAGCCAATAGCCAGTAACTGGGGACCCACCATCATATTCTGGCTCCTCCCATTCAACAGTCATGGATGCAAGTGTGACTTCTGAGACAGTTGGCTTGTCACATTGACCTGGTACAGCTGTTGTAAACAAGTATATTAAAATGAAATTAAATCTTAGAAAATGTTCTATTTCAGAAAAAACAGTGCAGGTGCACAAAATGGTGGTACTTACTGAACAGATTTCTTGCTTTTTCAGGTTCGCTGTAGAGTGGTGGTCCAACACCAAATCTATTTTGAGCCATAATGCGGAACTCATATTCATGTCCTTCTGTGAGCCTCTGAACTGTGTATGCACATTCCTTTGGATCACTGGAGACATGGACCCATGTCTTCCTGTTGTCCTCACGTTTCTCAATGACATAATTTGTTACCTTAGAACCACCATCATCTGTGGGTGGTTTCCAAGAAAGACCAATTCTTTCAGCAAACACTTCTTCAAATTTGACAGGTCCAACTGGTGGTCCAGGTCGTCCTATAGGGAAAAAATGTTTAATTTAATTAACCAGTATTTTCAAAATACACATCTATGTTGAGGAGATATGTCAACTCAACTTAGGAAATAGCAAAACAAAGATTACCCAAAATTGTAAGTCTGATATCCTTAGAAGCCTTGCCAAGGCTGTTAGTAGCTGTGAGTGTATATATTGCACTGTCATCTCTCTTGGATTGCTGAATCAGCAGGGTGCATTTGTCATCTGAGACCAGCTTGTTGATATGTTGATCGTATTGCACATCAGTCTTTTCTTCAGGCTTGTCAAGTGGGGCTTTCTGCCAAACTAGGGATGGGAATGGACACCCCTGAATCCTGGCAATTATGTTGACATCAAATGTTTCTGCACCCTCCAGAGTTTCTCTAAGATCAATGGTTGGAGGACCTGAAAAGACATTCAATCACAAGGGGTTATTGCCTTATTGCTTTAAGTAAACACAACTAAATATACTATCCTGAAATATCAGATACTCACAGGTCTGATCTTTGATGATTATAGGTCCCACCGTAACAGAGGGTCTGCTTGGGCCAGCTTCATTCACTGCCTTGGCACGGAACTCATATTCACCACCCTCTTTAAGGTCTTCAACAATAAAGGTAGTCTCTTCAACATCCCTCTTATTGCACTGTTTCCAGGTCTCTTTTTGTGGACCACTGGTATCCCAGCTCAGCCTCTCGATAATGTAGTGTGTTACTGGTGCACCACCATTATTTTTTGGAGGCACCCATGTTAGGGTCACAGTATTCTTGGTAACAAGGTTGATTTTGACCTTAGTTGGAGGATCAGGGGGATCTTGGAACAAACAGAAAATACAAAATGTAATTAATTCTAGTATGTAAAGTTTTATTTAGAGAGATCATGCAAACTGTTCTAATCTGTAACTTACAGATTGGATCCCTTGCCCTCACTGGCTCAGTGGTTTCAGTGAATGGTCCCATTCCAAGACGATTTTCAGCACAAACACGGAACAGGTAGTCTTGGCCCTCAAGGAGATCAGGCACCACAAATGCCATGCTGGCACATGCTGGATTTACCTTTGTCCAGGCCTTCCCTGTGACAGCCTTCTTTTCAATGAAGTAGCTCTTGATTCTTTCTCCACCATCAGTATCTGGCAGTTTCCATGTAAGTCTCATTGTAGCTCTGGTAACATCAGTAACTTTGAGCTCCTTTGGTGGCCCAGGAACATCTGTAAAATGTTGCATGCATTACATTTATGCACTCATTTTATATTATTAAAATGTTAGATTTTTCATAAGACATTTACACAGAATTAACTCACCAAGTACAATGACTCTGATATTAATATGTTTCTGTCCAGATTTGTTTTTTGCTGTGACAGTGTATCTGCCAGAGTGGGCTCTCAAGCTCACAGGAATTGTTACAACAGAGGTAGTGTCAGTAGATTCCACCTAACAAAAAAGAAATGCCATTTAGATCACAAAACCTTCATTTTTTAATACCGAAAAAAAAAGAAAAAAAACTTTGCAAAGAATGAATCGTGTTACCTGTGAATCCACTGGCAGGGTGTGAAGACGATCTTTCTTCTCTGTCTTTGCTTTCCCATCAAACTCCCATGTAACCTTGGGAACGGGACGTCCAGTAACAGTTACTGGGATTTTGAATGGAGATCCAGCACGGATGCTTATTAACTCATCAGCATTGATATCCAAAAATATCTTTGGCTCAGCTGTGGAATTAGACAAAATCACCATGTTAGACAAATAAATTGAAGTAATGATATTTGCAGCCTAGAACAAAGTGGAAACTTACTATGAACGTCCTCCATGAGAACCTCAGTGGTCCTAGGACTTGGCTCAGACTCCCCAATTTCATTGACTGCAATGATTCTAAATCTGTATTTCTTCAGTTCTTGGAGGTTTGGAACAGTGAACACAGTAGAAGGATGTAGATTGTCCGCATCATTTACCCTGGCCCACTCAGATGTACCCTCATCTTGGATTTCAATGATGTAACCTTTGATGGGGCGTCCTCCATCTTTAGCTGGTGGGGTCCATGACAGAGTGACACTACGTTTGGTTTTGTCAGCAATTTCAGGAGCTGCTGGCATGCCGGGTGGTGCTGTACAAGACAAACATACATATTTATTGTTTACTTTGTTAACTCTTTCAGAAAACTCACATATATTTCATATGTGAAGTATGCAAAGACCAAGTGTTTACAAATAGTTTTTCCCATGATCACATATTTTTTACATGTGGACATATGTGAAGCTCACATGACTTGTTTGTAGGGGAAAACAAGGATAATACATAAAGAACAGTTTATGTGGTAAATCAACTTACTGATAGGGTCATCAGCAAAAGCTGATTCAGAGACAGCACTAGGGGGGCCAATTCCAGCAGCATTGCAAGCCATTACACGGAATTCATATTCGAGTCCCTCTATGAGACGTGTGACCTGGAAATCCCAGCCTTTCATGCCACGTTTGGTCACTAGGGTCTTGTTTGCTTTAGCCCAGTGGGAAGTGCCCTTCTCACGCTTTTCCAACCAGTAGCCAGTGATCATAGATCCACCACTGTCCATAGGTGGCTCCCATGTCACCAACATATGGGTCTTGGAGTGCTCGGCAATAGCAACTTTTTCAGGTGGACCAGGAAGAGCAAATGGATCTTTGATTTGTACTTCTTCTGTTTCACAGCCATCGCTTATTCCATACTTATTTTCAGCCTTGACTCTGAACCGATACTTGCCACCTGTTTCAAGATCCCATACCTACAAAATATAAAATAGAAGGCTCAATTAAATAGTATATGCTTAGATAAATTAATGACCTTTTAATTTTCTGCTAAACAATTTTGCTTACCCCGAATTTTTTCTCTATGACAGTGTTAGTAACCTGGACCCATTCAGCTTTCTCAACATCCTCAACATTGAGGTCTTTTTTCTCAACGATGTAGTTGGTGAGCTCACTGCCTCCAGTATCAAGTGGTGCATCCCATGTCAGATGGCAAGACTCAGCTCGGATATTTGAAACAGCAAGGTTTCTTGGTGGTGTTGGTCGATCTGATAAAAAAAGCACCATACTTTTTTATACCTGCACACTATAAATAAAAACAACACTGAATGAATGACTCAACCTACCCAAAACCCAAACTTACCTAGCACCTCCACTGTGATAGAATGGCTGACTGATCCAAGACGATTTGAAGCAGTCACAGTGTATATTCCCTTGTCCAGCCTTGCAATAGCAGGGATGGTGAGTTTTGTGTGTTCTGTCAGTCTATCAATCTCTTTGGTTTCCAGCAAGACTCTCTCAGTAGACTTTGGAATAACAACATCATCCTTCGACCACTCAACCTTTGGCATTGGAAGACCTGTGATCTCAGCAGGAATCTCAATTGGCTCATTCTTCCGCACTCTGATTAGATCACCTTTGAAATGCTTCATCATGTGCAAAGTTGGAGAAACTGTAAAAAGAAAGAATGTTTAAAACAGAACATTTAATGAAATTTATTACAAAATGTAGCTAAACTATTTTATGGAGAAGAAGATGATCAGAACTGGACAAACCTTCATCATCCTGAATCACAACAGTCAAGGGTATGGAAGGATCACTTTCTCCAATGCTGTTAACGGCCTTTGCACGGAACTCATACATGTGCAGCTCATCCAAATTCTCCACAGTCAGCGTCAGATTAGGGCACATCTCTGCAGAAACAGGCTGGAAAGCAGGATGATCCTGACGCTTCTTCTCAATGATGTATCCAATGATTGGACTGCCGCCATCATTGCGAGGTGGCTTCCATGTAAGGGTAAGGCTAGACTTGGTTCTCTCAGTGTAGTGAAACTTCTCAGGGGAGGTCGGTGGCCCTGACATAAATAAAAAAGATTGATGTGAACATTTAGATATTGTAGTAGTCATATTTAGTGAATTGAAGTGATATTATTGAAAAAGTCATGCCTCATACCTAGTGGATCCACTGCACGAATTGGCCCAAGGTCAACTGGTGGCCCACAGCCATATTTGTTCTTGGCCACAACTCGGAAGATGTATTCCTGTCCCTCAATTATGCCCACAATTTCACATTTAGATGGAACTGTTTCAATGGGCTGTCTAAAGGTGTGCATCTTTGGCTCTCTCCTTTCAACAATAAAGCCAGTCAGATCACTGCCACCATCATCATCAGGATCAGACCAGTTCAATATCATCAACTTTCTTGTCACTACAACAGGCTTGAGGTCAAGGACAGGCCCAGGAACATCTGAAGAAAAGAGAATTTAGGATTCATGCATTACATTTAAAAAAAATCTTTGCTGAATTGAATTTAAAAGGCTAGCTAATTTCACAAACGATATAAACTATGTTAACACAGCTGAACTTGTAATTACTATTTCAATGAATACAAGAGCAGTTCTCACCCATAACTTCAACCCTGGTCCAAGCTGATTTGATGCCACTTGGGTTTGCTGCAGTGATCTGGTATTTGCCAGTGTCACTTCTTTTTGCAGTTTTGATAATAAGAGTACTGTCCTGTCCAACTTCTTCAATTTCCACACGCTCCTTGTCAGGGGCAGCATCATCCTTTGTCCATGTAAGGGATGGTTTAGGTTTACCAGTCACATGTGCTGGGATTACCAGCATCTCTCCAGCTCTTACAATATGACCAGCCTTCACATTGACACCAAGTTCAATAACAGGCATCTCTGCAAAGGAAAATTAACAACACAAACAGTTATAAGCACAGCCTTAAAATTCAGCCTTTTTCATCTCTTTTTAAGAATAAGCAATGCTATATACCTGCAGGATTCCTCACAATGACTGCATCTGTTACACCAGGAGCACCTTCACCAGCGCAGTTGACTGCCACAACACGGACAATATATTTAGCTCCCTCTCTGACACCATACACAGTGAATGTGTGGTTCTTCCATGGTCTCTCTGTGGCTCGTGACCAGTCCTTAGTGCCAACCATTGTTTTGTCAACATGGTATCCAAAAATATCTGCACCACCATTGTCTGCAGGGGGCTCCCATTCAACTACTATTGAATGGTCTGTGGTGTCAACAACGCGTGGAATTGGTGGACCCGGTGGCACTGAAAGGAAAGTGAAATGAATTCAGAATTATATGCAGAACTCTTAATTACCACAGCACTATACTTTAAAATGTAAAGATTGATGTAGTAAACTATGGTATGTTCAGCTTACAAATTGGAGCTTGTGCTGTTTTCGGCTCAGATGGTGGACTGAACTTTCCCCGGCCAGCCACGTTCTCTGCACAGACCCTGAAAATGTATGTCAAGCCTTCCAAGAGACCATCTACTTTTACTTCCAGTTCATTAATGATGTTGCGATTAACTCTTGCCCAGTGTGTACTATTAATTTCTCGTTTCTCCACCCAGTATCCTTGGATGGGGCTACCATTGTCCTTGGGTTCCTTCCAAGTTACAACCATGCTGTTGGCTGTGACGTCTACAATTTCAGGCTTCTCAGGTGCTTCTGGAGGATCTGAAATATGAAAAGTTTTAAACCAATATTACTCAATAACATTAAAATAGCATGCATCAGAATTTTAGAAGATGAAATGCAATTATGACTTACCAAATGGATTCTTGGCAACAACAGGTTTGGAGATGCATGGTTTTCCAGGGCCAAATCTGTTCTCAGCAGTAACACGAAAGAGGTACTCCTTTCCTTCAATCAATTTTGTTACTGGATACTTGCAGCCTCTGAGAGTTGCTGTCACGGTGACCCATCCAGTCTCAGTCTTGGAGTTGTCTTTTCTCTCCAATACATAATTAAGAATTTCACTTCCACCATCATCTAGAGGGGGATCCCACTTGCAGGTGAGAGAATCCTTTCTGACCTCCTCAAATCTTAAATTGACTGGGGGTCCAGGAGTATCTGGAATGCAGAACCCAATAATCAAAACACTCCAGTCTGAGCTTAAAATAATGCATTCAAAATAACTTAATTTATGTAATTGGAATGTTCTATATAAACCACAAGAATTTAACTTACCAAGAACATTAACCTCACAGGTGGCAGAGGCAATGCCGTGATCATTCTCCACCTTGATGGTGAATACTCCATGGTCGCCTCTGATAACATCTTTGACCACAACGAAGGATTCACCCTTCCTGGAGTTGTCAATGGTAAGACGCTCATTCAGAGATGGGTGGTATTCCTCCTCTGGCTCTTCAGGTTCCTCTACCTCTTTTTCTTTCTCCTTCTTCTCCTCCTTTTTGTCCTTGTCCTCCTCTGGCTTTTCCTCCTTCTTCTCTTTGTCTTCTTCTTTCTTTTCCTCTGTCTTTTCTTTCTCCTCCTCCTTCTTCTCTGGCTCCTTTTCTTTTTCCTTCTTCTTCCTAATAGGTTTTTCTGGCCTCTTCCTCAGAGCCTCTGGCCTGATGGTTGAATTATTCCTTATCCAAGTTATTTCTGGGTAAGGAAATCCAGAGATGTAGGCAGTCAGTCGGATCTCCTCACCTTTCTTGACGCTTAAACCTGATTGCAGACTACCACTGAGGAACACTTTGGGACGATCTGAAAACAGAAAGTGAGCGTGTTAGATAAGTAGTCATAATGAAAATCTAGGTAAGCATATAATCTACCTATATTAGAAATTAACCAATTTCTAGCACATACCAACAACATCAGTGGCTTTAACCAAAGGAGTGCTGCGTGAAGGATCACTAATGCCTGCTGCGTTCTCTGCACGCACACGGAACTGGTACTCTTTTCCTTGCTTCAGGTTTTTAACAGTATAGGATAAGACCGGCACTAAAAAGTCATTGCATCTCTCAAACTTCTCTTGGCCTTTCATCGTCTTCTCCAGTATGTAACCCATGATCTTGCATCCACCATCATACATGGGTGGCTTCCATGTGAGGGTCACAGAATCAGAAGTAGGGTTGTGGGTTTCAACATCAACAGGTGGATCAGGTGGATCTATATGTATCAGATAAAGTAAGTGAGCAAACACGTTGGCACTTTTCTAACACAACATTTGGTCTTAAGTTAAATGTAAGCAAGTTACTCACGCTTCTGATCCTCAGCAATCACTGGATTGCGAAGCTCAATAAACTCGCCGCCACCAATCTTGTTCACAGCTCTCACACGGAAGTAGTACTCTCCATTTTGAATGAGGTCCTTCACAGGCCAGCTTACTTTGTTCTCTCCAGACATGACATTGACATATGTTCTTCTGCCCGCCTCTCTGCGCTGCAGGACATAGTGAAGAATAGGGCTGCCGCCATCATAGTCTGGTGGATCCCATGACACTTTGCAGGAGTTCTTGGTGATATCACTAGCAACAATTTCCTTGCATGGTCCAGGAAGACCTAATGATATAAAACCAAATTTAAACGATTAATAGAAAATGCATGGAAAACAGCATGCAGTAATAATCATAGGCAAGGTGGTTGGTTGTCAAGATAAAATGTATTATATGTGTAAGGGGGTTAATCATATGAGAACTGTTTGCATTGTTCATAGTTATCATACCAATAACTTTAACATTAATTGTCCCACTGGTTGCTCCAAGGCTGTTCTCCAAGGTAACTTTGTACTGGCCAGCATCAGCATGCAGACAGCTTGGAATTTCCAGGTGGCAGGAAATGTAATCTGATCTGAATGAGACTCGTTCATCAGCCTTCATTTCTTTCCCATCTTTGTGCCATGTGATCTTGGGTGATGGTACGGCCTTGAATGGAATGGGGAGGTGCATCTTCTCACCCTCCACAACAACAACGTCCTGGGTCTGGAACTCAAGGGTAGGGTTGCCTGTAAGGAGAACAATGGAGGGCTAATTAATTAACTTCACATGACAGTGAGTACATGTTAAGGTATTATGGTTATAAAAATATTTAAAACAATCTTTAGCTTACAGTCAGAGTCTTTAGCGTAAACACTCTCAGAGATCTCGGAGGGCTCGCTAGCACCAACAGCGTTGACAGCACGAATTCTGAAAATATACTGCTTCTCTGGAACAATGCCCTCTTCCTCCCCGGCTCTGTATTTCAGCTCTTTAACTGGACGAGAGTTAACTCTCATCCACTTCTCAGTTCCAGCCTCACAGAGCTCAATGTGGTAGCCAATGACTGGGCTTCCTCCATTTCTTTCTGGGGCTTTCCAGGCAACAGAGATATGGTCTCTGGCTGCCTCGGTGACATGGAGATCCTGAGGAGGAGATGGTGGACCTGGAGCAATGTATAAAAACAAAAATCTTCAATGTCATTAATCCTCTTTATAGATTTTTTGAAATCATAGTAAATTATTTTCAACATACCTGTTGGGTCCTCAATTACCACAATGTCTGTGGGTTCACTTGGGTGACCAACACCAGCCTCGTTCTCAGCAAGAACCTGGAACTGCACCTCAGTTCCTTCAATTACATCAGTCACTCTGTACTTGCAGTCAGGGCCTGCTGTCTTTGCAGATTTCACCCAGCGGGTTCCAAGTTTCTCTTTCTTCTCGATGACATACCTGAAAGTGCAGGTTTAATGTACGGAATTCAATGACAGTGACAGCACAATATACTCTAAGGCATTTTTCCACAATTACATTACATTTACCTCAAGATAGGTCTACCACCATCATTCTTAGGTGCCTCCCATTTAAGATCAACATGGGTCTTTGACACCCCTTCGACAGTCAAAGCATAAGGAGGTCCAGGAGTAGCTAAGAGAGAGCAAAGGTAAATAATATCAGTATATTTCCAATATACATAATTCCTTATCTTAAAGAAGGTAAATTAAAGGCAGCCAAGGTCTCGGTGCTTACTGAATGTATCCTTTGCCAAAGCAGAGTCAACAAGTTCACAGTATTCACTAATACCAACAGCATTCTCAGCTGCCACACGGAATACATAGAGAGAGCCTTCGTTCAGTGGAGTGACGGTGTATGTCAGCTCTTTCACAGTGGTGTCAACAGCTTGCCAGCCCTTGCGTCTGACATCTCTCTTTTCAACAATGTAGTTGGTGATTGGTGAACCACCGTCTCTCTCAGGGGCTGTCCACTTCAGTTCAGCACTGTTCCGGGAAATATTAATTACGTCTAGCCATCTTGGGGGTGATGGAGGATCTGATAAGGAAAGAAGAATGTTTTTGTTCAATTTTAAACTATACATGAATAAACCGAGTCCAAACAATATTGAATAAAAAGTAATGTAATATCATTCAGATATGTAGAAATCACTCACTGAGTCTCTCCTTGCACAGCACAGGATTGCTAGGCTCACTAGGTTCACTCTCGCCTGCTGCATTGACAGCTCTGATACGGAAAGAGTATTCCTGTTTCTCCATCAGTCCCTTAAGGAAGTACTCAAGAGCAGGAACACCATCTACCACACGGACCCATTCCTCCGTTCCGCTCTTGAGGAGCTCAATAATGTAGGACTCAATCTTAGCACCACCATCATGCTCAGGCTTAGTCCACTGCAGGAAAGCTGAAGTTTTGGCAACATCCTTAACAAGAGGTTTGCCAGGAGGCCATGGAGGATCTGAAAGAGTATACATATGTTTCAGTCTCTTCTACTCAAATTCAACACAGATTTTATCTGCTGTGATGCAGGGAGCTAGAAAACAATACACATCGAAAATGATTATACCAATTGGATCCTTGATCAAGATTGGGTCAGTCTCCTTGCTTGGTTTGCCAGGTCCAGCAAGATTCTCAGCCAAGACACGGAACTTATACTTCTTTCTTGTGGGCAATCCTCTCACCCTGTATTCACCAACGTTTTAAATATTTCAGATTTACATACACTGCTGCTGTATGGATCATCTGTTTTATGTTTATGTATTGCAAGTCCTTACCTCAAGTTAGTGTCGCTTACTGGTAATTTATTGCATCGTATCCATTTGTCAGCATCTGGCTCAAATCTCTCAACCCAGTAGCCAGTGATGGGACTTCCACCATCTTCATCAGGCTCATACCAGGTCAAAGTGACAGCATCCTTTGCAATATCGGATGCCTCAAGTTTGTATGGTGGTCCAGGTGGATCTGGTTAAAAATAGTACCAGAATATATCATATTACATATAGTTAAGGTGAAAGCTATATATATTTTAAAATGATAGAAAGATTAGTAAAATGTACCGAAGGGATATTTGGCAATTATCGGAGTATGTTCAGCTGGCAAACCAATGCCGAACTGATTTTCAGCATAGACTCTGAAGATATACTCCTTGAAGGTCACAAGCTTTGTGGCTTTGTAGGTGGTTGGCTTTACAGTGGATGACAGCTTGTACCAGATCTCACTGTCTGCAGCCCTCCTCTCAACAATGTAGTTTGTCACTCTTGAGCCACCATCGTCTCTGGGTGGATTCCAGGACAGGAGGCAGGACTCACTGGTTATTTCAGAGATATCAAAGGCAGCTGGAGGTCCAGGCTTATCTATAGAGAAGAGAAACAAGCTCAATACACATACATAATATACTACTTTTTCCAAATCATTTTACAGTTCTTTTGAAAAGCAAACGCCTGCTGTGATTCTGGATATTTACTCCTTATTATTATTTAAAATTCAATATAACTCATTATATTAAAAAAAAGATTTTCAAGGACAGATTTAGGCCTCCCTGCCTTGGAAACCATAATACCTCTTTCTTCAGAGGATAAATATGTTACCTAGGATGTTGACATCAACTGTTGCAGTTGCACGTCCACTGCTGTTGACTGCCTCAACAATGTAAGTCGCCGAGTCATCTCTTGTAGTCTTAGCAATGTACACTGTGGAATGACCAGGCTTGGTGTCAATAGTGATTCTGTCATCTTCCTTGAGAATAAGGTCAGCCTTGGTCCATTTTACTTTAGGCTCTGGTTTGCCTGTGATATCAGCTGGAAGTTCAATCTTTGTGCCAGCCTTTGCAGTTAAACCAGCCAGTAGTTTTGCATCCAAGTGAATCTCTGGAGGCTCTAGAAGGGTTAAGGAAAGGTAAGGACGACAGTGAGCTTGGACATAAATACAATATACTGTATACTATGAAGAGAAACATGTCCTTTTTAAGTACCTTTAGGATCAACAGCCAAAATCTCATCAGTTGCCTTGCTAGGTCTACTTGAGCCTAGTCTGTTCAAGGCCCTCACACGATAAGCATACCACTGACCCTCTTTCAGACCAGTCACCTCAAGCCTAAGACAGAATAAAAATGATAGTAACAATTGTATATGTGTATATGCAGATATCTAAGCCTTATCAAAATGTTTTGTTCACTTACTTGAGCTCAGGCACTGGGTCTCCACATGGCTCCCACTTGTCAGTGCCACGCTGGCACTTGTCAACAGTGTAGCCTTTAATTGGAGCGCCACCATCCCACTTTGGAGGCTCCCATGACAAGAAGATTTTGCTGGCAGACTTGTCTCTCCATTTAAGATTCTCTGGTGGATCTGGAACAGCTATAATGTAAAACAAATCATGTGAGGATATATGTTTCTGTGTTTGCCGTGGACATGACATTGGCTGTCAGCATTTTCCTGTGAACACTTACTGGCTGGTGAAGACACATTCACTGGATCATCAATATAAGCAGGTTCTCCAGGGCCACACTTGTTACAGGCAATAACTCTGAACAAGTACTCCTTGCCTTCGATTACATCTGTGACAGTGTACTCTTGGTCTTGTACACCAGTAATGACCTGAAATTAAAAATAAGCAATAAAAATGCAGTACTGCTGGAAAGTGGAATTTGGCAATGGATGACTTTAATGTGTTTGTGAGTTTGATATGAGTTTCAGACCTTGACCCAAGTCTTTCTGGACACTTCTCGCTTCTCAATCTGGTAGCCAGTCAGTGGGCTGCCTCCATCATGATCTGGTGCTTCCCACATAAGATGCACATGATTTCTGGTTACCTCTGCAACCTTGAAGTCCTTTGGTGCACTAGGGGATGCTGAAGTAAAAAGGTAAACAGTGAGTTCTATGCTAGATGGTGGAAGAACTTAATGACAACTGAAACAAAGATTATATACTGAACATACCAATGACATTGACGTCAACCTCTCCAGAGACACTGCTTACATCGTTCTCCAGTGTCAGAGAATATCTGCCTTTGTCTGGACGCACACTTGGAGTGATGACTAATTCAGTGAAGGTGGCCTTTGTGACCATAGACACACGGTCACCAGCAGTGAGCTCCTTGTCACCAAAGGTCCACTTAGCAGTGGGTGTTGGGTATCCAGTGATTGGGACACGAATTCTAAGAGGATTAGGAACAATCACTTCCAGGCCGTCCTTGAAGGCACTCAGGTCCAGGGTAGGTGCAACTAAATTAGGAGGAACAAATTACATTTTTATGAATACATAAAAAGTAGAAAATGGAAAGAATTGTTGAAAGAGCCCAATACATACAGTGTGAGTCATCTGCCAGTTCAGGTCCAACAATATTAGAGGGGTCAGACTGACCGGCTGCATTCTCAGCAATGACTCTGTATTTGTATTTTTTTCCATATTTAAGACCGGACATCTAGGAGAAGTAACATATAAACAAACATTTTGAAATGCTATTTACAGATACAATGATCCAAGAAAACAGGCGGTGAAAGTCAGATGTTTACCCTGTAGAGGAGGTCTGGGCATAGCCTGGCATTACACCTTAGCCACTTGTCTGAATCTTCCTCACATCTCTCGACAATGTAGCCTGTGATCACGCTGCCTCCGTTCTTAAGAGGCGTCTCCCAAGTTAGCAGACAGCCCTCTTTGGTTTGTTCAGAGTGTGTCAAATTCAGGGGTGGGCTTGGCCTCTCTGAAAAAGTGTAACAAAAACAGACAATATAAAAGTAAGTCTCCTAGATGTGCTATAATTCTAGTAGATTTTTAAAGATGCAAATAATGCTAACCTATTGGGTCCATGATTTTAACTGGGTTAGTGGCAGCACTTGGCTTGCCAGGACCAGCCTTGTTCTCTGCTCTAACACGGAAAATGTATTCCTTGTTCTCAATAACATCATTGATTATGGCTGTACGGTCTTCAGGTTTGGTCACCATGACTGGAGACCATTTCACAGATGTCCTGTCACGGAGCTCAATGATGTAGGATGTGATTTCTGATCCACCGTCAAACAGTGGTGGTTCCCAGGAGACTGTGGCACCAAACTTGCTGACATTTCCAACAGCAACATTCTGAGGTGCATCTGGAACATCTGGAATACAAGCAATAATAATAAGTATATAATATGTCCATCATGTAATTTATCACTGACAAGTCATCCATATAATTCTATAAAAGTATGCTTTACCAAACTTATTCTTGGCTTGTATAGCTTTATCCGTCTCTACATTTGGACCACTTCCAACTCTGTTGCGTGCGCAAACACGGAAGAAATACAGGGAGTCCTTCTGCAGCCCAGTGACAGTGTACTCTGTGCTGTCAGCCCGATCAGTGGCCAGCGTCCAGGTCTTGCGCTTGACATCACGTCTTTCCACCACATAGGCCAAGATCTTGCTGCCACCATCGCTCTCAGGCTCATCCCAGGCAATGCTGACCTCTCCATCAGAAGTGTCCACCACATGCAGATTCTTCACAGGCCCAGGAACGTCTAAAAAGCAAGAGTTTTACTTAGTCAACTCCAGTGCAGATATCTTCATAACAACAGCTAAATGTTGGTTCATCAAATAATTTCACATTCACATTACTGCTTCTTGAATGTAGCTTTTTATTTTTATTACAGTTGTGATATGAATATGTGTAATATGTATTAATCAAATTAGGACACCAGAAGTGCCAAAGGAATTTTTTCCATACATCATTTGAGTGAAAATATTATGACTTTGCAATCAAGAGCAATATATTGCTCAAATATAAACTCACCAACAACTTTCAGATTAATGAAAGCCTCTCCCTGTCCATGCTTGTTCTTAATAACGATCTTGTAACGGCCCTCCTCTGACTTCTTAGGGTCCTTCAGTCTGTACTCTGTCTTGTCGGTAGAGGTATGAACATTTTCTTTTGGCAGACTGATGGTGTCAAAGAACCATTCAGCCTCAGCATGTGGGTATGCATTGTAAGGAACTGACATGACAAATGGTTTTCCAGCATCTGTCACCAGGTCCTGATCCAAAGTCTTTATCGTTGGCACAGCTGTAGGCAAAACATAGCAACAATTAACATTAAACTTAAATAACCATGCTTTTGTATTTAAAAAAAAGGTCCTATTATGAATTCAGTTTATTAAAAGGTACTGGAAATCACCTGCAAGCTCAAGCTTGGCTCTTGCATCCTTGTCTTTGGCGATAACTCTGTATTCACCCTGATCACGAGGCCTGATCTCACAGACTTGGAGTCTGTGAATCTTACCTTCACTCATCATCTGGTATTTGTCACCCTGGACAATTGTCATGTTGTTTCTTAGCCATTTAACATCAACTTTGTCTTTGTTCAGCTCAACCTCAAATATAACATCAGAGGCTGGGGGCTCAAATACATCAACTGGAGGTCTGATGATCTCCACTGGGGTCTCTGGATGATAAAACAGTGAAATGTTGTTAGAAAATGATGCAACAACTATAAGTACATACAATAAAATACAATATTCAGAGCACAGTCTACCTTCAACAAAGAGGCGAGCCCTGGACTTTTTGTCATCAACTCCACAGGCATATTCACATTCATCATCAGGTCTGCATTCCTTAATGCGTAGTGTGCATGTCTTTCCATCACGCTCAAACTGATACCTGGAACAGAAATTAAACATGCATGTTAGCTATTTTATAGAGAGAAGATATATATGATACAATACTTACAGAAGAGAAAGTTCCTTACCTTGGACCCTCTCTGATCTCTCGGCCATCTCTGTACCATTTAACTTCAGCCTTCTCTTTGGAGAGCTGGCAAGTAAACTCAGCATCTTCAAACTCAGTGATAGTCTGATCTTGGAGTTGAGTAGTGAAGTCAGTTGGCGCTTCACTGATTATTAACTCAGCTGTTGACTTGTCAGAACCGGCAATGACAGAGTATTCACCCTCATCTGCAAGGCTGCAGTCCTTAATGGTCAAAGTGTGCTTGTCTTTGTCGACGCGATATACAATGCGCTTGCTCAAAGTGATTTCCTGGCCTGCCTTCATCCACTGCACAGTCACATTTGGTTTGTTCACTTTGCATGAGAAGGAAATGGTCCTCTTTTCTTGTGTTTCAATATCCTCAAGAGGAACAATGATTCTGAGGTCTTCCTCTGTATACACAAAGATGAGCAATTACCAAAAAAAATCTATGTATTTCACAACAGGAACAACATCTAACAGTCATAATATATAACAAACAAATACCTTGCACAGTAATCTTGGCTGAGCTCTTAGCATATTCACCACGCTGATTGGTCAGTGTGATGGTGTAGGTAGCTTCATCTGACTTCTCAGCATTTTTAATCCTCAGAGAGAAAACAGTGTCTCTCTGGACCATGATAAACTTGCTGCTCTCGAACAGTGTTTCGTCGTTCTTCAGCCACTTGGCCTTGGCGTCCTCTGTATTTACCTCACAGTTGAGAACAATCTCTTGTCCTTCACTTCCCTTTGTGTCCTTGAGGGGTGTGATAATTCTGAGCTTCTCTGCAATTAATTGAGAAATGAGAGTAAGTACAGAGACTTGATATTGTGAAATTATACCAGTGTGATTAATGTAGAATATAGGAAGCACAGAATACGTACCAAGCACTGTCAAATCAGCACTAGCTCTTGTGGCACCAATAAGGGCCACAAAAGGTCCCTCATCATTACGCTCACAGTTCTTGACCACAAGGACCCTTCTCTTGCCATCAGAAATAATCTCGTATTTGTCATCTGTTTGGAGTTCTTTGTCACCCCTGAGCCATTTGACTTCATAGGAGTCTTTGGACACTGAGCACACAAACTCAGCTTTTTCACCCTCAACCACTTCTTGGCTCTGGGGTCTAGAGATAAACTCAGCAGCGAGTTCTGAAGAGAAAAAAATTTAGTGCTCTGTGATTTTCCTCAAAACACATTGCTATGCAATGCTAAGCTAAATTACTTACCATTAATTCTTAGTGTCCCTGTTGTTTGTGAGCTGGGCAGTTTGCAGTGGTATTCTCCAGCATCGTCCATACGAAGGTCCTGGATGAGGAGAACTCTCTTTCTGCCATCTGCAATATGTTCATATCTTCCACCCTCAGGCAGTTCCTCATCACCCTTATACCATACAACCTCTGCACTGGGCTTTGAGACCTCACAGATCAGTTTAATACTGTCAGTTTCAGTGCCTTCCACATTAGCCAAGTTCTTTGTGAATCTTGCCTCCTCCTCTGTAATAAGAGAAATTAAGCAAATTCAAATACTGTCAAATACTAAAGACTGTAACTGAATACTGTGAAGTGAACAAAAACTAACCAATGACAGTCAGCATGCCAGAGGTCCTGGAAGTCTTTGCATCACATTCATATTCAGCCTCATCATCAAACACCGCCTTGCTAATGATAAGAATACGCTGAACTCCTTTGGAAATGATCTCATATTTCTTGCCCTTTCTGATTTCATTTCCATCCTTGAACCAGCGAACCTATTCAAAAAGAACCATTAGCATTTACATGCATATAACAGAGTGAATAAAGCTAAAAAATGTGTAGCCAAATGAAACATTTATTCAATCTAAAAATATATCTAAATTAAGAAAAATACCTTGGCATTTTCTCTGGAAACCTCGCATTCAAACTTGGCAGTTTCTTTCTCCATGACTTCAACATCATGGAGTGGCTTTGTGAACTCCACATGTGGAGCTAAAATCAACAAAAAAATATTCTCAAAATGCACAACAAATGAATTAAGTTAGAATTTTGAGCTATTATGAAAATTCACTTACGTTCAACATTCAAGAAAGCAGAAGTCTTGAAGTCTTTGGCATCACAGGTGTACGTTTTTGAATCGTCAAGTGTGCAGTCAAGAATGATGAGCTTTCTCTTGCAGCCCTCAGCAACCATCTCATACTTCTTCGTTTTACGGATTTCCTGTCCATCTCTGAACCACTTGACTTCTGCGCTTTCTTTGGAGACTTCACACTCTAGTATGGCAGTAGCTTCCTCCTCTACAGTCTGGTCCTCAAGCGGCTTGGTGAACTCGACTGGAGGCTCTGTTAGAGCAGATTGTTTAGCATGCTTTCAATGCTTCTTGCAAAAAATGCTTTCATATGTTTGTTAATTAAGCAAGACTATGATACTCAGTCTCATATGTTACTGTGGTTATTGCCTTAATATTTAGTTTTCTTTTGCTGGCTGTGACACACAAAGTGCAACTTATTTGTCGATGTTCTTTAATTAGACATACTGATTGAAGTTTACCATTATTATTCTTCCTGTCTTTCTAAAATACGTAATATTTCATTATATACAGGTCCTGATGACAACTGTTCACTGTACTTAAAATAAGCTTTTACATTTAATTTGCTACACTTATTGCATCATGTTTACTTTAATAAAATACAATAGAATCTTATAATGAAGTTCAAAAGTGTGATGTTTCAATATGTTTGGCTAATATGATATATAATATTAATTCATAATAATATATCATATAATACGGCTGTTGCTGCAGGCCACGATAGAGCATTTGAGCATTTGGGGTATATATTTCTAATTATTAAAACTGCCATTGTTCAGTTAACACCTTTATATTTATATATATAAACATGCCAAAAAGGCACCAACCTTTCACGATGAGTTTGGCCTGGGTTTGGAAATCCTTTGCAGTGAGTTTTACTTCTCCTGCCTCTGTCAGCTTCACATCTCTTAGGGTCAGCGTGTGAGTTCTGCCCTCTGCTCGGGTCACCACCTGTGCAAATCAAACAGATTGATAAATCAACCCTGTCACAGGCTTGAAAACAGCTATTTACTGCCCCACTGCAATAGACATCAGCAGCTGAGGAGCAGGAACTGGTCTCAGTTTCACACCTCTCCTTTTTCTACCAGGGATAGCTGTGTAGCCTGAGAGCAACTTATATAGCTTGTGTAACATCAGTATACTGTGAATGTGAATTGTATTATTTGACTCAATGCATTAAATAATACAGTAAATTTGCATTAACAATAAAAAAGCTGGACAGAGCTCATGGGCACGCTATAACATTTATCATAAACATAGAATTTTCCTAATAGACTACATTGCATTAACAATTAAAACTATTTTAAGCATATTAATGACAAAAAACAATAGTTCATCAATTTTATAATTTTATTTTTCATCAAAGTTATCAATTGTTGTATTATAGGGATCTGGATTTTTTAAATGCTACTACTTGTCATTTATACACTGCATTACAAACATTGCTACAGAAAAAGTGGTTCTAACCATTTAACCATGTTGTCTTTTCTATTCATTTTAACCATCTATCTATCTATATATATATATATATACATACATAAATAAAATTCAGCCATTTTTTAATGAGGAAAGTACCAAAACCCATTATTTAATCAATCGCACATAACAAGATAGGCCTCAAACCACTCATACCACCATAAAGCAATTCTAATTCTCTAATAATGGTCATAAGAACTGCTGTTATCACTAAACATTTTCAGATAACATTCCATTGCCAACAACAACCTGAATAACGCCATGAAGTTATTAATCAAATGCATTTTTCTTGATTTCCACCATTCAGGAATAGAAAAATACACCCACAGCGCAATTTAACTGTAAACACATTTTTAGCTTTACAAAATGAATTTCCACTTAAAATTGTAGCTCTCAAATAGACCTTCTGCCACCTGCCACTGGACATGGAGTCTCAAAGCAGTTAAAAATAACTAGAAGAACGCTTGCAGGGCAGAACAGCCCTGAGAGTTAACGCAAAGCCCAGATCAAATACTCAGCTGTAGCCTGATCCCCACAGGTCCTTATATGCAGAAAGCATGTAGGTGGCATATGTAAAGAAGAATCTATAGGTATAAAATGTAATTACTACTTTTGTATTTGCAGAATATTTAACTGTTGTGATAAGTTGATGGCTATAAACGGAAACTAAAAAAAAATGGCCTCAACACACAATGACTGCTTATGCTAGTATTACATTAGCATTACATTAGCATGAAGAAGCAGAGTGTTATCCAAGACTAACTCTGTGACAGGCCTACTTCAAAACCAGACTGCAGGGTTTTTAAAACTTCAGACTTTCATGCAAGCACAAGATATAGCTGGAATTCTTTTCACTTACTCTGTCGCTTGGTTCCAGCTTTGTACCCCCAAGGAACCAGTCCACAGATATGCCTTCATACGACAGTTCACAGTCAAAGGTTGCAGTCTCCCCAGCCGTAACTGTAACATCCTTGAGAGGCCGCAAAAGGCCTATCGTTCGTGCTTTGGATTGAGGAGAAGACATGGTTAGTCACCTCCAAGTCCCAAGAGACAGTATAATCCCTTAACTGCAAATCCACATTGTGCTTTCCCGCTGACAGCAGGCCACTGCTCTGGAGCCCAGAAGCCTCCAAGACCAAGTGGAGATTCAGTTGGAGAGAGACTTGTCATTCGGGGGCCTACCTCATTTGCATATTTAGTTTCCTTTAAAATGTAAATGGTCAGCAAAAAAAAAAAAAGAGTTGGTGGGGGAGGTGGACCTGTTGAACCTCTGCCAATCACTGACAGGCCTACTCTAGATATGGCATGCAGATTCCAAAATAGCTGCAAGATCTGATTGGCTACTTGCCTACCCCCACCAAGACTTCACGCTGGCCAACCTGTTACTGTCAATCAACGCCTTGGAATTTTCCAGGAAAAGAAGAATGTTGGGGTACATGTTACCTAATTTATACAAATGCAGACATCATGGGTGATGTTACAACACCAGCCTGTTTTATAGGCATGTTTACAAGTGGTTCCCATGTCTAGAAGATTCTACGCCATTAATGCCTCGCTTAATAAAAACGTTTTATCACCCACTTAGCATGGCATGGTGGTTGGCATTACATTTTACAGCCTGATAACACATTACATTCACAAACTGATTTACTGCAGTTATGATACATCCTTTCATTTTATTTATATATTTGTTCCCTTGCTGTAACAGGAGTTTTCTTTCTCCTTCCTGTAACAGAAATAGTTTCCTGTGTAAAACTAATGTCTCTTATATCTTATCTGAAGTGTTCCCATATGTATGTGCATGTGTTCTACATCATTCTCACCTTTAACTCTCAGATGAGCACTAGATTTAGCATTGGCAGCACTAAAGTCCACACCGCCAGCCATGTTCATCTGCACATTGTAGAGAATGAGCATGTGTCTTGTTCCTTCTTCCTTAATCTCACAGTCCTAATGATTGGGGGAGAAAAATGAATTAGGATACAAGTCCCCAGATAATATAGAAAATTAGATATTAAGCCATTAAGGCAGCAGGACAATAGCGTTAGTGTTATATTTTACATATTCTACAAACAGCATTAATTCATAGTGAGTGCATACCTTGAACAATGCATAGTTTGCAGGGATTTCAGAATGGTTTCATCAAACTGACTGAACCAGGTTTTAGCAGTTGTTTACACCATTATATAAAGTGCAATTACTTAAAAAAAGGGACAGATTAAAAGCTGTTTGTGACTACAGAACTTACCGCAGACTGGTGCAGAGCCTCTCCTTTGAGTTTCCAGTTACCATGCACATCCTCCTCGGAGATCTCTGTCTCAAAGCGAGCAGTCTCAGTCTCTATGACTTCCACGCTGTATAGTGGACGAACGATCTTAATGTCACGCTCTGCAGGGGTCATATGAGAGGACAAGGAAAATCAGTTGAGGGGCCATATTTTAACTGTTTAAGGAGTCCATATGAAGATTGAAAGAGAAAAGTACATACCCTCAATATTCAGCTTAGCTGTTGTTTTGTCAGAGCCACAGTCACAAGTGTATTCGCCTATATTGCTTTTATCAGCCCGCTTAACTGTTAGAATGCGTTTCTTTCCATCTGCCTTGATGAGGACATTCTTGGACGGGGTAATTTCCTTGCCATCTTTAAACCATTTCACCTCAGCAGAGGGCTTGCTCAGTTCACACATCAGCACTACTTCATCCTTTTCAACAGCTGTGTAGTCCTGCAGCTTGGTGGTAAAGTAGGCTTCTCCCTCTGTTGGGTGCAACACATGCATAGATTTTGCCTTGCAAAAAGTGTCATAGATTGACCAACACTGCTGAAAATCAGAAAAATAGCACATGAATACTGCAAGGACTTACCAAGAACAGTGAGCATGGCCTCGCAAGTTTTTCCAAGGGCCTCTGCTTTAATCAAAGAGGTATCATCAATTGACACCTCCTTGAAAGACAGAGTGTGGATCTTGCCCTGTTCTGACATGTGCACCACTTTGCTCGGGTGCAGGCGCACATCATTTTTGTACCAGGTGACCTGAACTTTCTCATGGGAAAGTTCAATACTGAACTCCGCTGTCTCACGCTCCTTCACGGTCACGTCCTTGATGGGCTTGACAAACTCAAGACGAATGCCTGTTTAAAAAAGAAATGCGAATGCATGATCACTTCCTAATGTTTCCGAAGCTCACAAAAAACAATTAAAATGTAAATTAGGCTGCATAAGTACAAAAGAGTTGTAAAGACCTTGAATGATGAGTTTGCCAGTAGTTCTTTTGTCCTCAGCCTCAAACATGTACTTAGCCTCATCATCATAGGCTGCAGATTTGACAACCAGAGCATGTCTTTTCCCCTCTGAAACAATTTCAAATTTGTCGTCAGCCTTCAACTCCTGGGTTCCCTTCAGCCAGCGGAAGGTCTTCGGCTCTCGTGATGTTTCACACTCAAACCTTGCGTCGTCTTTCTCATACACTTGCACGTCACTCAAAGGTGTGAGGAAAGTAATTGGCAGCTCTGCAAATGAAAGGAAGATTAGGTGCCAATTTACACTCGTGTAAATGATCAAGAAGAGAAGAAGAGAAGTAGAAAGGTACCTTTGACTTTCAGATTTGCAGAACACTTTGCATTGGCACCCTGGAATGAAACCTCGCCTGTCTGAGGAACTTTGCAGTTGTACAAAGTTAAAATGTGCTTGGCGCCATCCTCAATGATTTCAACGTCCTATTGGAAAAAAAGGAATGTATATGACAATCCAAAAAGATCTATCGTCGAATACAGAGTTTCTTTTTTAAATTTTAGATTGGTTCAGTTGAAAAAAGATTAAGATTTTCATTATTCTTACAGGTGACTGAGAAAGAACTTCTCCTTTCAGTTTCCACTGGCCATGGACATCATCCTCTGAGAGCTCCACTTCAAAACGTGCAGTCTCGCCATCAAATAGCTCAACACCATACATGGGGCGAACCACCTTGATGTCACGAGCTGCAACAGAATAGAAACAGCACTGAAGGTCAGAAACACCACATAATGTTTCAGCAGTACATTGCTGTAAAAGTGATTACCGGTATGACGTGTAACAAAATGGATTTTGTTCTATCGTGGATAGACCCAAAAACTGGGCCCCTGAGACAAAGAAAAAGTGAGAAACAGCTTGAGTAATCTTCTTATCTTATAAGCTCAACCAAAAGTGCGCTTTAGACTGGAAGCAGTGACTGCACCACTATGGGCTGCTAGCAGTATGTTCCTATGTTAATTGGTGTAGCCATTTATATCAGCTGTGCATGGCTTCAGAATGCATTTTTGCAGAATGACACTTGCAGAATCGCACTAGAGCTGATGTAAAAGCAAAAGCATCACAGACAGAGTGGTGAACTTGGTGGAATCATGAGCTGCAGTGAAACAGTGAAATATTGTAAAAACCAGATAAAAAATTGTACTTTGCTGCCACAGTACAAACTAAGATTAAGGATAAGTCGAGAGATAAAAAGGGAGAGGAGAATAGGTTGTAGAAGAGAAAGACAAATAATTGGTTTGATTACAGGACTGAAGGAGCTACTAGTGCCTGTCAGCATTTACATAATAAGGAAAAGAAAATCTTTTTAGATGCAAACTGTATTATGATGTTAAGGAGGAACTTTGTCTTATTTAGTAACTATAAAGGGTTTATGATTTTGATAAAATAATAATAATTATGTATTTCACAGGAAGCATTCATAGCATATCCATGAACAGTACGGTGACACTCCATTACTATTACATTATCATTCTGAAACACTCATTAAATACATTCATTAGAGACTAATGAGTCTAATTCTGCATATAATGAATTAAAACTCATTCAGTGTTTAGTGTAAACTTCATGATGTGATAATGAATATGTTAAAATACATGTTACTTTTTCAGGGAACAAATACGATTTTCAAAACCATACTTGTATTTATTATTGAACCCTTAAAAGCATGATTGAAACAAATATGGTGCAAATGAATGGCTTTTGACTTTTTGACTTTTCTTTATTCACTAATATTTCACAAGATGACCATCCTGAATGTGTGAAAATGTAATATTACTGTAATTTTACTTTACAGCTCATGATTGCTATAAAATACTTAATGTATGAGTAGGTAATGCAATTTGCTTAGGTTTTGCATCATTCATGAATGCTTTATAACTGTAATGAAGGTGGTTGGGAGTTCTCTTGACTACACCCTTTGTGTGTTCAGTATCATAAGCTGTTTATTCCCTCTTTATTTTCATTTTTGATTTTAATTTATTAAAGAACCCATCATGAAGTATGTATAATTCATTGAATTTGATTTCAATTCATTGCATTACATGTCCGTTACTCTTAAATGAATGTATTTAATTAATGTTTAAAAATGTTCATGTAATCTTAATACAATAACTGTACTGTTCATGAACAAGCCTGGAATACTTCATGTACATGTAGTTCCTGTAAAGCATTACCAGTTTTTATTACTGTTGTTTGTTGTTAATATTGTTATTATTATCAATTCATTTTCATTTTATTATTATTATTTTATTATTGATATTGCAATATCATATTGTTATCGTCTGAGTAGTGACAAAATTAGACTTCATATCGCACACCCCTAAACAGTACCCACTGTATATTTAATGAATGCTGCAATGCGTACCTTCAATGTTCACAGTGGCCATTGTTTTGTCTGTTCCACAGTCACAGACGTACTGGCCCTTGTCTTTGTCCCCCACTTTCTTAATTGTCAAGATTCTCCGTTTGCCCTCTGCCCTCATGGAAACCAACTTGGAGGCCTTAATTTCAGTCTCATTGTGGAACCACTTCACTGGAACATCTCTGCTCAGCTCGCAGTCAAGACTGACCTCATCTTTTTCGACTGCAGTGTAGTCCTGCAACTTAACTGTGAAGTAGGCGTCTCCCTCTGAAAAATACCAATTAATTCCAATGAGTTAAAATGCATTATTAAGAAATCTTTTACTCTCTTTATGTGCTGAGTGCCAAAAAAGGGTTACTTTACGAGAGAGCAGCACAATAATTACAATCACCATACCACAAGAAAACAATAAAACCTTGTAGAAGATTACCTAGGACCGTCAGGTTTGCTGTAGTTGATATTCCTTTTGCCTCTGCCTTTATCTGGCAAGTATCATCTAGAGTGACTTCCTTAATTTCTAATATATGTCTCTTTCCATCGACATGGGTAAGCACCGTTCTGCTCGGGTGCAGTTTTGTTTCATTTTTGTACCAAGTCACAGGCACATTTTCATGAGAAAGCTCAATCTCAAACCGAGCTGTTTTACCTTCCTTCACAGTTTGATCCGACATCGGCGAGATAAACTTCAGTCTTATACCTTTAACACATAATCAATTAAGTGATATTAATGACATGTATGCTAGATGGTCTGGCACCGAAGATGGATTGGATGACTTGAATGGAACATCTTGAATGGATTAGATGACTTGAATGGAACATCTTGAATGGATTAGATGACTCAAATGGATTTAACCATGACTTACCCTCCACTGTCAGTTTAGCTGTTGATGTTTTACCCAAGACCTCAATAGTGTATTCTCCCTCATCATCAAATTCACAGTGGTTTATGACCAACATGTGTTTCTTTCCATCATCAATAATATCATATTTCTGGTCTGATACTACAACATCAGATCCTCTATACCACATCACTTTAGGCACATCCTTAGTGATGGTACACTCAAACTTTGCCTGTTTCTTTTCAGGAACCGTAATATCCTTTAGTGGGACTGTGAAGTCCATTTCGATTTCTGGGGATTTGAATGAAGGTTATCAAAAGAAAATCGTTTTCAAAAATGTATAACAAGATCATACAAGGACTTATATGCTCACTAATGTGCATGCATCTGTTTTTTTTTTTAAATCAACATACCTTTGACTGTCAGCATTGCACTTGTGATGGCATTCAAAGCTTGGTATGTAACTTCTCCAGCCTGGTCAAGCTGAACATTTTTCAGAGTAAGAAATCGTTTCGGTCCCTCTGCCCTGATATCACATGTCTTGAGAAGAAAAAGGAATGTAAAAAGTTCAGTTCATAACAATTGCACTTCGTCCATGTTCACTGGGCAATAATCAAGTCAGTATTGACCAACATCTTACCGGTGATCTGGTTAGAACCTGTCCCTTAAGCTTCCATTCGCCAGGCACATCATCCTCAGAGATTTCAGTGTCAAAGTTAGCCTCCTCCTTCTCCTTCACCTCCACACTAGCAAGAGGCTTTAAGATCTCAGCTTCACGTTCTGTATCAATGGTAAAGAAACATTATGATTAATACATTGCAAACCCCACATGCATAGGAGATGAAGTATAATAACGTCACACACCTCCAAGTGTGAGTTTTGCAGGATATCTACGGCCTTCGACCTCAATGGCATACTCGCCAGCATCATTCGGTTGGGCATTCTTAATGGCCAGTGTGATATCTTTTCCGTCCTTCTTGACCTCGGTCTTATCTGTTGGTTCTGTAGGAATTTCTTCATCTCCCTTTAACCACTTCCAGTTGGGAGTGTCCTTGAAGAGCTCACACTTGAAGGTAGCAGTGGCCTTCGGTTTCACATGCTGATCCCTCAGAGGTCTCACCAACCAGTCTCTTATAATTTCTGTCGATAAAAAAAATCATTAAGTAAATATGATTTATGGTAACTGTAGTAGATAAGAGAATTAATATGCTCACTTGCACATACCAATGACTTTGACATTCGTCTGTGTCTGAAGGTTCTCACACTCGCACGTGTAAACAGCAGCATCATCATCATTTGAGTCTTGAATAGTCAAAGCCTGTTGCAGTCCAATAACATTGATGGCAATCTTGCCAGGAACTGCTAAGAGTGGATTTCCATTCTTCTTCCAGACCACACTCCTGTCTTTGCTCAGCTCACAGGTCAAATACATAGGCTGTCCTTTGATTACAGTCGTCTCTTCCTCCAGATTCTTGGTGAATCTCACAGGCAACTCTATGAAAAGACAAGAACATAACAAAATCACATTTTAGAACAGTTGATATACAGAAACATTTCCAAAAAGTCCAAAAATGCATCCTGAATCTCTACATTTTCTCAGAGAATTAGTGTGTTACCTTCTACAATAAGTTTGGCAGTAGAGGTCTTCTCTTTATTTCCAAGCTTAGCAACGCATGTGTACTCTCCTGTGTCAGAGAGCTGAACATCAATGATGGCCAGTTTGCGGTCTTTGCCATCAGAGGTAAACTTGTGCTTTGGACTCTCCCTCAGGTTACTTCCGTCTTTCATCCATGAGGTAACAGCAGTAGAAGGAGAAATCTGGCACTCAAATACAGCAGAAGAACCTATTGACTCAGCTTCCTGCAGTACAATATCTTGGAGTTCCTTCACAAACTTCAGAGGGACAGCCTTGAGCTGGAAACCAAATGGTGCTTCCCCTGGAGGTTTGTCACCACCTGCACCAGGTTTTAGCCCTCTTCCTCGTCCAACATCACCAGGTGAGGGAGTTTTTCTTGCTGAAATGCAAAAAGGTTGTGTTGTTCAGTGCTAGTTTCATGGCAAGTGAAATACACTTTTGCATATTTAATTTAATTTAATATGATAAGTAGATCAGTAGCAGAAATGCAAGCTATTGCATGGTAAGTACATTTAAATTGATAACACAGATACATATTTACATGTACTTACCAACAGATATGTTTAATAAATGTCCAGTAACAAAGTTATAATGTTTCACAAGCATGTTAGGTTCTGGAAAGATTAGCCTTTTATATAAATATAGTTTGAGAAGGAAAAACAAAAGAACAGGAATGGTGACTAAACTGTAAACAAGGAAAAAAAATCCAATGAGGGGCCAATGAAAAGAACAGTGGCAAAACTTTTGAAGCTTTAGGAACTACAGCGCTTTGAAAGCAATCAGTAAAAAGAGATTAAATCCAAACTAATCAAAACTAAAACATAAGTTAAATGCTAAAAGTCATAAGTTACATTCGGAGATTTTAGTATGCGATGGGAGTAGCATTAGCTTATGGATGGGGGGATGCTCAAAAAGATTTTTGGACACTTAGGCTACCTCCACACTACACGCAAAACAATGTAACAATTAAAAGTCATAGAAATCATTTAAATCAAATGAAATTAGATTTAAACTGTTTTTGTCGTTTTCTGCTCTAGAAATTATACAGGAAAATACGGCTGCTATTTTGCTGCAAATAGGCTACATGATGAATACTTATTTATTTATTTTATTTTATTTTTATTTATTTATTTATTTTTATTTCACTTCATTATAAACAAGGCCCCTATATGCAAAAGAACAATGCTTAGATATAAACAATCCAAATGGAGGAAACACTGACAAATACTAGGCTACTGCTGATGTTCACAAATCATCTTGAGGGTGAGGAGGAGAAAGAGGGCCATTCAGTTTTAGTAAGTGATTCTTTAGTCATGGCCTCGCACGTCATTACACAGCAACGTTTAATGCAGAAACCTTTTATTTAGATTTTTACCTAACTTGTTCAACTGCTTAGCATGTAATGTTAACTTGCAACAATCAAGTAACAATTTTTTTAATTTTGTATGTTGACGTTTTACAGTGACAAAAATATTCGAACATAAAAGTCCTGCTTGAACATAAAAGCTGCTCATGCCTAGGCGGTTCAGACTGAATGGAAATCAATGGTCAGAGTTAAAGATATGGAAAATAAGGGTAAGGGTATGGGCATCTATAAAAAGTTAAAGGGAACCTGAGAATGACTTAAATCTGTATTTTATATTTGCTATTTCTAGCCTCAAAAAAATCTAGTAGAAGTGTTTTTTTTATAACTGTATAGAAGATAAGTTGATAAGTTAACAAGATGATATTAAAAATGAAAGAGCAATGATAAATAAGCTGTGTGCAGAAAACTAAGCACCTAAAATACTTACGTTTCAAGCCTCTGCCTCTTCCAGCCTCCTCTTTTGGTGTCCCCTCTGACCAAACACAACAAAAGTTATTTCCAATTCGAGGACATGAAAATGTGCGTAAATAACTAATATGTACATGGTTTATATGCAAGTGTAACAACAACAACCACAGATGGAAATGTGAGAAAAAATATTAAAGTTAGGGTATAACTCATGAGGATGATAAAAACCATGCCACCAATTATGGAAATGTTAGATGGCACCAGTGGATTGACCACTAAGGTTAAATTTGAAGTCCTATGGACAAACATATCCAACAAGATGAGAGGACATTAAGAGACAACATGCAACCACAATGAAGACTGACATAGATGAAGACAGACAAGATTTAGTTTTTAATTATGGACATTAAGATGGTATGAAAATTATTCAGGGCACAAAACAAGATGGATGCCTGGAGGAGGAAAATGAGACATTCAGCGGTGAGGAGCCAAAGCCACCCTCTCACCTCGTCTACCTCCTGGCATCCCTGGAGTCTCAAGTGCACCTTCCTCCAAATACTCTAGGTCTTCAGAGCCATAACTCTCTTGAGGAGCAAGTTCCCATCCCCAAGTCTCCTCTTCATCCTCTTCTTCAACCTCAAACATCTCCTCTTCAAATACTTCTTCTTCCATTTGGGTTGGGACTTTTCTCATCTGCACAGCTCCAGGGGACAGCTCTTTTACCAATGGAACCTCTGCTGGTTTCACTATTGCAGGGATCTCTTCAGTCTTTTCCTCCTTAGGTGAAACTTTCTTTGGCACCTTTTTTAGTGTAACAGATTCAATCAAGTCTTTAGGTGAAACCTTTTCTGGGATTGGCTTTTTAGTCACACCAGTGCTAGGTTTCCTCTCCACAGGAGTTAATTCAATTGGTTTTGCTTGGTCAACCTTTGGTGATGGAGTCTTTTTGGGCTCCAGTCCCTTCTTCGATGGTTCAACAGGTTTTAGAACAACCTCTTCTCTCTTCTCAGGCTCCTTAGGCAAACTGCCTTTTTTGATCACTAGAGGCTTCTTCTCCTCTTCCTTCTTTGGTGGTACATCCTTTTCCACAGGTGTTACCTTTTTGGGGAGTTCCTTCTTCTCCTCTACTTGAGGTACCTCAACAGGCTTCTTTTCAACCACTTTGTCAGGCACTTTTTGCCTGTCAATGTCTTTCAGCTGAGTTTTTGGTTCTTTTGAAATTTCCTCCTTTGGTGCCTTACTGGGTGGTAGAATTTCTGTGGGTATTTTTTCCTTTGGTTCAGGAGCCTCTTTTTGTGCTGGTGAGCCAGATGGCTTTTTTGCAAATGGCTTTAGCTGAACCTTCTCTGGTTCCTCCTCTTGTTTTGGGATTCTCTTGCCTTTCCATGATGGAGTATCAGGTTCTTTGGCCTCTTCATCCTTTTTAGCTCTATCAACAGGTTTACGTACAACCTCATCTGGTTTCTTTTCGTCAGGCTTAGGAGGCTCCACTATTTTCTTTGGGACTTCAGTTTCTTTTTGCACAGGTTCTTTCTGAGGCAGTACACCTTTCTCAAAACTAAGAGGCTCTCTGTCTCTTTCAAAAGATATAGGTTCTCTCTCTTTTGGTTCCTTTTTAGTGTCTTTTTCAGGTTCAGGCACTTGTTTTCCAGGTTTTTCAAAAGGCTTTAACTTAACTGTTTCTTGCTCTTTTGTCTCAGGTGGTAACTTCTTTATTTTCTTTAGAGCCAGGCCTGGTTCCTCTGGTGTATCCTTCTTTGGAACCTTTGCTACTTTCTTCAAATCAGGCTTTTCTTCTGTTTTTTCTTCTGGTTTTGTCTTCTCTGGTTCTTGACCATGCTCAGCTGGCTTCTCTTTTTCCAATTTAGGTTTTATTTCCTCAGTTCTCTTGATTCTTTCATATTTTTCAAACTGAATTTCAGCTTCATAACTCTCAGTAATTAAAAGCTCTCTCACTGCTTCAGCATAGACTTGCTTTTTTTCCTCCTGCTTTTCTGGTGAAGGCTTATGAACCTTCTTCAATTTAATCATTTCCTGCTCCTCTTCTTCTTTGACTTTGGAGATCCTTGTAACTTTCTTTAATGTTGGAATTTCTAGCTTTTCTTCCTCTTTTCTAGGAATTTTCCCTTTAGATTTGGAAATTGATCACATTACAGAGCGAAAAAAACTACACAGATACAATAAAAACATCAAACAACATCAACAAACACACCAAACACCAAACATGTCGTCCAGATTCCCTAGCCTATAAACGTATAAAAAAACATGACACACAACACAGACTAGGACTAACAGAACATCACACAATAGAAGACAACAATACAATACAAAAAGTACAGTGACAGCACATTAACCATCTAAAAATGCCTGTTTCAGTTGCACAGTACAAATCATAAATCATGATAAATCCTGAATGTGTTTCATTTATTACAACACTGAATTTCACAGCAGTTTTCACAGTTTCATCATACCTTTTTTCACAGGTCCAGGTGCAGCAACAGGTCCCTTTTCACCCTCTGATTAAAAAAAAAATAGCCAACAGCATTAAATATAGAAAATAAAGTAAGGTTAACTAAAAATGTACAATATTCTAGTGTTGCTTGTAAGGACATGGAGTGGAAGAAAAAAAGTAGTTGTTAATGGGAAAAAGGAACTATACACTAATAACAGCTTTGCATATGGTTAGTATTCAATAAAGCTTGAGGTTAACATGTGAACAGTGGTGCCTTTATAGTGTTAAGATGCAAATAATGTCACTCCAATAAATATAGGTATTGAATATTCATCTGTAGAAACATGTAATTCAGGCCTAAGATGTGACATTGAGCTTAAGAGTTACTTACCCCCTTTTTTTTACATATAAGAAGATGCAAGAAATGTGCACAAGAAAATGTTTTACATTTCAACTGTGAGGTTATTCTACTCCCAATACCTTCAACTTGTTGGGTAAGGGGTATCTGCTCTTCTTTAGGACCTGCCTTTGGTGCCTCAGGTTCTTGTGGTGTAAGTACTTTAAAATAATTTGAAAGAGATGTCAAAGAAAGGTCACAAGAATATCAAGATTAAGACAATTCATCAGTAGGTTCATCCATGTGGTTTCAGTCTTCTGTTTGTTCTGCTACCTGGTGTGGCAACAGTCTTCTCGTTCCTGGTCTCAAACATGTGTTTGTCTTTAATCTTCTCTCTCTCCACTTGAATTTAAAAGATATTGTGCATTTAGCTTAAGAATTATATTCAAAAGGATAAAATAATGTTTTCATAAGCTCTGTTGAAATCCATAATAAATAATTTAAATATAGATAAAGAGTCTTATAAGAGCCATTCCACCAAAGAATAATGAAGACTAAGAAACATCTTCCTTAGGAACCCATTGCTGGTAGACAGCAGATTTAAGGTGATTTAAGGTACTTTTGGCAAGATGACTTGTAGAAGTTCTAGACCCGAAGAAGTTTTGAAGTTGCAGTGTACTCAGCTGTAGATGTTTTGGATTGTATTACATGAAGGACCACCATATGAAGAGCATTCTCAGAAACTACCACACAAACCAGGCTTATGGCACACATTTGTTCACAAACAGGAGACATTTAGATTAGTATTAAAGGCATGACAACACATACATTTAGTCTCAGATGACGCTTAATATATATTAATAGCAAAAAAACTACATTAATAGCACACAGACACACGTATTTAAGAGGATTTTTAAATTATTAAACAATAAAGTACCTTCAACAGGAGACACTTTCTTTTCTTGTGGCACAACTGCAGGCTCTGGTGGTACTTTTCGTTCAACTGTGGGCCATTCAAAGTCAAGAAAGGTGATGATGAGGTTAAAGACTTCATTAAGACCACAGTAATAGTCACAAAAGACGTACAATTTAGTCCGACATGTTCACGACATATAATAGCACACAACATTTTAAGTAAAAATTATCACACATGGACAGACACACATAAGACAAGTTACAGAAACATTGACAGACAACAAATCAATGTTAAATGAAGACAAAAAGTAGAAGTTAAGGCAGCACAAGAAACATAAAAGTACCTTCAGGTGGAGAGATTTTCTTTGCCTTTGGCAAAATTTCAGGTACTGGAGATGGTTTCTTTTCAACTATGGAAAAGTATGGACAGGTTATGAAGACAGATTTAAGAAGAGGACAAAAAAATGTAGATATATACCAAACACATAGGGAGCAGAACAAAATTGTACACAAAAACACATAAAACATTTCACAAAACAATACTAAGATTTTGAGCAAAACTACTGTCACAGTATTTTTGTACCTTTGGGAGCAGCTTCCTCCCGTTTCAAAGGAGCAGGTGCCTTTTCTGGAGGAGCCATCTTCTCTGGTTCTGGCACTTTAGAATACACATGAAATAATGTTAAAAATGCACCTGCTTTAAAATATTAGCCTGTGAAAACCCTGACTGTTCTAGCATAGGGATCTTCACAAAAACGTTTGACCACACACAAACAAACACAGACAAAGGAAAGGACAGTGAGGGGCAAGAATTGTGGCATTTCAATTCTGAGAGTGTTGTGTTTCATATTCAAGTGGTACAAGAGGACACTGACATAAAAGGCCAACTGCATTCAAGCATGTGCAAGGACCGTGGTTCACTCTGCACTGCTGAATACAGGACAAGGTGAGACAAAACAAGAGATGGGCATGACGCCCAAAATTGCTGCATGGTGTTAAGAATGCGCAAGAGTTGTTATAAGAGAGCGTTTGAGACATCAAGCACGCAAGATCTTATTTCAAATACCTCTCAAAGTTGGTTCTATTGGAAGAGTAGTTTCGTGTTGCTGTGGCAGATCCTTCTGCTTCACTTTACAGGGGATTTCCTTTCTGCCCAAAGAGTGTTCTTCATGAACCAGTTTGTCACTGTGTTGATACTGTTCTGTTTTTCTGAACATGGCATCTTCGGAAACATCCTTCGATGTCTCAGGTGGTATCCAAGGTTTAGTGGAAGAGTCTTCCTTACTTATCTCAACTTGGGATTTCAGAAGAGGTTTAGGTATTTGTCTTTTTTCTTGTGTGGGTATAAATACATCCTTTGATCTATGAAGTTTTTCTCCTTGAATAAGAGCCTCTTCCTGTGGTGGTCCTATAACTTTCTTGATTGTTTGCATTTTGTCATTAATGCTGGAAACATCTAATTTGATGATCTCTCCTTCTTTGTAATGTGGGGAGAGCTCTGTTTTCTGATCATCCTTTGACAAATCTTGCATCTTTACCTGTAAAATTCCCTCTTTTTCAGTTTGTGAAGGTAGAGGTACTTCTTGAGCATGACTATGTCTCTCTTTCAGGTCTTCAGCAGAATTAAAAGACTTCTTATGCACAACCTGTTTGATAGGTCTTACAGAGTGATCTTGTGTAGGTATCATTTCATATATTTCTTTAGTAATATTTGGTTCGTCTGGAGCAATACGTCTATCAAATGTGTTCAATTCAAGAAGAGTTTTTGCTTCTTTACCTGATTCTGCAGTGGACATTACTGGTCTCTCCGAGACATGCTGTTCCTCTAAATGGACAGATTTCACTAATTTAGCAAAGGTACTGTCCTTTTGGGGAGATTCTGAATCTTCCCTTGATGAAGGACTCATTCTCAGAGGACTGTGCAGTGATTCTAATATAGGCACTTCTTCTTTCCTTATGTTTTCTGTATATTCTAAACTGATTTCTTGAATATTGGTGGACTTGTCTTCATCTACACATTTTGGCAAAAAAACCCTTTGTGAGGAAGCAATCTCCTCATCAGAAATTTGAGGAAGAATTACCTTTTCTAAGGATATTTTATGTTCTTCTTGTGGAAAATACTGCTGAACATCACTGCTTGGTTTAATGGTTTCAGTGGTATCCTGTCTAGATGTTGGAATATCTTGGGATAACACATATTTCTGTGGTACCTGTAGTTCATGATCTACTTGCTGCCCAGTGGAAAGCTTGCTCTTTTGAAGGTTTTCTACTGCTGTTCTACTGTCCTGCAGTTTCTTTGCATAGAAATGAGGACTCTTTTTCTCTTTGAGTGCTTCAACATTTTGATGAGGCTTTGACTCTTCCCTTGATATCTTAAAACCCTCTTGAGTGTTTACCGTCTTCTGATTATTAATTTGATTACACTCATCTACTGTTATCATTCTGTGAAAATCTAGGTGAGTATCTGAGTAAACATCTGATTTAACAATCGGGGACAAAATCTCTTCTTTACAAGAAATGTCCTGCCTTACATCTTTCTCTGATTTGCCTTTAAGAGCAATTTTGTCATGTTTGGTGGCTACTGATCCCTCTTCTGATTCTGTTAAAACTACTGCTACATTTTCTGTTGATGAACTCTTACTTTCTGATGTGACTGCAAGATCCTTTTCATGAGAACCAGAATAAAACCCTTTCTTAGATAGCTCGTCACTATCAACCACTAATGTCTTTACTATCCTACTTGATATGGGCTCCATTATCTCATGACCTGCTTTCACTGGGACAACAACTTTCATCTCAACATCCTCCTCCTTTCTGTGTTCCTCAACAGTTTCTTGCTTCTTTTGTATAGTAAGCTGTGAAATGCTTTGAAGGTCCTCTATTGTTTGGTCCTTATCTTTCTGTAACGTACTTTTAGAAGGAAGTACCTCTGTGGTTGTACTGCCATCTTCAAGCTTTTTGTGCAACCTTGTTGCAGGTTTTACTTTCTTTATAGCAGGTTCTTTTTCAGAAGACTTGCGTTTTGCAAAATATTCTTTCTCATCTGCCAATATTCTCTTTTTAGCATCTATCTGATTCTTTGGCGATACATTTCTTAAACGCTCAGAAGGTTCATGTTGCGAAAAGGCCTCTGTGGCATTTTCAGGGGCAGCATCTTCATCCATCTGTGCCGTTCTTTCAACTCTGGCCACTGTATCTTCTGGTCTTCTGTTTATGGAAATGTTTTCATCCGAAGACAGCTGCTCCCCAATGTAATTACCTTCATCTTGGCTCATTTGTTTTGTTATTGATCGAACATTCAACTTAGTACTAAGGTCTGGTTTGGATATTCTTGAATGCTCAGTATCTGAAAGAAGTCTCTCACAAGATATTTCTGTGTATCGCGCATCCTCTGGCTGTGAGGATTCTTCTTCAAAAGAAGTTTGTTTCGTCAGAGATGAAGTGAAAGGTATTTCGTCTGAAATCATTGAAGATTTAACTTGCACTATGCTCTTGAGATGGGTAGATTCTTGAAGTCCTAAGACGTATGTAAGAATATGCAGCAACAGAAGAAAATAAGAGGGTTGTGAAAGGCATAGATTAGATTTAAGAGTGCTGCTAGTAGCAAACCACAAAAGATACTGCGTGTAGTTTTGCACAGGATTCAAAGATGTGTTTAAGACTGAATTTGTAAGTTAGACGTGATGCATTAGGGGAGTAAAAAAACTCTTTATTTTGGTATCTTTTGTCTTAGTTATTTCAGGTCCAATGAAACATTCAGGTGGGAAAACTTCTGGTCTCATGGTGACATAGTTTTCTTTAAAGAACACTCATATGGTAAACAACTCATCCAACTGAAGAGTAGAAAGATTACAAAACTTGGCCCAAATCTCACGCAATATATGACTCTAGGCTTGATCTATTCATTAAACGTGCACTATTTCATATTGTTACTGCTGTCATTTATAATTGATGTGTTTCTAGACTGTCGTTACTATATTATTATTATTTTAGAACTATATATTTAGAGATATACATTATCTGTATTATGCAGAATGGCTTGTATGATAGTGGTAATTTGTGATATTTTCACAGGTGGTACTTGTAATTTTGGATGGGTCACTTAAAACACAGTTTTACAGTTTTACTCAGTTTACAATAAAAGCAGACACATGCATTGGTCATAAGAATTGCAAGGCAAAAGAACAAAGAATGTAGACCGAAAGAGGTTACAGAAGAAAATGAAGAGCATAATGTTATACCTTTAGCTCGTTCTTCCTCCTTTGGAGGGACAAAGCGTGCATCCTGTTTTCTTGGAGGTTCTTCCTTTGGAGGCTCCACAAGAACTTAAAACATTTAAATGACTATTAGCTGCAGTTTTAAAAATGTGTAAGAGAAAACATTACAGATACACACACAACACATAAGGCATACAAGACATCACTCTAACGAGTGAAAAGGATGTAAGATTGTGTGAACAGAAGACAATAAGAGAGCGACAGACACATAGATGATTTAGTATTAAACAGAAGATTTGTATATAAAGAGTTAGGTTTAAGAAAGATATTAGAAAGATATATTAAGGCATTCTTTAAAGTCTACTGCCATTGTACCTTTTGCAGGAGTTACGTCTTCTCTTTGGGAAACTTCTCTGTCTCCTTTTGTAGAAATAAGAGTAATCTCTTTCTTAAGAGGCACAGAATCTTCTTTGTTTGGAAGAACTTTCTTTTTAAGCTGAACATCTTCCTCCACTTTGGCTTTAAGTACATGAGTTACTGCTTTTGTATGAAGAAAAGATTCTTCTTTTTCAGAAGCTACAACAATCTCCTTGAACTCCGGTAGAATATCTTCCTTTTTCTCTAGGGTAGACACAGCTGTTATCTCTATCTTTTGAGACATCTCTTCTTTCTTTGAAGATATAAGATACTCCGTTTCCTTGGGTAAAATGTCTTCTCTTATTTCAGTAGGAGGTGTGAGTGTTACCTTCAGTGTTTCTGATGTTTTTTCTTCTTTAGAAGAAAACATTAATTCCTTCTCCTTATACAGAATGCCTTCTTCCATTCTTGGCACCAGTGTTGCCTGCACTTCTTTTTTAAGTGAAATAACTTCCTTCTTTCTCTTTTCCTCCTCATGTTTAGATTCAGGTATAATTTTATATTTCTGCTCAGGCTTAACTTCAGGTTTAGGTTCATGTTTGATCTCAGGCTTAGTCTCAGGCTTGACCTCAGGTTTAGGTTCACGTTTCATCTCAGGTTTAGGCTCAGGCTTAACTTCAGGTTTAGGTTTGACCTCAGGTTTAAGATCAGGCTTAATCTCAGGTTTAGGCTCAGGTTTAACCTCAGGTATAGGCTCAGGCTTAACCTCAGGTATAGGCACAGGCTTAACCTCAGGTTTAAGTTTGACCTCAGGTTTAGGCTCAGGCTTAACCTCAGGTTTAAGTTTGACCTCAGGTTTAGGTTCAGGCTTAACTTCAGGTTTAGGTTTGGCCTCAGGTTTAGGTTCAGGCTTAACTTCAGGTTTAGGTTTGACCTCAGGTTTAGGCTTAGGCTTAACTTCAGGTTTTGGTTTGACCTTAGATATAGACTCAGGCTTAATCTCGGGTTTAGGTTCAGGTTTTATTTCAGTTTTAGGCTCAGGCTTAACCTCAGGTTTAGGTTCAGGTTTGACCTCAGGTTTAGGTTCAGGTTTGACCTCAGGTTTAGGCTCAGGCTTAACCTCAGGTTTAGGTTCAGGTTTGATCTCAGGTTTAGGCTCAGGCTTAACTTCATGTTTAATCTCAGGTTGTGGTTTAGGCTTAACTTCCGGTTTCGCTTTGACCTCAGGCTTAACTTCATGTTTAATCTCAGGTTGTGGCTTAGCCTTAACGTCAGGTTTCGCTTTGACCTCAGGTTTAGGCTCAGGTTTGACCTCAGGTTTAGGCTCAGGTTTGACCTCAAGTTTAGGCTCAGGCTTGACCTCAGGTTTAGGCTCAGGCTTCACCTCAGGTTCAGGTTTGACTTTAGCTTTCAGCTCAGGCTTAATCTCGGGTTTAGGCTCAGGCTTAACTTTAGGTTCAGGTTTGACTTTAGCTTTCAGATCAGGCTTAATCTCGAGTTTAGGCTCAGGCTTAACTTCAGCTTTCATTTTGACCTCAGGTTTAGGCTCAGGCTTAACTTCAGGTTTAGGTTCAGGTTTGATCTCAGGTTTAGGCTCAGACTTAACTTCAGGTTTAGGCTCAGGTTTAACCTCAGCTATTGGCTCAAACTTTATCTCAGACTTAGGTTTAGGCTTAACATCAAGTTTTGGCTCAGGCATAACCTTAGGTTTAGGCTCAAATTTAACCTCAGATTTATCCTCAAATTTAACCTCAGGCTTAAGCTCAGAAATTATGTCTGTCTTTATTAGCATCTTTTCTTTTTCAAGAGAAGGTTCATCTTTCTTCTTAGGTAGTATTTCCACTTTCTCTTCTTTCTTGAGGGCAGGAGTGACATCTTTCTTCTGAGAAACCTCTTTTGGTTTAAGCACAGGAGAAACATCTTTCACTTCCTCTTTCTGTATAGGTATACATGTAGGGACCTCTGGCTTCTTGAAAGGTTCTTGTACTTTGAAAGAATATTCAAATTAAAGATATTGCTTCAAGTTGCACTGTTTTAAGAGTTTATCAACCCAAAATCAGTGTAAGAGATACAAGAAACATAAGACAACAAGTCAACAAAATGCCACTGTGGGATCATGGTTTTCCCATAAGAGCGTGGCAAATAAGAGGACAGTTCAACACAGGCACATGCACAAAAGAATGTCTACTGACATAAAAACAAGAACTAATACCTTTTTGAGGGGCTACCTCCTTAGGAACCACAGTGGGCTGTTCTGGTTTAGGTGGCACTGCTTTTGGTGGTTCAATCTGAGTTGGTTTTCGTTTCTGTTCCTCCACATGAGCTTAAAATGAAATTTATTTTGGTTTTAATTCGCATTTAAAGGTTACATCAATGCAGACACAGTGACAAAAGACATGCTTCCAAACTGGAAGCTGGACAAACACACAGCACCACACGATATGCAAGAACAATATGCAAGATCTTCAGAAAAGATTAGCATATTAACTGAAGAAGACAGTAAGATAGTAAGAGATACAAATACTACCTTTTGCTGGAGGTGACTCAGTTTTCCTCACTGCTGTAGGCTTGGGTTCTTGCTTCACCTCAGGTTTAGGTTCAGGCTTGATTTCAGGTTTAGGTTCAGGCTTAATCTCAAGCTTAGGTTCAGGTCTGACCTCAGTTTTAGGCGGAGGCTTAACTTCAGGTTTAGGTTCAGGTCTAACCTCAAGTTTAGGCTCAGGTTTGACCTCAGGTTTAGGCTCAGGTTTGACCTCAGGTTTAGGTGGAGGCTTAACTTCAGGTTTAGGCGGAGGCTTAACTTCAGGTTTAGGCTCAGGTTTGACCTCAGGTTTTAGTTCTGGCTTAACTTCAGGTTTAGGTTCAGGTTTAACCTCAAGTTTATGCTCAGGTTTAGGCTCAGGCTTCACCTCAGGTTTAGGCTCAGGCTTCGCCTCAGGTTTAGGCTCAGGCTTAACCTCAGGTTTTGGTTTGGGTTTGACCTCAGGTTTCAGCTCAGGCTTAACCTCGGCTTTAGGTTCAGGCTTGACCTCAGGTTTAGGCTCAGGCTTGACCTCAGGTTTAGGCACAGGCTTAACCTCAGGTTTTGGTTCAGGTTTGACCTCAGGTTTCAGCTCAGGCTTAACCTCGGCTTTAGGTTCAGGTCTGACCTCAGGTTTCAGCTCAGGCTTAACCTTGGCTTTAGGTTCAGGTTTGACCTCAGGTTTCAGCTCAGGCTTAACCTTAGCTTTAGGTTCAGGTTTGACCTCAGGTTTCAGCTCAGGCTTAACCTCAGCTTTAGGTTCAGGTTTGACCTCAGGTTTTGGCTTAGGTTTGACCTCAGGTTTAAGTTCAGGCTTAACTTCAGGTTTAGGTTCAGGTTGGACCTCAGGTTTCAGCTCAGGTTTAATCTCAGGTTTAGGCTCAAGAGTGATATCTTTCTTTTGAGGCAAAATATCTTCTTTTATAAGAGAAGGTTCGTATTCCTTCTTCTTAGGTAGTATTTCCACTTTCTCTTCTTTCTTGAGGGCAGGAGTGACATCTTTCTTCTGAGAAACCTCTTTTGGTTTAAGCACAGGAGAAACGTCTTCTTTCACTTCCTCTTTCGGTATAGGTATACATGTAGGGACCTCTGGCTTCTTGGAAGGTTCTTGTACTTTGAAAGAATATTCAAATTAAAGACAATGCTTCAAGTTGCACTGTTTTAAGAGTTTATCAACCCAAAATCAGTGTAAGAAATACAAGAAACATAAGACAGCAGTAAGTCAACAAAATGCCACTGTGGGATCATGGTTTTCCCATAAGAGCGTGGCAAATATAAGGACAGTTCAACACAGACACATACACAAAAGAATATCGACTGACATAAAAACAAGAACTAATACCTTTTTGAGGGGCTACCTCCTTAGGAACCACAGTGGGCTGTTCTGGTTCATGTTTAGGTGGTACAGCTTTTGGTGGTTCAATCAAAGTTGGTTTTCGTTTCTCTTCCTCCACATGAACTTGAAATGACATTTATTTTGGTTTTAATTCACATGTAAAGGCTATACATCAGTACAATTAAAGATAATCCTTTAAACTGCACTGTTTTAAGGCTTTGTCAACCCAAAAACTGTGTAAAGTACTAGAAACATAATAAGACAACAAAATGCCACTGTGGGATCATGGTTTTCCCTTAAGAGCATGGCAAGTATGAAGACTGCTTAACACAGACACATGCACAAAAGAACATCTGACATGAAAAAAACATGAACTAATACCTTTTTGAGGGGCTACTTCCTGAGGAACCACAGTGGGTTGTTCTGGTTTAGGTTTAGGTGGCACTGCTTTTGGTGGTTCTGGCTGAATTGGTTTTCGTTTTTCTTCTTCCACACGAACTTCAAATGACATTTTAATTTTAATTCACAAGTAAAGACAACACATCAAACACATTAAAGACAATGCTTCATACTGCACTGCTTCACGGGTTTGTCAACCCAAAAACCAGGGTAAGATACAAGAAACACAAGACAACAACATTAAGTCAACAAAAAGCCACTGTGTGTCATGGCCTTCCCCTAAGAGCGTGGCAAATAAGTGGACAGCTTAACACAGGCACACACATAAAATACTATCTATTGACATGAAAAAACATGAACTAATACCTTTTTGAGGGGCTACTTCCTGAGGAACCACGGTGGGTTGTTCTGGTTTAGGTTTAAGTGGCACTGCCTTTGGTGGTTCTGGCTGAATTGGTTTTCGTTTCTCTTCTTCCACACGAACTTAAAATGACATTTATTTTGGTTTTAATTCATTTTTATAGGCTATGCATCAAAGTAATCACAGACAATGCTTCACACTGCACTGCGTTAAGGGTTTATTAACCCAAAAATCAGTGTAAAAGACAAGAAACACAAGACAACAACATTAAGTCAACAAATGCCACCGTGTGATCATGGCTTTCCTAAGAGCGTGGCGAATAAGAGGACAGCTTAACACAGGCACACACATAAAAGACTATCTACTGACATTAAAAACATGAACTGATACCTTTTTGAAGGGTTACTTCCTGAGGAACCACAATGGGCTTCTCTGGTTCAGGTTTAGGTGGCACAGCTTTTGGTGGTTCTGGCTGAACTGGTTTTCGTTTCTCTTCCTCTACATGAACTTAAAATGACATTTGTTTTTAGTTTATTTCACGTGTAAAGGCTACACAGGAAAGCAATTACAGATAATGCATTAAACTGCACTGTTTTAAGGGATTGTCAACCCAAAAAACAATGTAAGCTACAAGAAACACAGGACAACGAGAAGTCAACAAAATGCCACTGTGAGATCATGATTTTCTCCTAAGAGCGTGGCAAATAAGAAGACATAAATAAGACGTCAGACACAGACACATGCATAAAAGAATAGCTACTGACATAAAAAAACATGAACTAATACCTTTTTGAGGGGCTACCTCCTTAGGTACCGCAGTGGGTTTTTCCGGTTCAGGTTTAGGTGGCACAGCTTTTGGTGGTTCTGGTTGAGTTGGTTTTCGCTTCTCTTCCTCCACATGAACTTAAAATGACATTCATTTTGGTTTTAATTCATATGTAAGGGTTACACATCAAAGTAATTAAAGAATTGTTTTAAAGAATTGACAAACGCAACACATTCACATAAATATAAATATGTCTTATGTGGCCCAAATGAACTTCCAACACAGGACAAGGACAATAAATCACAATGCCACTGAACATCATGGTTTCCCCATAAGAGCGTGGCTGATAACAATAAGACATGTACATGTACAGCAAGACATTCACTCACAAAAATCACATGAACTAATACCTTTTTGAGGGGCTACTTCCTTAGGAACCAAGACGACTGGTTCTGGTTCGGTTGGTACTGCCCTTGGTGGTTCTGGTTCAGCTGGTTTTGGTTTTTTGACCTCCGGAGGAACTTAAAAGAACATTCATTTCGCTCTTAATTCAGGGTTTCAGGACTTACATAACAAAGCAGGTACAATGACAAAAAGCACAAAATGACACTTCCAAATCGGAAGCAACACAGACACAAGGGAACACACAGGTTTAAAACAAAACAGTTTTAGAACAGATTAGGATGAAATTTAAAGACAAAACTTAGTTGACAGACAGACACTACCTTTGGCTGGAGGCAACTCAATTTTCTTCTCAGGTACAGGCTTTGGCTCAGGAGCTGGTTTCACCTTGGCCTCAGGTACAGGCTCAGGCTTAGCCTCCAGCCTGGGCTCTGCTTTGGGTTCAGCTACTGGGGCAGGTTTAGGCGTTGGTTCTTTGGGTTTAGGCTCTGGAACCACAGGAGCTACAGGTTCTGGCACTTTTTCATGTAATACAAAGAACCGTTATTAGTAATAAAGGAAACAAAATATTTAGAAAGGCAAAAGATCTCTGACAAGAGTATTGTTAACACACAGGGTAAACATATCATGACAATGACACTTTTTTTGACAGTAAAAGGACATTGTAAGACATAGTAGACTCTAAACAGTAAATGTGGCACAACCGAGTAACAAAAAAAGGACTAAGACAGAAACTACAAATGTTAACAATATGACGGAGAAACACTGTTAAAAGAGTGAATATTACATGAATATCACAAACAAAATAAATAGTACAACAATGCCCCTATGTTTTGACAGACGGTGAACAGATGTATTGTTAAAAGATGTAAACATGAATACTACAAATAGACACACAACAAAATACCTTTCTTGGGAGTGACTGGAGTTGGCTGAGGAGCAGGTACCTCTTCAGGTGCTTTTAAAATATCAGAAGTAGGAATTCACAAAAAACCCAAATCCATTTAATGTCATAAAGACATTTCCACAATATTTAAAACTTCAAAGACAAACAGATTCAAGGACATACACAGAATGTGCCATAGACAAAGTAAAGATGTCACAATGTACACAAATCTTGAAGTAAACAAATGTTGATTATCCAACAAATTGACAGAAGATCATGAACATTTACAACTGTACCTTTCGGTGTGGGACGTTCTTTTGGTTTCTCCACCTTTACTGGTACAATTGTTTCCTCCACGGGTTTCTTGACTTTGGGTACTTAAAAATATATTCATGTATATAGTCATTAACAGATATGACGTTACGTGCTTTTAGGTGACCATTACTGACAAACTGACAAACATAAAGTTTACAGGATGCACTCAAGAGAAAAACACATAAAAAGATATGAAAAATGTGTAACATTTAACTGATTACAATGCTGGTCTATACAACACAACACTGAGGCATTTGTATACCTTTAGGTGGTGCTACTTCCTTCTCCTCAACTCGTTCCTCCTCTGGAACTTGAAGAACAATCACCACATTAGATCAAAACTACAAGCTTCGGCTTTGAGAGCAATCATGCATGAGCAATGCAGAAGAATTAGGAAACACCACAGAGACAGATATTTTGAATGTTTACATATTTTACAGACAGAAAGGACGCAGCACAAGTGCACAGAAAATATATATTAGTTAAAGAACAGCCAATCTGAAAAGCACATCTACTGAGACAGCATACACACAGACTAACAATAAAAGTCTCAATTCATTACATTAGCAACAACAGTAGCATATGTAGAAGCATAAGAAGAGCACATGACATTGTTAATTTGCAAAAGATGATGTCTTAACCCAAAACTTGAAACAACAAAAGACACAGACAGACTATGAAGATGACATTAGCGTGTTTGCCACCATGTAGCAGAAAGCCACTGCAGCCAATATTCTACTGTCACTCAGTACCTTTGATTGGAACTTCCTCTCTCATTCCTAATGCTTTTCTCTCAATAGTCTCTTCCACGGGGATCCTCAGGGCTGGTGAAAAAGAGAATGCTCTTAGAAAAACAGACTAACACTATTCATGTTTTGGATGTATATTTTGACGAAGAACAGTATGACAAAGAAACAAGAAACACTGACACAATGAAATTACAGACAAAATGAAGACAAACGATCTTTGAAGATACAAATACAAACACGTTAAACTGTTCCGACACATATATGGCAGAGACAAACACAGTGAAGGACACAAAGACCCATTGTGAATTTTTGAAAGATGCCATGGAAAGAATAAGAAGAGATGAGTTATTAACAAGAACAATGAAAAGGTGACACGTTCAAGTTGTTTATGCTGAAAAAAAGGAAGAGGGTTAGTTTGTTGGTGAGACTTGAGTGAATGAACCAGAATGGAAAGCTCTCAGTGATACCTGTTATAGAGACTTCCTCTACTACCCTCTCTTCTGTCCTGTATTCATACTCATATTCTGATGAAGGACAACAATTCATGACAAACATCAGAAATATAACCAGATAAATCATGTTTTATTATTATTATTATTATTATTATTATTATTATTATTATAACATTGCTGTTATTTTAAATCCAGTGGCATTAATTGGTTATTCCAAAACATTTCAGAATTTCACTTGAAAAAAACATTTTTGAAAATCGGTGCTGGTGAGATTACAGCATTATGCTCATCGACACTTTTGAAGTTCTGGATTAATGGATGGGATGGTTAAGGATGAAGATGATTATTATTGTTAGCCTGAATGTCCACTTTTAATGCATGGCTTTGTAAGATAATGAAGAGTTAGTTATCAGGGTTCAGGTATATGGTATACCTTGTACTTCCATCTTTTCTTCATAATGATAGTATTCTGCAGAAGTTTCAGCTTTCAAAATAAAGAATTAAATTAGTGAGTGCATTCAGGGTTGGAGATTTTACAACTAGATTTAGGTCCCTTTCTTACCTTCAATAGTAAATGCAGATGGTGCTTCAGGGACTTGTATTGATGAATCAGGGATATCTGAGGGGTTTTAAATATCAGTTGAATTTCTAGCACAAACTATTGAAACTAATCAATTGTGTGTAGTATAAAAAAGTTGAATACACTATCTATATATAACTTTGTGCTTCATTATTAATAAAGGGACCTTTAATTAAATTACTTACCATAAGGTACCCTTCCTACATCAATTTCTGTGAAAGGAGGTACAGTAACATAACGTTATGGACATAAATGCACTGGAACATGCACGCCACATAAATTTTATTCAAGTGACTAAGGGGTTGGTACAGACCTTTACCAGACAGATACAGCTCTGCTGTACTTTTGGCTTCACCTCTGGGCTCCAATCTGACAATCACTGAATATACGCCTAAAGAATTGTTCATAAGATTAATAGGGCCCATTTTAGATGAATAAGAAGATGAAAATCATAGAGACATAAAACTGAATGCAGCTGGATGTTGGCTGGACGAACCTTCATCCTCAGAGGTTACGTTGCGGATGATCATAAAGTGCCGTCGACCTTCGCTTCTGAATGTGTACTTTGGACTCTCTTTAAGCTCCCATGTATCCTTGTACCATGTTACTACTGCGTTGTCGAAGGACACTTCACATTCAAAAGTTGCGGACTGTCGTTCCCGGACAACAATGTTCTGAATGCGCTTAGTGAAATGAATTTGTTCCGCTAAAGAGAAATAACGCAAGGTTGATGATCAGAGAATAAATCTACTGTTTGTTTTCCTCATTTTTTTCTGATGCACAAACAAAGCATTTGTGCTTCAATGAAAATTGGAAAAAAACACTTTTAAACTCTCCATAATTTGTTGAATAATCATTATTTAAGCATTGCTTAAGATGCCTATTAAAAATATCCAAAAAGAAGGCAAGAAAACAAGGCTTATTCACAGATGAAGATGGAAGAGGTTAGTAGATGGTCTAACTTGTACAATAAAAAGATGAGTCTCACGAATGTATACACACCTTCAACCCAAAGATTTGCAGCTGTTTCAAGGTGTCTGTATTTGCACATATATTCTCCCTGGTCTTCAGGCCTAACGTCTTTGATCGAGAGCTTCTGAGTATAATTAGCCACAGCGTATGTGTATCGGCCACGAGGCTCTAAAAGCTTTCCATTTTTAAACCACTGTGCCTTTACATTGGGTATGGAGAACTGGCATGTTAGTGTGCAGGTTTGGCCTTCCTTACCAGCAACATCTTCCATGTGCCGTTCCACTTCACCTTCTGTAAAAAAGAAAAGTGAGAGAACATTAAAACCCTATACTCGTACCTTTTATTAAATTCAAACCAGTGTTAAAATCCTTAAGAATGAATGGTAAAAGCCATGCTAAATGGCAACATTAGCTATCTTTCTTTCTTGGCTGTATGATCATAGTTCATTTTTTAGGTGTACGGTACATACCCAATACTGTAAGTTTGGCGCTAGAGATATGAGGCCCACAAACAATTCGGTAACTGCCTTCATCCTTGGTCTGGCAATTCTTGATCTTCAAGATGTGGCGGTCACCACTAATTTTGATCTCGTACTTGTCACTTGTTTCAAGTTTTTGGGTTCCTTTATACCAGGTCAGCATGATCTCTGGGTAGTTGATCTTGATCTCACATTCAAAGACAGCCTCCTTGTTGGCATCTGTCGTCTGATCTGTGATGTCTCTGATCAACGTAACAGGCTACACAGACAATGATAACTGCATGTGAGGATTCGCAAAACAACATATGGCAGCAGATACACAAAAAAAAAACATTAATGGTATTTTTGATTTTTGATTTTTTTTGGCATTCTGACTTTAGGTGCCATTGACTGAGAATGCGCTGTAGATGGTTCTATATAGAACTTTTTTGAAAAGGGTTCTATATAGCACCAAAAAGTGTTCTTCTATTGTTACGATGTCAAGCTTGTAATAAGAAGAACCCTTTATGGTGCTTTATAAAAGGTACTATAGAGATCCATCTACAGCACATTCTCCATCAATCTGAAGAACCTTTTATGATGCAAAGAACCTTATAATCAAGCAAAAGGTTTGTTGAGGGTTCATGGTTCTATATAGAGCTATTTCTTTACTAAAGAACCTTTGCAAAAACATAATTTTTAAGTGTGCAGACAGTACAGTAAAGCATAATAAAAAATAACAATTGAACTGCTCAGTGTTATGCTTCATGTTGAATATGAATTCATTAATCGCGAATCATTAACAAATATTCAAACCTCAGTTTGCTCCATCCTCTTCTGCAAATCAGCCACAAGTTTGGCCAAATCTTCATCTGGCTCACGTCTTGCACGTTCCACTTCCTAACAGCAAAAAAAATCAAGAATCAAAATGAAAGAGAGCACTATACAGTAAAATACTATGGCAAAAGGTGTCTTTCTTGAAATGTTAACTTAACATGAGAAGGAAAAACATCCTTTATTTTTAATGTAAGTCAATGGAACCAGACATTTTCTTAGTCATTCTGGGCCATTTTTTTGTCCATTCATCAGGAAATTTACACACACAATGTAAAGGACAGTAGGCCTTTTCAAAGTATGTCAAAAACTGAAAAATGCAAAAAATGGAAATACAAGGTTTTGTTCCAACAGCAGTGTTATACTTCTTGGATAAGCAGCATATAAACCACACCAAGCTAGCAAATAAAAGCCAAAAACATCTGAACTTAAATAATACAAAAATCAGGTTCATAAATATTCTCTAGTTAACACTAGAGCAATGCAATATACAGTACATGCAAACACTCTCACCGGTCTTCCACTTTCTTCTTCTTTCTCCCTCTTGAGCTGCTCAATGGCCTGAAGAATGCCTCGGTAGTCTGTGATGCCATACATGCGAGCATATTTCTCATACTCTTTGGGATCCACATTTCTGAGCAGCTCAACAATGTCAATTTCCTTTTCCTCTTTTGGGCTTTTCTGCTTTGAGGGTGTCCTAAAAACAAACATAGAGTATGGTTTATTTATTCCATTCAGCGACTACAGGTTCAAGTGTCTTTACTCAGTAACTCATGAAAACACCATTAATACCACACTCACTTCTTCAGTTTAACTGTTTCAAGTACAATCTCTTTCTTCTCGTCGACATTCAGTTCGGTGCTGCACTCGATTTCTCCATGCTTGTTAGCGGCTACACATCTATACTGGCCAGTGTCAGATTTGGTCGCTTCTCTGATCTCCAACTTGGCCTCTTGTCCTTTCTGATCAATGGTGATGCGGCCACCATGACTCATCTGTCTCCACTTGCCTTTCATCCATTTCACGTTAGGAATGGGATCACCCCCAACTTTGGCGATGAAGGTTGCAGTGCCCTCTGTAAATATGTTCAAAATAGAAAAGTTAAACCTTTTTTTGTCAAAAATGATACATACTGATTTTAACATGCATTCATTCTGCTGATGCTTTTGTCCATTTGACAACTAACATTAGCTACTTTGGCCTAGGTGCTTTGCTTCAATGTACAATAATAGCCTGGACTAAACCCATGACCAGAAGTGCTAATAGGAATTTTGGGCTCCCTGAAAATTTCATGCATGGGCCACTTGCCTTACCTCATTTGCCTTTAGAGAACTACTCATTTAATCCTTCATTTCAACTTAGCCCCATACTTTCACCATGCTGCCCTCACTAGCATGCAGCTTGCTGTGAATGTGAATATAAACTGTTAAAGCACAGCTATATAATAAACTGTTCTTGACTGTGTCACACAGTCCTCCAGCATGGACTCCAATTCCCAGAACCCCTTGGGTGATTATGTGACTCCACCACACAAAACTTGTCATAGATCAGCCTCATCTGAATACTGATTGTGTTTACCTGTTTTGTCTGTCATGTGACTTGTTTAGTTAGCCTTATAAGCCCTGGGATTTAGAGTAGGCACTTTGCGAGGTATTGCTACTGTTCACAGAGCTACTGAGCGTTTTATTGTGCATTTGTTTGTTTTTCTTGTGTATTGATCTCTTGCCTGTTTTATTCGACTCTGCCTTTTGCTTTCTCTCCTTGGTTTGGTTATGATGGTGTTTTTCTGGCATTTGGATTTTTTTGGAACTGACCTTGGCCTGTTTTTTTGACCACAACTTTGGAACTCCCTGAATCAAGTAAAGCTTCTTCTGTTTTTACAATCCGCATGCCTCTGACTTATCCCATTACAGACTACTTGCTCATATAGTGGACCCTGCGACACCTTCTACTTCACATTCTGTTCAAAGATAAACTTACATTTCAGTGGTCAGCTGAACAAAATTTTAAAACAAAAACATAAGGTATGTGGCACTGTTGATTCATGAGAGACTAAAAAATTGCAGTATAAAATGGGTCTTGTTTAGTCAGCTACTAAACTGCAGTTACTATAGCACAAGCTTCTTTTCTATTTTCTGCTCCAGTATATCTTCTTAACCCCAGAAAAACTGGGTGACATACTGTCTTCTTCTTTTTTTTAAAGCCCGATGTGCAATTTATAGCAGCCATCTTCATTTTAATTAAAAGCTAAATTCTTATAGCAGACCATGACTGGGCTAAACCACTGAAGATTTACACAGAGAGGCCTACCGGAGGGGTGACAAATGCGAGATTCATTGCTGTTAGTGCTGTTTCAAAAGTCTTAAATTATTAGAATTAACCATTTCAATTAAGAATCTTTCAGTATGCCTTTAAAAAACTCATCATCCTAATCTCTACCCACCCTCCTATGGTGGCCACGATGACTCGAGTTTCAGTCAAATTTATCAGACCACTGTGCTACCAGACTATAAAATATAATCAGGCTAGCCACTTACTCTCAGTAATCCGGACACTCTTGGGTTCCTCAATGAAGAACAAGTTGTCCAGTTTCTTAACTGGTTCAGGAGCTGCGGGGGCTGCGGGAGCTGCAGGAGCTGGAGCAGGAGCTCCTGCTTTCTCTGTCATTTGGATCAAAATGCAGCAATGAGTCAGACAGAAATAATAACAGTGATGCATTTTGCTAATAAGTAGACAAGCCAAAGCACCCATTACTACAGCAGCCATTCAAGGTGAGAGCTCTGACAACAAAACAACTATCCATGTGTTAAGAAAGCAAGAATGGCATCAAAACCTTTGAAAAGAAACGTTTCACTTCTGGATTTTTGAAAAAGGAAGATCTTTGCTGACTTTGGAGAGTCAAATCCAAGCAACAGTAACTACAAGAATAAGCATTAGTATGTAATAAAAGAAATGCGGAAATAATTAGCATTACGAAAGAACAACCACAAATGACCATCTCAGCAGCAGGGTAAAGCACGCAGAAGATTAAACAATACTAACACAAGTGAAGAAAATATATTAAAACAAAAAATAGTGCAAGAAGCCACAGATGACAGACATGTTAAGGAGAAAGCAATGTTGTACAGGACATGGGAGGAAATACCTTTGATAGTGACTCTAGACTTGCAGAACTCGCTACCAACTTCATTGGTTGCCTTACAGAGATAATCTCCTGCGTCTGTTTTAGACGCACGGACTATCTCTAATGAGGCAGTGCCATCTACAAATGTGATCTTGGTGCTGGCAGAAGATGTCAGCTCCCTCCTGTCCTTCATCCACTGTATTTTCAGTGGAGGAGAGCCACGTACATGGCAGCTAAGAAAGAGTGTCTCACCCTCATTCACCGTCACAGGTTTAAGAGACAAGTCAAAGCTTGGAGGTACCTTTTGCTCTGCATTTGAAAAATGAAGAACAGGATTTACACAAATGTATAAGTAAATACACATAGTAAATGTATAAGTAAATACACATAATTTGAAGTTATGGTTGAAGATGAAGACATATAACCAAAAACATGCTTTGAAGCAACAGAGAGATGTAGTTACAGAATGGTTTCAGACAGATTTCCAACCTTTCAGAGGGAGAGATGTGTTTGCATGAATTGCAAAAACATGCAGACCCCAGAGACCAAAACTATGTACCTGTAATGTGGACAGAAACCTGGCAAGAAGCAGCGCCAGCGTCGTTGTTGACCTTGCATGTGTAAGTACCAATATCTGAGAGGCGGGAATTCTTGATGAACAGCACAGCCATATTGTTTTTGAAGGTCATATCATAATTGTCAGAGCTGAAGATTTCTGTGTCATCTTTGAACCAGCTGACGGTCATGGGCTGCGATCCAGCAACACGGGCCTCAATCTTCACTAACTTGCCCTCAGTGTCCTCCAGTGTTTCTGAAGGCTTTTTGGTGAAGCTTGGAGGAATTTTGCGTTCTAGGAACAAGAAACAAGTGCATGATTAATGCAAAGGTGTTGTGATATTAATTATTCCTGGAATAAGCCCGAACATCATCACCTCTTTGTGACAGTTTTATGGCAAGAATGACAAACCAACAAAAGCAGATTTGAGAAGAAGACAATGAATTTACACATAGTAAAAAGAAACTGGACTGAACCGCGGACATAACCACACTCATAAACAGTCACCCAATACCTTTCACAATAACTTCTGTCGAACAAGAGTCCTTCCCCATATCATTACTAGCATGGCAAGAGTAGCGGCCAGAGTCAGCCTTATCTGCCTTCAGAATAGTGAGGTGTGGGGTGTTTTCCACAAACGATATCTTATAATTGCCCCCTGTACGGATATCTTTGTGATCCTTTGACCAAGTCACTTTTATTGGTAATGATCCAGTCACGCGGCATTCCAGTTCCACGATATCTCCGACTGAAACTTCCACAGGCACAAGCTTTTTATCAAACACAGCTGGGTATCTTGGCTCTGAAAAGTTAAATAAAGGAAGTAACACAAAATACATAAACATGTTAGGGTAGGCCAAAAGTTCAGTTCAGAAAAACAGAACCGGGCATTGATTAAAGCACATTAATATACAGTATGACTCAACAGAACAGACCTTGAAGTGTGAGCTTGGCTCTACAAGAGGCGGTCCCAACACTATTTGTTGCAACACAAGTGTATTCTCCAGAGTGTCTCATTTCACCCTTGGCAATTTTCAGGACAGCAGAATTATCATCAAAAGTCATTGTGTACTCTGAGTCACTTCTCAGAGGTTCACCATCTTTAAGCCAAGAAATCTCCATAGGAGAGGATCCTGCAACACGACACTCAAACTGGACACTATGTCCCTCAGTTTGCTGAATGCTAGTAATTTTCTTGGGGAAAGAAGGTGGCGTTTTGGCCTCTGAAAAAGGAAAGGTTAAACAAAACACCAGTAAAAGCTACAACACAAGCAATTCAGCAGGTACATTATACCTGGATAAAACATGAGATATTAAACGATCAAGAGAAAGAGGAGAGAAATAATCACCTTGTACAGTTAAATAACAGGTAGAAGTTGCAGATCCAATGCTGTTTTCTGCCTTACAAGTGTATTCGCCAATATCGGCTTTTGAGGCTTTAGTTAATTTCAAGCAAGCCGTGCCTTTGGAGTATTCAATTCTACAAGTTGGGGAAGATCTGACTTTGCCATCTCCTTTGAACCAGGACACTTTGATCTCAGGAGTCCCCACAATCTGGCATTTCAGACAGACCGCATCACCTGCAGTCACTTCCATCGGTTCCAAACTCTCAATAAAGGAAGGTGGTTCTAAAACATCACAAATTGGCTATTAATTTTAGGGAAGCATACAAACTGATTCTGTCTAATTAAAACATTTTTAGGAAAAAAAAAAACAAACCTAAAATGGACACTGTGGCATTACAGGTATCGTGTCCAGCATCATTCGAAACCTCGCAAGTGTATTTTCCTGCAGCCTCTTTATCACTGTTCAGACACTCCAGGATGCAGGAGCTCTCAGTGGTTGTGATATTATATTTGTAAGAGGAGAAAATCTCCTGACCATCTTTGTACCATTTTACAAGAATCTTGGGGCTTCCAGCATACGTGCATTCAAGTATCATTGACTTGCCCATTTCAACTGAGAGATTCTTTAGCTTCTTGACGAAACGTGCAGCCTCTGTACAAAACAATTGATATAATTACATCTTATACCATGTACACACTTGCGCAAATATAAAAAAGGTTTTTATTTGACGATAAAACAACACGTCATCTAACCTTTCACAAAAAGGGTGACAGGGCAGTTTTCCTTCCCTGCATCGTTAATAATCTGGCAAGTATATTCGCCTGCATGGGATGTGTCAATTTTAAAGAGCTCCAGTATGGCTGTGTCTCCTCTCAAGGCAATCTCACAGCTTCTACCAGACACAATTTCCTTACTGCCTCTGAACCATTTCAGTTTTAATGGGGCACTTCCCCTCACAGTGGCAGTAAATGTGACATTTGAACCCGGGAGGGCCTCCACTGGCTGAGGTGGTGACACAAAAGATGGAGGTTCTGCAGCAAACGTGAAAAAAAGAATATAAAGAATATTGTTTGTGGTCCTGAGACCTTCAACAATCATGTCCAATGTCCAACCATGTCCAAAGTTAATGCATTAAAAATATGTTAACACAACTAATTTACCACTAATTTAGTAATACAGGTGGTTTGACCCTTGAAACAATCTGTAGTAGTTTAGGCAGAAGCCCAGCTGCAGCATGGCATATGTTGCTCTTACGGAGCTCTGCTGGTGACATGTCATAAAAATAAAATTAATGTTTGGCCACACTGTATTAAGGCGTGGGAACGAGATCCTAATGCATGGCCACAACTTTGTAAGGCATGAAATGAGATAATTAAGTCGTGCCCCTGATGACTAAGTTGTAGCCATGCATTATAAGCAATAACATAATGAAAATAATGTATTACTGATGAAGCTTACATTGTCCATTCATATAGCTTTAACAAAATGCAGTTTTGCAAATGTGACAAATGTGAATAAATGTGATTAAGTACACAAAATAAAGTGATTAATTGTGATTAATCATTTTGATTGTTTGACAGCCCTAATAAAATATGTCTTGATAACATAAACCTACTGTTTGCCTTTGTCTGATAAATGATGCAACTACTTTATTACTTTACTACTTTAAAACAGTACTTTATTGTACTATTATATGAAGTACTTTATTACTTCATAATACTGAAAATTTTTGCTTATTCTAACTCTAACTAGATCTAATTCTCCCCGCTAGATTAACTGAATTAATGAAAACTTCTAATATATTTTTACTTATTTTAAAGAAACAACAAAACTCCTGACCTTTAACAACAAGTGAGGCAGTAGTCTCTGCAGTACCAGCACTGTTCAGTGCCTTGCACATGTATGACCCCGAGTCTGACAGTTTCAGATTGGGCAGCTTGAGGGTACAGGTGTTTTCAGCAAAACTAATCTCATAATTTGGTCCACTTGTGACCTCTTCTCCGTTGTGGTACCAAGAAATGGTGAGAGGTGCAGAACCTGAGACCTTACAGTCCATTTCAATAGGTTTGCCAATGATACTCTGAGTGTCCTTCATTTTCCGTGAAAATGTGGGAGGGATAATTTTATCTGTTTAAAAAAGATGGTTGTTAGTCAGAAATGTGATGAATAGATTCTGAAGTTACACTTCACTCACACATCATAAGATTGCTAACAGTTAAAGAGAGCTAATTGAGAATGGTCAGAATTAGAATCGGACTAATTGTCAGGCATGTTCAAACATCATTACGTGACTAAAGTAAACATATTCGAATACTAACCTAAGACAGTGAGGTGCATTTTGCAGCTGTCACTGCCAACCTCATTCTTGATTTCAAAGGTGTACTCTCCAGTATCACCTTTCTGTGCAGACAGCACTTTAAGAGTGGAAATCCTTTTGGAAAAGGTGATTTTGTAATTCCTGCCAGAAGACAACTCCACTCCATCTTTGTACCATTTTGGTTTGAGCTCTGGGGTTCCAGATACACTGCATTCTAAAGCTGCAGCGTCACCTGCTGTGACACTGACAGATTCTGTCTTATCCAAAATTGCGGCGGGTTCTGGAAATGAAGAATAATCGTTTGGTTTCACAACAAAACCATGCAATATAAGGAGAAAAGCAAAGGGAGCAGAAAGAATTCTACAAACCTAGAACAGTTAGGTTTGCCATGCATTCTGCAACACCAGCATCATTTTTAAGCTGACAGGTGTACTTCCCAGCAGCTGTGGGATCAGCTTTAAAGATTTTAAGAGTGACCTGGTTATTCTCAAATGTAATTTTCCTATTGTCACTGTCTGTGAGAATATGGTCCTTGTCCTGTACCCAAGACACATTGATAGGTTCAGAACCTTTGACGGTGGCCACCAGAGTCACTTCCTCACCAGATACAGCTGTTGTATTGGACAGCTTTTTGACAAAAACTGGTGGTTCTAAATGGCAAGAAAAGATAATCTTAGAATCACGTAAGACAGGGAAAAATGTCATGTTAGACATTAATAAAATTACAGGGTGCTGTTGCGTAAAGAAAATACCATTCACAGCTTTCAGTGTTTAGAATTTTACTAACCTCTGAGTTTCACTGTTGCCTGGCAGGTATCACTTCCCACATTGTTTGAGGCTTTGCATTCGTATTCACCAGCATCTGATGCCTCCAGACCAAGGATGTGCAGAGTTGCAGAGTGTCCCTCAGACACAAACTTGTATTTTCTACTTTCCTTCAGTTGCTTGCTGGCTTTAAACCAGGTTATCTCAAAAGGTACGGTTCCCTTCAGCTCACAATTAAGACTGACATCTTTTCCTTTCAGTCCCTCAAGAGGTGTGGGCACTTTGTGGAAAGTTGGCGGTTCTACAAATATGTTTCAAATTAAAATGAGCTGACATTAATATATAACTTAGGATTTGAATTAGTTGAATAGCAAACTGTTTGGAAAAATGATACATGAAAAAGAGGCTAATAGAGGTTAAAAGATTATGAGACTTCAGGGGAAAAGCTATAAGAAAGACATCAGTGAGTGGGAGTAGGCATGTGCCAATATAATGTCATCATTATTCATTATTGGCACATGTCTAGGTGGGAGGAATCACCCATTGTCTAACCTTTGACTGAGAGAGTGGTGCTGCAACTCTTAGTTCCTGCATCATTCTGGGCTTCACAGGTGTACACTCCATCATCATTTCTGCTGGTGCTGAAAATCTCAAGCACTGCCGCCAAGTCATCAAATGTCATCCTCAAGTTGTCACTGTCAGTGACAGCAGCATCATTTTTGTACCAGCTAATTTTCAAAGGAGGCGTGCCAGTAACTTTGCTCTCAAGCCGAAGTGGCTCTCCCATCTTTATATACTTTGTTGCTGGTAGTTTCTGAACAAACTCAGGGGGTTCTGCAAAGAAAAAATTAGGATAAGTTTAAAAGCAACACCTTTAAAAGCAGATGCAGAGGACAGAAGGCGGTGGCTTCAAAGATGAAGAGCACAAAATGGCTGCCAGAAAAGGAAGCGTGTTGATGAGGGATGAATAAAAGCAAGATGATAATGAAAAAAGCCCACAGACAACATAAAAAGCAACGACAAAATATACAAATTGGAAGCGATGCAAGGCACGTAATAATGAAGCGAATCATAAAAGAATAAAGTCTAACCTTTCACCAATAAGCTTGTGGCACATTTCACTGTACCAGCATCATTGCTAACTTGACAAGAGTAAGTTCCAGTGTTTGAAATTCCCACTGCATAAAGATCTATGAAGCATGAAAGCCCCTCGAGGCCAATAAAGCAGGAAGGTCCAGTGATCAACTCAGTGTCCTCTCTGAACCATTTCACTGTGAAAGGAGGTGTTCCCTTAAAGGTACTCTTAAAACGCACAGTGGTATTTGGTATGACAGCCTGTTGTTCTGGCACCACCACAAAGCTTGGAGGCTCTAATTATTTGAAGGGGAAAGAAAGACAGACAAACCTGTTAAAGATCTGGCAACCATTATAGATTGTTAAAGAGTAAACATGCTGTAAATATGAGTGAGTCTTCTGAAGGGCATTATCTCATCTGACCTTTCACCCTCAGCGTTCCACTGCATTCACAACTGCCTGCTTTGTTTGTAAGTTTACAAGAGTAAGTTCCAGTGTCTGCCTTCTCTAGTCGCTCAATCTCCAAAGAGACGCTGTTGTCGTCCTGAACCAGTTTATGCTTGGTTCTACCCGACAGTTTAGTTCCATCTTTGAACCACTCCACAGAGATTGGGAGAGAGCCGGATATATTGCATCCAAGTTTTACTGGGGAACTTAGAATCTCCTCCATATCACTCAGAGGTTTGATGAAGGCCGGAGGAATTATTTGTTCTGTTCGCAAGACAAAAAGATGTGAAAAATAAAAATAAAAAAAAAATACCTCTACTGGTAGTTTGTATATACATGTAGTTATTTAAGATATTTAGCGAAACACTAACCTAGGACATTCAAAGTCACTTTGCACTGGCAGACACTGATGTGATTGGAAACTTCAAAGAGGTAAGTTCCTCCATCATCTAACTGCACAGACTGAATCTTAAGATTACTGACATTATTGGCAAAGGTGAGGCTGTGTTGCCTGGATGGGACCACCTCCTTGCCACCTTTGCTCCATTTCACTTTCAGCTCAGGAGTGCCTGTTACCTTGCACTCAAAACTGACTGGATCTCCAGCAGTGACGTTTATAACTTCTGGCTTTTCAATAATCTGTGGAGGCTCTAAGGTTCAAAAAGGATATGCAAATATAAATAAAATGCTGTAAATCTTTGAAGACTTATTGAAACTTTAAAGACATACAATACATAACTAACCTTGCACCAAAAGTGTAGCAAAACACTTTTCCTGTCCTGCCTCATTCATTGCCTGGCAGGTATATCTTCCACTATGGCTAGACTCACAAATGGGTATTCTCAAAGTGGCAACATTATTCTCAAATGTTCTGTCAATTTTGGGATCTTCAAGAATCCAGGTTTCATCTTTCTGCCACTGTATGGTCAAAGGAGGTGACCCCTTCACGATGCATGTAAACTCAGCTACGTTTCCCAACACTGTAGCCACATTTTGGATCTTCTCTACAAAAGATGGTGGTTCTGGTGGTGGTAGGTCCGAGAAAACAGTTAGCTACATTGCCAATCAGGCTTACAGAATGTGTAAAATTTATGTAGTTTAAAAAAATAAGAGCTAACCTTTTATGCTTAGTGTTGTGCTACATGAACAACTGCCAACTTCATTTGAAACAATACAGAGATATTCGCCAATATCCAAATCATCACACTTTTGTATGTCAAGAATGATTATTGAGCCATTCTTCTGTGAGAACACATGTTTAGTGCTTGGCTTTATCTCCTTTGAATCCTTTTGCCAGGTAATCTCAAAAGGAGCAGTGCCTTTAATTTGGCACTCAAAAGAAGCATTTGAACCTTTCACAACCTCTACTGAGGTGAACGGCTTCACAATAACTGGTGGTTCTGAAACATTGAGACAAAAATATACAACATGAAATCGATGTCTTGTTCTGAATATAGAAATTAAACAATTTAACTATAACCACTTGCACTGACCTTTGACCTTCAGCTCCATACTACAGCTCTCACTACCCGCTTCGTTTCGGGCCTCACAGTAATATACTCCACTGTCTTTGACATCAGCATCAGTTATCTCAAGCCGTGCCAGTGAGTTGTCAAAAGTAATTTTATGCTTAAAGCCTGGACTTATTTCATTGCCATCTCTGAACCAGTATGTGTCTATCTCTGGAGTGCCCACAACCTGACACTCAAAAACTACAGACTGGCCAGGTTTCACCACTGAAACTTTGTCTGGTTTTCGGGTGAATTTTGGGGGTTCTGCATAACAGGGAAGTAAAAATATAATTATTTTAGGTTTTTAACCATGATCATACATAAGGACATTAAGGAATAATCTAAAAATAAACTGAATAAAAACCTTTGACAAAAAGCGTTGCTTGGCAGGAATCAGACCCAACATCATTGGTTATTTCACAGGTGTACTGTCCAGAGTCTGATGGCTTAGTGAAAAAGAGCTCAAGGGAACTTGAAGAATCATCTTTTTGAACTGAGCAGTCAACCCCTGATAAGACCTCCTTTTTGTCTTTGAACCACTTGATAGTCAGCGGAGGAGTGCCAGATACAAGTACATTGAACTTCACTCTAGTTCCAGGTATGACATCCTGTGACTCAGGCTTCTCAATGATAGTGGGTGGTTCTGATTATCAAAGACAAAAAAAACACCATTTTTTAAAGTCAAAGCAATAGTTATGTTTGTCCATTATTAAATATTGCTTTTTCAACATGTAATTCCACTCTAATTCACGCAAAACTGATAACTTCATATACATCTACCTTGGATAAGCTTTTTCATATATGACAAATGTCTTCAAATAAATATTTTTAGAAGCTAACATTATAACAACATCAGAAATGACTGAGTAATAAGGCAAACAGCCACTAAGGTAACTGCTACCTGGACCTTCTATAGATTGTACACTGTTTAGAGAAAAGCTTAACACTAGTACATCTATGATGAGAGTTACAGGTTCAAAAACCAATGAAAAAAATGAATGGTCAATGCAAACCTTTGACTTTTAAGACACCAGAGCACTGGTCAGTTCCTGCTTTGTTTGTGGCAATGCAAGTGTAGTTGCCACTGTCAGAGCTATCGAGACGACTGATTTCCAATGATGCTGCATTCTCGAAGAAAATGCACTTGTGTTTTTCATCAGTCTGTATTTCCTTGTTCTCCTTGAACCATGTGACTGTTATAGGCAGGGATCCAGAGACTAGACATTCTAAATGTGCAAAGGATCCTTTAATACTTTCCATTTCCTTCAGTTTTCTTGTGAAAGAAGGCTTAATTATTTGGTCTGTCACAATAAAAAGATAAAAATGAATACATAACAGTGGGATATCATTTCCAGTTTTATCAAATGAAAGCTCATTTGCTAAAATACTGACCTAGTACGGTCACGAAAGCCTCACACGCGCTACTGCCAACATCATTTGAAACCTCAAACGTATATTCGCCCTCGTCAGCCCTCTCTGCAGAAAAGATCTTTAACATAGAGCTCTTATCAGTGCTTTGCACTTTGTATTTTCTCCCTGACGCAAGCTCTTTTCCATCCTTCAGCCATTTGGCTTTCAGGGCCTTAGTGCCTGAGAACCTACACTCCAGAGTGGCAGGATCTCCTACAGTGACACTGATAGACTTGGCCTGCTCTGTGATATTTGCTGGCTCTGCAAAGGATGACAAATGTAGGTTAACTAATGCTGATTCACTGACAAACTGTACCGGTTTAAGGTAATCAAATATTTAATAAAGCAACAAACCTTTGACTACTAAAGCTGCTGTACACTTCTGACTTCCAGCTTCATTCTGAGCATGACAAGTGTACTTTCCACCATGGTTTAACTGTATGCATGACATACGCAGCACTGCTATTCTGTTTTCAAAGGAAATCTGGACATGCTCAGTATCTGTGACCTCATGGTCATCTTTCATCCATGAGACTGTCATAGGCAAAGAGCCTTTCAGAACACACTGCATAGTAAGCTCACTGCCAAGGAGGACACTCATGTTATCTAGCTTCTGCACAAAGGATGGTGGCTCTAATAAAAGAAAGTGAGCATAAAACATACAGTTAGAATGTGAACGTGCCCATCTATATTATTTTATTGTATTCTTATATCTATCATCAGTCTTACTAACCTTTCAGTATAATTTCACAATCACATGATGTCTGTCCTACTTCATTTCCTACTGTGCACTGATATTTTCCAGCATCTCCGTGTTCAAATTTCAGAATCTGGATAGTAACTATACCATCCTTCATGGTAATGATATGACGACGGTCATTTCTGATTTGCTTTGAGTCTTTAAAACAAGAGACCTCGAAGGGATCTGAGCCTGAGACGGATCCCTCCAGCACAACGTCAGAACCTCTGACAACTTCTTTGGACTCAAATAATTTCACAAAAACAGGAGGTTCTGAAGGAAAAGAGTACAAAAAATCAGCGGAATAAGTTTGCTTACTAGCTGCTAAACAAGTTTTAGTTGACTAACTCGCTACAAACCTTTGACTGTGACCAAGCAACTGCATCGATCGCTACCAGCATCGCTGGATGCTATGCAAATATAATCTCCACTGTCTTCAATACTACAGTTGGACATTTGCAGTGTAGCAACTGAGTTGGTGAAGCTCATTTGGTATTTTTCACTTGGGCTGATTTCTGTCTCATTTTTAAACCACTTAATAGCGATCTCAGGGCTGCCAGTTACTTTACACTCCAAAACCACAGAACTTCCATTCACTGCTAATTTAGTTGAGTCAAGTTTCATCACAAACTTTGGAGGTTCTAAAAGAGAGAATGGACATCAGTTAAACATTCGTACCATCAAGATGTATGAAAATAGTTACAAACAGTAATGTGTAAGAGCAAAGAGAGCAAGAAAAGGCACCTTTCACAAACAAGTCAGCGGTGCATGAAACCTTTCCTGCATCATTAGCCACTTGGCAAGTATATTTGGCAGAATGAGATGGCTTCACAGAGTGCAACTCTAGGGTGCTTGAAGAGGCTTCTTTCTTGATGAAACAAGTGCCTCCGGTTAATATCTCTTTCTCTTCTCTGAACCATTTAATGGCAAAAGGCACTGTTCCAGTGAAAGCAGCTTTCAGAACAACAGTAGATCCTGGTATAACTTCTTGAGATTCAGGCATCAGTGTAAAGACTGGGGGCTCTATATTAAGTGGTGGGGTGGAACGACATTGTTATCACAACATAGTAATACAGCGCAGAAAATGAGGAACAAGATTAATTACAGCTGTTTTTCTAACCTTTAACAGATACTGTTCCACTGGTCTCACTGTGCCCTGCCGTATTAGTTGCATGGCAGGTGAAAACTCCAGCATCAGTGGTCTCTAAATTAGGTATTTTTAAAGTTGCAGTGCTTTCTTTAAACTCAGTCTGGTACTTCATCTCAGTTGTGATCTCCTTTCCATCTTTGAACCAAGATATTTTCATGGGCTGGGACCCTGACACCTTGCAATCCATCTGAACACTTCCCCCAACATTACCATCAACCTTTTTAAGACTTTTTGTGAAGGTTGGAGGTATGATTTTATCTGCTCAAAGGAAGCAAAATAATTGTATTCAAACCATAACATTTATAATGCACAGTATAAAATAAATAGGACAAAAAAAAGACTAACCAAGAACTGTGACTGAGCAAGAGCAGCGGTCTTTTCCGACCTTATTCGAAACTTCAACAGTGTATTCAGAACTATCTCCCCTCTCTGCCGAGAGGATTTTTAAGCTTGCTACATTGTCTTTAAAGGTGACTTTGTATTTTCGGCTTGTGGTCATTTCCTTGCCATCACGGAGCCATTTTACTTTGAGATCTGGACTTCCAGAGACAGTGCATTCCAAAGTTGCAGAGTCTCCCGCAGTTACGCTGATGGATGGTGCTTTATCAACAATCCTAGCAGGTTCTGAGATTAAAAGAAATTAAAAAGAATGAAAAAGAATTGTAGTACCTCCAAATTATTTATATTAGTATAGTTACATAATGTTTGAGTCTAACCTTGAACTGATAATGTGGCTTCACTGTTTTGCTGACCAGCCTCATTTACAGCTTGGCATGTGTATTTCCCACCATGATTTAAGGCGACTTTTGCAACTGCCAAAATGGCAATGTTATGTTCAAAAGTTGTGGTAATATTAGGATCATCATCTCTGAGTATTTCAGAATCTTTGAGCCACTTGACAGTAATAGGGGCTGAGCCTTTAAGAGTACCCTGCAGTTTCACAGCACTTCCCAAAACTGCAGTCGTATTTTCAACCCTCTTTACAAAAGATGGTGGGTCTGCATGAAAAAAGACAATTTGAATCTCAAGGATATTGTTCACCTTACATATACAAAGTGCATAAGAGACAAAAAGTATATAACAATTTACGAACCTTTTAGCCTGGCTACTGCTTTTGATGTTACTTTACCAACATCATTTGAAACACAACACTGATAATCACCAACATCTGCACTATCAAATGACTGTATTTCCAAATAGGAAATGGCATCCTTTGAAACTATGTTGTGTTTTTTATCAGCAGTAATTGGCTTCTTATCCTTAAACCAGGTCACTTCAAATGGAGCAGTGCCTGTAACTTCACAGCTGAATTGGGCTGTTTGTCCCTTCACTACTTCCACCATTTCCAGTTCCTTTTTGAAAGCAGGTGGTTCTAAGATTAAGAGTAACATTTAATGTAACAGTTAACAACAAACAACAAAGGAATTGCATTTGAAGATTTTCATTTAAAGAAAATAATTTATGTTTATCACAAACCTTTAACAGTCAATTGTGTGCTGCAGCTTTCACAGCCAGCCTCATTCATTATTTCACAAGTGTAATTTCCACTGTCGGACACAGCAAGGGCTGTAATCTCAAGTGAAGCTTGACCATCTTTGAATGCAATTTTGTGTCTCTCACTGGAATCAAGTTGTTTGTCATTTAAAAACCAAGTGATATGGAGTACAGGAGATCCTTTAACAGTGCACAGCAAGCGTGCAGATATGCCTTGTTTCCATTGTATCTTAGGCTCCAGTCTCTTTACAAATGCTGGAGGTTCTGAGGGAAATCAATTCAGAATAAGTCAGTTCTGCACTGCAAGAGAGCTCACAAACTCCAAGAACATACAGGCATAAGAACAGAAAAAAAGAAGAAGAAAAAAGTGCAACATTTCGCTGCAAAGATGACACAGATAGGTTAAGATTTTTTCTGTCAAAACAAAGCAATATGTTAGAGAAATTCATTTTCAAGATTTCCACACACATACTGAACTGTTCATTCATCTCAAATGTCTTACCTTGCACAGTTACCACAGAAGAGTAAGTGCTGCTTCCAGCATCATTCGCAGCGATGCAGGCATAAGTGCCAGTATCTTTAAGCTTGGCCTTTGGGATTTCAAGGCAGGCCACTTTCTCCTCAAAAGAAATTTTGCTATCCATTGTATTATGGAGTTTCTTGCCATCTCTCGTCCAGCTGATGGTCACTCCTATATCTTCATTCACCTGACACTCCAGCTTCAGTGGATTACCCACTGCTATAAATGTTGACTCAAACGTTTTTATGAAGCTGGGTTTGTCTATAACTCTCATTTCAGTGGAACATGTAGCCGTGCCAACGCTGTTTGAGGCTTTGCAAAGGTATGTTCCCTGATCACTTTGCTGAAGTTGCATGATCTCAAGATAATGTTTGTTCTTTTCAGATGACACCTTATAGTGCTGATCAGTGGAAACGGCAATGTTGTCTTTGTGCCAGACAACATTCATCGGTGCAGAACCAGTAATAACACATTGCAATTTCGCTTGCTTGCCCACAAATAAAATCATCGGATCAGGCTTTGACACAAATTCTGGAGGGAAAACCTCTATAAAAAATTAAAGTAGAAGAAAGAGAAAGAGAAATGAATTGCTTTGCAAAAGCAAAAATATATATTTGTACCACAACACTCAGCAGAGAAGTGTAAAGTACAGATCTCTTACCTGTCACATTCAGGTTAGCAGAGCAGCTGTCACTACCATGTTGGTTTGAAGCTCTGCAGGTATACTCTCCACTGTCGGCCTTTGCTGGGCTCAAAAGCTCCAGACATGATGTGGTATTGCGGCTGATGATCCTGTACTTGTCACTCTGTCTGATCTCAGAGCCAGACTTGAACCATTTGAAGGTCACATTCGGTGCGTCTTCTATCTCGCATTCAAATTTGGCAGGGCTGCCAACGTTGGTTTCCAGAGCATGGATTTTGTGCCTGAAAACAGGTGGCACTGAAGTGTGCACAGGGAGAAAAAGATAAGGTCAATCACATCAATGAATTTGAGTGCTTACATGGTAAATTGTGAAACTAATGATATTAAAAATTGAGAACAGCTCATGGCATGTTTGAAATGAATAGTTCTGCAGATCAAATATTTAACCCATAACTTTGAGATTAATTTAAATAAGTTTGGCCACAGAACTTCATTCACTTCAAAAACAAACAACATGACATTAATGATGGGATGCAAACAGTAGACCGGGAGTGACTGTGGAGGGAAAATTATGGAACATTTATGCATATGGAAAAAAGACAGATCAATGAACAACAAACCAGAACCTAAAGTCCTGGAAAGCATGCAAAAAGAGGTGCTCAGTGAAGGATGGACCATGGATGAGATGCTATTCATATTTCTTGGGTGACGCAGGTTCAGTTCCAAGAAGCGAACAGACACAAGCGTGGAAACACTTTGGAGTGAGAATGTGAAGAACAAAGGAATGATACTGAAAGAAATCCAACTGTTAAGAGTTGATGAAGACGACAAAGTGAAATCATGCTTGCACTTTGGTGAAGTGAATGACATGACTAAACCAAAGGGTTGTGAAGAGTGGATTAAAAGAGTGAAGTTTAAGACTGTATATTCCCCCTAATTATGGTGACCTAATATATTAGTTGGAGGAATACTAACTAAGGGTGCTTGAAAAAAAAAAAAGAAATGAACAGTAAGTTAGTCATGGATGATATGACATGATAAAATAATCCCCATAATCCAACCTCTTTTGACCACTGTGAGCCTTGATGATGTCGATGTCTTGCCAGCTTCACTCACAGCTTCACACGTGTATTCTCCTTCATGTTTTTCCTTGACTACTTTGTTGATTACTAATGTGTAAGTGTCTCTGTTTTTCAAACACTTGAACTCTTTGCCAGATATAATCCGTTTTCCATCGAAAAGCCAATTCACTTTTGAAACATGTTTTATAGTCACAGAAAATGTTGCTTCAGAGTGTTCTTCTATAGTAATGTCCTCCAAAGAGCTTTCAAAAACTGACTGATATTCCCTAACTTCTTCACTCTCTAATTTCATGGTCTCTTCGGTCAGATATTCCTGTATTCTTTCCCTCTGAATGAGAACATCAGCAGATTGTTCAACTGGAGGTGGTCCAAAGGACACATCGGTTGTGACATCTGCTGCACCTACATCTCTCTGTTGGCTTTTTACTGTTACAGATCTCATTTCCTGTCTTTCGACCTGAACAGACTGCTTTAATTCCATTTTTGACTCAGTGGTAATAGTCATCACCTGACTTTTTGAGTCTTGCACAACGGTTTGTTGCTCAGCCGACATTGACAAGAAAGAAGAGGTGGCCTCGGTCTTCAGAGCAGCTGATTGAGTTTTAGGTTGCAAGAAAGCTTCTGTATTTTCTGTTAACTGTACAGTCTGTACCATTGGAGAGAATGTTTCTTTAGGAGCAGCCCTGCTAACCTGTAATCTCTGAGGCCTGTCAATTTGCATTGTTCCAGGTTGTTCAGAAGTAAGAACTGGCTGTTCCTGATAGACAATGGAATAGAATGCAGCCTGAAGTTCACTCTTGAGATCAGCATTCTGAGGGTACTCACCCTCGAAAGCAATAGTAATCTCTATGGGGGCACCTGGCGTTGTGATAAGATACGTGAATGTAGTATACCTTGGCTCTTTCTTCACTTTGACCTCCTGTACTTCAACAACTTCTAAACGTTTGACCACATCTGCCAAGATTAATGGTTGATCTTGAGCAACAGCTGACGCAAGCGTATTTTTCAACTGGTGCTTTATATCCAAGCTGTGTGCTTTTGATGCAGGAATCACAAAAGTAAGTTCCTTGGGAAGGGTCTGGCTGTCTCTGGACTCTGACACTTGTAGAACACCCATCTCCTGCTGAGTGACCTTTGCTGTGGTTGTTTCGAAATGTGTAACATTCTGAGACAGTTCACCTCTTATAACATGTTTCTCCTCCATTAATATTGACTGTCTAACAGACTGTCCTTCTTGAATCTGAACAGCAAAGTCTTGCTCTGCAGCCTCAAGAGCAATACTACTTTCAGTGGAGACTGCTTTGTCTTCAACATGGACAGATTCTGATGGTATTTTAGGTTCGACTTCAGTCGAGCATGTATATTTCTCAACTGCACCCAAATTCTCAACATGCCCTTCCTCCAGATCTTGCCTCTCCGACACAGATGTGGCATGTATAATATTCCAGTGATCCTCCTTTTGCACTAGTGCACGTTGTTGCTTAATATCACTGGAAAATGGAGTCTCTTTTGGTAGCTGCATTGGTTCTGTGATGACCTGCAAAATGTTTTGAGGTTTCGGTTCTTTCCTGATTTCGGACTGAAGTCCTGTCACAGAAACATCAAGAGCACTGGAATAATCTGCCGTCAGTTCCCTTTTCTCTTCTGTGGTAACTGCATGTCTACGGAACCTCTCCTGTCTCTGCACTGCCATCTGCTGCTCTGGCTTTTCTACTGACAGTATCCCCTCTTTGGAGAACATGCTTTCTGGCTGAACTGCCTGCAAATGCAGAGGTGCAGGGGCCTCCTTACGAGGCTCTATGGAGATTGACGTCTCTTGGGTGCTGAACTGACTTGACTCCTCACAAGTTACAGCCCACTGATCATCTGTTGACACTGTGTGCATTAGAGTAGGACTTTTTCTAGTTTCTGCTTGCTCTGGGCTTGACTTCTCACTACTGAATCGACCCTCAGAAGGCAGAATGGCCTGATCTGTAAAAATCTGTAAGTGAAGAATTTGTTCCTCTTCCCTCTGTGATTGAACTGAAACAGCACTGTCCAAACCTGGAATTACACTTGTTTTATCAGCTTGAAGTTCATTCTTTTCCTCTGCAACAAGGGCTGACCTTAATATTCTATCCTTAGCCAAAGATGCTGTCTCTTCATCAGGTCTATGTATAGAGAATTTTTCCTCTTTTGACAGCATTTGCTTGGTCTCATTCACTGAAAGAATGACAGGTTTGGAGGACTCTTTCTTAACTGATGGCTCAACGGCTGAATCTAACATTGATAAATCTGTAGCATGGCCACCTGTTATTTGTTGTTTCTCTGTGGAAACTGCTGTATATAATATTTTAATACCCTCCTTTACTTGGTAACTCTTTTCTGCCTCTGTCTGCGGTATAATTTGTGACTGCTCTTTAACAATTGGGAGTGTTGTTTCTACCTGGTGACTTGAGATTGGGTATTTTGGCTCAGGACTTGGTTTTACCTGCTCTGTTTCTCGACTGGCTAGTGGCTCTGCTTTCACAATTGTTAGAGGGGTGACACTCTCCGTTACTGCTGACATGAACTTTGAAGGCTGCTCCTTTGCAATTTCAAGCTCTGTGAGCTCAGGACTTTTAATACGATCAAAGTGCTGCTCTGTGAAGCCTTGGCTCTCTTGAACAGCAGAGGTCATCGCAGCTATGTGGAGCTGTTTTAAAGGTGTTGCCACAGCCTGTTGTGGCTGGGTTGGAGCAACAGTTACTCTCTCATGTGTCTCATGAGTCTGCAGAACTGCTGCTTGGTGAGTTACCTTTTCTCTGTGCATAACAGCAGAAGAAACATCTAACTCATGCAAAGTACCTACTTGTTCACTTGCTACAGTCTGCCTATCTTCAGTGCCAATGGTATAAATCATCTGGTGTCCTTCTTGCAGACTGACTCTTGCTTGCCCAGGAAGGCTCACACTGTACAAACGGGATTCAGTTGCCTCTTCAGTCGTGGAGATCTTATAAGCTTTTTGTTCCTGAACCAACTGTTGTTGATGAGATACAGAGAAACTTTTGCGAAACACAATTAATTCAGCACTACAAGTTGCCTCCCCAAAGGTATTGGATGCCCTGCATGTGTAAAGGCCACTATCTCTCTGCTGAGCATCAATCATAATAAGAAAACCGGTACCATCTGGATCTGTTACAACACAACAGTTCAGGCTTGGTTTGATTTCAGTACTGCCCTTAAACCACTGCACCTGTGGACGGGGAGTCCCTGTCACTTTGTATTGAAATTTGGCCTCACAGCCCTCAGCACACTGTACAGACTGGATCTGTGTGGTGAACCGAGGTGCTTCTCCAGGTATTTTAAACATTTGCTCAACCCATTTCTCTGCTGGTGATATATCGCTGACTTGTACCCTCAGAGTCGTTGTGCAAGTAGTTTGTCCAAATCGGTTACTGGCAGTGCAAGAGTACTCTCCCTCATATTCTTTTTTGACCTCTGTTATGATCAGACTGTACTCATCTCTTTCCTCTACAAACTTGTATACAGATGAAGAGGTAATGACTTTTCCATTATGGAACCACTGAACTTTAGGCCTCGGAAAACCAGATACTGTAACAGTAAACCTAGCTGAGCTCCCAACCGTTACTGCTGCAGGTGTTAGTTGGGTTACAAAAACTGGCTTTTCCTTTTTCTTTTCCAAAGAACTAGAATATATTTTTTCCTGTGGCTTGAGTTCAAGTGTTTTAGATTTTTCTGGTAATTGTAGGGAAGTGCTGTAGGTTTCTTCTTCTTCTTCTTCCACAGTCTTCACGGTCAAGCTAGAATATTCTGTATGAAAATAACGGAGGTAAAGATTCACCATAATATCCACACATCAAAGATTAATGTAAGATTTATGGTTTTCATCGGTAAGAGTGGACATGAATGCCCATAAAAGAGGAAATAAATGCGTTGGACAACAACATTTTTGTTGTAACTTTATTGACTTATTTTTGTCTAATGTACACAGAATTACATAAAATGCACTGAACTGACACTAATTTATTTACTTCTTAAACCACTCTCTTTTTGAATTACTTCTCTATTTCTTTTAAAGAAAGTTCATTAAACAGGCTTACGGTATTCCAAGATCCCATTGCTACTACACTGTTTAAACACTTTTTATTTACAGTTAATTAAATGTGTTGTCTGTAACATAAAAATGTGAACCTGTTAATATGTAATATATGGTTGCATAACAACTGTTTCACTGTAAATCAATGTAAATGAGCTTTGCGTAACACTATACTATTTGTTCTGTAGGATGTAGTCTTGTACATCAAATCTGTTGAATAATGTTTATAATTATTATTTTCCAGGTCAAACTAATTTTAATAACGTTAGACATCCTCGTGTTGATATTCTTAGCAATCTGCAAATGCATTCAATACAAAATGAAACAAAGATAAGAGAGTGCAGTAAATGCAATTAAATATAACCAATAATATTGATTAATTTACTCTAACAACAATAATAGCAAAAGGGGTAACACTTTATTTTAGAGTGCTACTATTGCAGTGTAAGAAACAGTGAAACTATAATTAACTAACTATTGAATAAAGAGTAGTGAGCAGTTATACTGTTCTGCATATACACCAGCTGGACACTTCTCTAAGTACACCTCCTTGTATCTACACTTTTTTCATTTTATCAGGTCCACTTACTATATAAGTGTACTTTGTAGTTTCAAACTGTAGTCTGTCTGTTTCTCTGCATACTTTGTTAGCCCTCATTCTCAGCACTGCAATGACACTGATGTGGTGGTGGTGTTTTAGTGTGTGTTGCACTGGTGCGAGTGGATCAGACACAGCGGTGCTGCTGGAATTTTTAAACACCTCAGTGTTGCTGCTGGACTGAGAACCAAAAACATCCAGCCAACAGCGTCCTGTGACCGCTGATGAAGGACTAGAGGATGACCAACACAAACTGTGCAGCAGCAGATGAGCTATTGTCTCTGGCTTTACATCTACAAGGTGGACCAACAAGGTAGGAGTGTCTAATAGAGTGGACGGTGAGTGGACACAGTGTTTAAAAACTCCAGCAGCACTGCTGTATCTGATCCCCTCAGACCAGCACAACACACACTAACACACCATTACCACGTCAGTGTCACTGCATTGCTGAGAATGATAAAAAAAGAAATACAGTCTCTTCTACCATAACTGTTCCAGTATGACCCACAAGTGCAAATTTTGTAGGAATTTCCACAACCCAGTTGAAATAAATGAACATCACTTGTTGAGATTATAGCCTGGGCCAGGTTTTATGGTCATAATTTAAAGATTTAATCTGTACTATACATTTTTGTTCTATCAAAAGGTGGTTTGTCCATTCAGCCTTTTTATACAACTTAGATAAATACTTACTACTAAAACATTTGTTCGTTTAAAACATTTACTTGTGTTAAATACATTTTTAGGTTAAATGGACAAACCATTTTTACAGAGTAAACATAATTTTGATTGAACTCTTTACTCGGCAGGTAGTTAACTGTAGTTACATTGTTTTTTACACTGTAACAAGAGCACTGTAAAATAAAGTGTTAGCCAAAAATGTTTCATTTAACTCGTTTTACATTATATTGTTCTGTCTACATGCAATGCAATAGTCAAGTTACTGTGACGTACAGTACAGTATTTTAATTTTTTATTCTTAGAGCATAACTCAAAATGATAGTTTAAGACAATGTAATATTTGAACTTTATTATTTATATGGATCTGGATGCAATTTTTGAGGGGAAGGAGTCATTCAGTGAGGCATTCTGTGTCAATGTTCTGTGTTAGAACTGCCAATGGCTAATTACCTGAAGAAAATATTTCTTTACTACAGCTAGTCATCAGAGTTACATTCAAAAGTTTGAACACTCCCAGTCAAATTCTGTTTTGGTGATTTTTAGGTAAAAGATGTAAGAAAATAAGAACTTAAATATGGTGCACTCATTTAACATACTGAAAAAAAAAAAAAAGTATGTATGTGCCATAACGCTTGTACAGGCCACATTTTTTTTTTTGTTAAATTAAGTAAATAAACAGCGATTTTGTATTAAATGTGCAGATTCTGTAACGAATGTGTTATTTTCACTTAGAAAATCAACATGTCAATTTACCAGGGTGTTCAAGCTTTTGTATGAGATTCTTTGGCTGAACATCTGCTTCTAATCTTTTGACAAATCTAATTAATGTTCATGCACAATATTATATAGCCCAGAAAAAGAAAAAAAAAAAACAGGTAAAAGAAATTTACACTTAACACTACATGTATATAAATATGAACAATTTAGAAACATCTACTCACAACTAAGTAACTATAATAAATAAAATATCTGCAAGAGACAAACCCTGCAACAATAGATTAGGCTTCAAAGCATGTTGCATATGTTGTGCAGAGGACTATACACAATATCACAATAATTTACATATACAATACATGAAAAATAGTGACAACTATGTCTCTATGAAAGACACACTTTACAAAATAGCAGTCCTGTGGCAAAAAAAATCACTTTGATAAACTGTTGGTAAATTAAAACACTTTTAGCAATGACATTGTTTCAATAGAGCCCGTCTGGTTTTGGATAACGCATTTGAATTCACCAGCATCACTTTGAGCTGCATTTGTTATAAGCAGATTGAAATGCCCTGGAGCTTTTTCCTGGATGATGTATCTAGGATTTGTTATTGGAGCACCGTCTTTGAACCATTTTGCTGTAGGGTTTGGTTTTCCACTCACTAAACACTGAAGCAAAACTGGTGTCCCTACTGCTGCAGTGACATTCTGCAGTGGGATTACGCATTTTGGGGGTGTTTCAGTGACCTGAAAATGAAAAGTACACATGTTTGTTGATTTGCCTTTGAATTCTATCTTATCTTCTTTTGAGGGCTCGGCAAAGACGTCAAAGTTGATGCTAACGTATTTCTCTCCCTGCTCACTCACCTCATTATCAGTCATGGCTACCAGTCTCACAGCTTTCTGAGACTCATCGGCTTCCTGTTGGAACTCAAACTCAAGCTCAATTTCTGATGTTTGTTCGCCATCAAACGATGAATTTCCAACAACCAAATCAAACTTCTGGGGCTGAACTTTGGCACTGCCTAGAGACACAGCAGTGAGTTCTCTCCCCCTAGCTTTTCCTGAATATGCTTGTGGATTCAATACCATGAGAGTTGCTCTACAAAGTGTCTCACCAACAACATTAATAGCTCGGCATGTATAAATGCCACTGTCATGTGTATTGGCTTTTAGGATCTTGAGAAAATGGTTATCACCATCAGAGCTATGAAAGTACTTTTTCTTATCATGGGGGATCTTCATATTTCCTTTAAACCATGACACTACTGGTGAAGGGATTCCCATCAGAGAGCATTCGAACATTACCGTTGTATTTTCAGGTGTCTCTATGTCACATATTGGGTTGATGAAACGCGGTGGCATCTCTGTAACCTCAAATGCTATTTTCAAGTCATCACTTTCTTGTGTTATAAAATCAATGGCGCCTTCCTCATACACGCTTGGAAGAACATCGAGAGAAATAATCATACTTTTGTTGTCGGCTGTGTATTCTGGGATAGTGACAATTTTCACTTGTTTCTCAAACTCCTTCACTTCATTCTCATCCAGTTCAACCTCTAATAAAATCTCTTGTGGGGAAGGAGATCTTGATGAATCCTCATCCTCCTCAACATCAAATTCAATCACATGCTGATGGGTGACTGCAGGTGGTGCTGGTATCATCCTTGCCTCTTGAGATATCACCACAACCAGAGCAACACTTTTTGCTTCACCAACATAATTAACTGCTTCACAGATATACTCCCCTTGATCACCTTTTGCTATGTTCTGAATTTCCAATGCTATGTTATCACCATCTCTTTCAATGCTAGTTCTGTCATCTGGAACAAGCTGAGTTTTGTTTTGGAACCATTTTACCTCTGGAGATGGCAGTCCAAATACTTCAGCACAGAATCGTAATGTGTCACCTTCATACACTCTTCTCTTGGTAAGAGGTTTAAGAAAGGCTGGAGGAATTCCTTGTACCTTCTCCTGAAGGGCCCCCAAGCCTAATAAACCACGGCCTTCTTGAAGAATCATGCTCTCATCAATAGTAAAAACAGGGGGAGTTGTTTCAATACCTTCATCATCCGGGGATCTAAGAAACTTATCAGAATATAATCCATCACTGGAGCTGCTTGGGGGTCTCTTGTGTTCCACAGGAGAAAATGGATACTCAGGGGGTGTCATAATACCACCTGGGGTCTCAGTAGAGGTGTGGAAAGATTCAGGTGATTTAGGAAATTGGGAAATTTCAGTGGATGAAGCTGGAGTGTAGAATCGCTCAACTTCTGCCATCTCCTCGCTGAACGTGCTTCCAATTTCAATAGACATCTCAGATTCTGGAGACAAGGGCCTTCCCCAGTCAGATGGTGGGTTATAATAGTCATAAACAGCACTAAAGGTTACCTCTTCCTCCTCAAGTTTGCTAACACCAGCAGCACCTAGTCTGGCAACTTTTTGCTGTTGTTTTTGTGGACCTCCCGTTATAAAGTCTTGAGCAGTTAGTTTTGAGGCACCTTCACTTTTTGGTTTTGATATGTCTGACACTTCACTCAAAGCACCTCTTTCTATGACTTTTTGGCCTAAATCAGTACTTGCCATCTTTCTGAAATCCATTTCAGCACCCTGAATGCTAACTGTGCTAGATTTTGATGAAACCGCATATCCCTTTATTTCCGGTAAGATTTCTTGAGTTGAAGCAGCAGCTTCCTTGATATGACTAACGCCTGGTCTAACAAAGGCTCCTTCACTTCCCTTTTTAATCACTTCTTCTACTGCACTGTCTTTTGTTCTAGGGTTACTAGCACTGCCAGTTAAGGTCCTCATTTCCTCAGGTAATATAGCCTGAGGTCTTATTAAAGTAGGAGACTGCTGAATCTCAGTGACTTTTGCAAGGGGGACAAAATGATGCAACTCACTGGATGCTGGATCTGCAAATGACCTGTCCCTCACTGATTTTCCTTCAATGGACTGTGCGACATTCTCCACAAAGGCTGTCTCTGTAACATCTAGGGCAATTCTTCCTGGGGATGCCTTGCCTGGAACTAAAGAAGTAAGCTCTGTTATATCACTCTCTCTAGGTTGCAATGAAGAGGTTAGTCCTTTTCCAGACTGTTTAATATCAAGTGCAACTTCTGGAATGTCCTCCATAGGGTATGCAGATTCTACAGTTGATTCTACAGTTATATCTTCTGGCTCTACTGTGGGAGACTCTGGTCTCTCAAATGCCTTTTTTAATCTGGATACTTTCACCTCTGCCCCTGAAGACTGCAAACCACAACCAGTTATAAGGGGTACATCAGACACAGCACCTTGCTTAACACGTGGGACTTTCGGTACATCCTTTTGCAAGATAAGAGGTTCATCGGACTTGCTAGCACCTTGCAACTGCACAGGATCAAAAGTGAAACGCTTCACAGAAAACTGAGTAGTGTCTTCACCTGCCGTGGACTGATCTCTAATCTTATAGACACCCTCTTCACCCTTTTTAGTCAGTACAGATGAAGGACCTGAGAATGTTTTTGCTCTAACTGTGGGAGTATTGTCAGTTGAAAATCCAAGTGATCTTGCCTGCTCACCCATTTCTAGTGTTGCAAGAGACGAAAATCCAGAGTCTAATGCTGTGGAATCAAAGGACACATTGGCTACACTTTCAACTTGTCCGTGCTTGTTTGTGGCAGTGCATCTGTAAGTTCCCACATCAAGATAAGTAAAATTATAAATGTAAAGCCGGTAGCTTTTGTCATGCTCTTCAAACTTGTATTTGTCTGTATTCAAGGGATCGAGAGCAATGTCATCATGCGACCATATGACATTAGGTGCTGGTTCGCCAAGTATTATGCATTCAAGCATGACTGTTTGTCCATCTGAGCAGCTTATCTTCTCTAGCTCTCTAAAAATCTTGGGTACCTCACCAACATCATCAAAGGAAAATGTAAACTTGTGCTTCAAAGTTTGAGATGTGTTTTCATCAGATGGAGCCCCAGCTATCTTTTCACTAGGCTCAACTGTGTCTGTCACCTCCTCACTAATATCTAACACTGGTGTTGGAGCAGTTATCCTGATTTCTACTGGAGATGAGTGAATGGAGTCGTCAGAGGTGCGAGGAACATGGATGACTGCCTGCGGTACCTGCAATGTATATTTTTTGTCAAGACCAGGAGCTAGGAATGACTCAAGTTCTTCCTCCATCATTTGTTCTTCAGACAGTTCTGATTCTTGTGTCACTGTAACTTCTTGAGTTGTTTCAGGCCAGATCTTATGCTCATCATCAGCTACTTTAAGTGTGCAAGAGGTACTCGCTTTTCCATATTTGTTTGAGATATTACAAGCAAATACGCCCTGGTGATCATATGTTGGATAATAAATAGTCAGCGTTGAGGAATTGGCTCTGATACGTACATCAAAGTCTGGATCTCTTATTATAGGCTGTCCATCCTTAAGCCAGGAAACAGAAGGCTGTGGGTCTCCATAAAACTGGCATTTTAATTCGGTCATTTCCCCTCTTCTTACTTCAATATTTGGCACTAATGTTGTGACAAAAACTGGTGCACCAGATTTCACAGTGCTCTCAACAACCTTTTTTGGTTTGAAAGTAGTAGTTTCTTGTTCTAAGAGCACTGTTACATCTTTTGCTGCACCATGACGAGCCTGACCTGCAACTTTATCACAGGCAGCATACTGGCCTTCAGTCACTTTCTCAATGTCATGTTGAGGCAAGTCACTACGAACAGCATGAGCACTGGTTTCATCAGTAAGTAAAGTTTGCATTCCTCTGAACTGAGAATCTAATCTAGGCATCCTGCTGGTTTCTAAAACGGCATCAGTTTTTTGAGTCGAGGGTTGCAAATGCTCAGCCAAGGTCCAATTAGATTCTAACTCAACATTTTCCTCTTGCTCTTGTTCTGACAGAATGTCTTGCTGCCATTTTTTTATGCGTGTGGCTAATGCCTCCTCCTCACTGACAAGATAGTCACTTTCGGTTCGCAACTTTTCATTGTCTTCACGAGAAATACCCTCAAGCTGGATTTTAGAACTGTCCACCCCATAGCCTTGTGTGGAAACATCAGTGAAAAACATCTCCTTTGGTGTTCTTTTCGACAATGACTGACTCTTTTCGGGTAACTCAACATCTTTGTGTGCTGTAGTTTCCTTAGGACTCTCCATAACAGCAGCCCACTCAGGCTCCAAGGCAACTGCATGCTCTTGCTCACTTAAAACATCCTGCTGCCATTTCATTATTCGTTGAGTCAAGGCCTCCTCTTCACTAATATAGCGGTCACTTTCATTTGTTAACTCATTAATCCTCTCGCGTGATAAATGCAACTCTTTCTGAGACATCCGTTCACTTAGACGCTTTTCTTTTGGTGATCTTGCAACTTTTGTAAATGAAGAATCTCTCTGACTGATCCTTGGTTCTTTATACATTTCATCTCCAGATCTGTGGAAATGAGATGCTTTTTCTGGTTCTTCTTGACACTGTTTCCATTTCCTTGCTGGTTGGATTAAGATGTCCTCCTCGCTCACCAATTGTTCAGTCTTATGTTTCATTGCTCTTTGTTCTTGTGACAAAAAATGTTCACTCGGTGTTTCACTCCCACTTGGAGGCTTTTCTGTGGTCAAAACCTTTGTGAATGATGACTCTTTCTCAATTACTTGTGCAGGTTCTTTTCTGTATGTTTCAAACTCAGGTTTATATGGTTTCTCCTTAGACCACTCTGGTGTAACAGTCTTTGTGTGTTCCTGTTGCAGTTTCATTGCTTGGTGCGTTATGGCTTCTCCCATACCCACTAACGGCACACTCTCACTTTTTAACTCAGGCATTTCTTCTCGTAATCTCTTATCTCTTTGCGCTACATGCTCACTTAAGATTTTTTCTTTGGATGAGGATCTTGAAATCTTTGTGGCTGTTTGAGAATCTGTTTGAGTTTTCACCTTTGCAAGTTCTGCTTCGGGTTTATGAATATCACGTGCTTTCTCTTTAGACCAATCAGATACCACAGCTTCTGTGCAATCTTGTTGTGTCTCTTTTCCACTTATTACATCTGCACTCTCATGTTGTAATGCAATTTTTTCTTGCAAAAAACCCAACTCACTATGAACTAAGGGTGTACAGGTTTTTGTTGCTGGTTTATGTATTTTATCTTCAGGTTTATAAGTATGGGAGTCTCTTGCTTCAGACCATTCAGATACTTTTGGTCGATCTAACTGCACATCTTCTTGCCATTTTCCAATGCGCTGAGCCAAGAACTGATCTTCACTCTCTAAACACTGGCTTTCTAAGTTTTTCTCAAGGATATTCTCCATAGGCATTCCTCTTGGCTGTACCTTTTGGATGGGAATGTTTTTACCATCATCTTGTGGAACATCATCACTAAGGAATGTTTCTTTCACTACTTTTGTCCTTGATGATGCTTTGAATGCACTCTCCTCATGTAATGTTTTAACCTCTTTAGTAGTTTGGGAGGCTTCACCTGCCTCAAGCCACTGCAACACAAAAGGTTCCTTTGCCTTCATCTTGGTTTCCTCGTCCCACTGTCTAAGATTAGCATCATCTCTACCAGCCAAATGTTCATATTCTTCTTCCTTCACTGCCTCTTCTTTTAACACAACAGCCTCATCCGTTTTTATTTCAGATGCACCAACTTTAGTTTCCTTACTTTTGACCTCCACTAGAGGGAGCTCACCTCTCATCATTTGTATCGCCCTGGCTCTGGACTGAGGCTCAAAGGAGTGCTTTGCTCTTGGCTGTGGGGGTTCAACAGTCTGTGCTCCAAGTCCAGTAATTCTTTCCAGCCTATTCTGAAAATCTGCTGAATATCTACTCACAGTACCCTCACCTTGTTCACTTGGCCGAACAACATGCTGGACCTCTGGCAATGAGACCGGCTTAGCTCTGAGCCTTTCCGCATAATCTGTGTAACTCGGCTCACTCGTGACTGACTCCAGATCAAACTCAGAAGAGGACATTGTAGATATGGAAAGCCTCTTTTTCTGTTTAACAGCTTTTTGCAGGAGAGTGAGCTTTGCTCTAACCTCTCCATGAAGACTGTCTGTGTCACTAAATCTATCACTGTACCGATCACTGCATCTATCACTGAGTTTATCACTGAACCTATCACTGTACCGGTCATGACCTGTAAATCTGTCACAGTAAATGTCACTGTAGCGGTCACTGAATTGCTCGTGTCTTTCAAACATAGGGGGAGGGGAACGAGCACGTTCCGAAGCTGTTTCCAGCTTACTGCCCTTTTCAGGCGCTCTTGATGGGGATGCAGTCCGGAAATACATTGTGCGGTACAGAGCACTCTTAGGTCTTACACGCCCTCTTGGTTGTCCCTTAGCTTTTTTGTCAAAAGGTGAACCAACGCATCTAAGGTCTACTCTGAACGCTCTCTCCTTTGTTTGATCAAGTAATGAATCTAAGCTTGAGTGGGATTTGTTTGAACGTCTGGACAGACTTACATAATTGGCATCTTGCTCCTCTCTTAATGACACAAGAAGTGATGCTGTGGATTCTGCCGATCCCTCTGTATTAATTGCCATTACTTTGTAACTCCCTGAGTCTTTATCTATAATATCATTGATTGTCAAACTTGTTAAGTGCACATGCATTTTACTCACTGTATGTATTCTACGACGGTGCTCCTTTTGAATCTGTCTGTTATTATGAAACCATAATATTGTGGGAGCTGGTCTTGCAACTAGCTTACATCTAAAAGCAGTTACCTCCCCCTCCAAAACAGACCGAAATTTCAGCTTTTTAATGATAGAAGGCTTAATATTTTCATTCCCAGTCTCTGTTACAATACCAACATCTAAAGCTTCTTCAGGATCTGATAAAGGACCATGCAGCTGTCTTCTTTTTTCGGTGTATTCAGTTCCTTCATTATAAAACAATTCTGTAAGAGAAGGGAGACAAAGTTCAATGCCTATGCCTACCATGCTAACTAAAATGTATTTAAAATCGAATATTAATACAAATATTAAACACATGCATCAAGTCACAAAGCTATGAAAAAACAAATTCACTCACCATATTTGTTCGAATAAACGCAAGACTCGATTCTTTAATAAAGATTCTGACACGAAAATGTCTTGGTGTTTTGTTCCTTCTTCTGTGGACATTTCTTCAAACAATAAATAAATTTCTTTTCAAAGCGTTAATATATCCAAATAAAACCGACCTTCGAAAAAAAGATTCTTAGATATTTACCTGGTGTATTTATCCTAAAATATTCCTTACCTGACTTGCAGAAAGATGAATAAACGCCCTTTCTAATCCTTAGATTGGCGGTAAATTGTTCAAAACATTTAGAGACTACAAAGATGAATTGTTAAAGCAGCTCTAGAATTGTATGAGAAGGCGTTTATTCGAACTAATATAGTTTAGAGGTATAACCGTGTTATTTAAAAAGCAAACAACATTAATCACATACCACTATCTGCAAGCCAGTCTAAGAAATATTTGCAGGAGGGAGTTCCAGATGCAAGAAACATAGGAAGCAAGTAAAAGATGTGGCTACTTCCATATCTTTTAAAGAATTATTTCCTGTGGTATGGAAACTTTAAAAGATACACATCCTGCACCTTTAATTTCCGACTACAACCAAGATATCCTTCATGCTGTATGAATAAATAGATGCAAAACTTCGCTTTTCCCAAAATGCTGTACAGCAAGCATTTTATCAGTCAAACTGCTTGCTAACTAAAAAGGTCAAGAGATCAGACATACAGATGTCAAATAATAAGATATGAAAGTGTTCCCATCAAAGAGATCCATGCAGTTTGTATAGTCAGTCATCATCAGATAGTACTGTCAAATATCATATATTCAACACCATGTTTCACAAAAGGACATTTCATTACGTAAAACACATAAAAACAAGATTCTCTGGACAAATCTTACCTTTGACTTCTTCCTCAATTTTAGTTTCAATCTCCTCACGCACTTGTGGAACTGTAAAACAGTAATTTGGGGAAATGGGTCATTTTTAGAAAAGGAAATGCTTGACATCAAAACATGAAAAGCTGGAAAAAACGTCTCATTGTAGATGATCAATGTGCAGGAAAAGTGAAAAAAATTGGCAAACATAGATACAGAAGCAAAAGATAAGAATAAGAGGTAAAAGAGGAAGAGCATGCATTGGCCAACTTGGCACTAAGAGGTGAGTACTGCATACAGCTTCTACTGCATTAATAGCTTTGCAAGTGTAAACTCCTTCTTGCAGTGGACCAACATTTTAGGGCTAAGTGGCACACTGAACCATCCTGTGACATTATATATGTAGGGGACTCCTTGACAGTTTTACTGTTATGTAGCCAAATAACTAAAGCAGGGAGGCCACCATTCAAAATACAAAAAAGAGTTACATCCTCCCCTGATTTCACACTGGATTTGGGGGATGTTTTTCGAAGAAAGCCAGGTGGAACAATAATGAGTTCCCCTGTTTCCTTGATGGGCACAAGGCCAGTGTTACGACTTGTTTCCTTTGGAGCTTGCACAAGAGGAAGTCCCCTCTCAAGGCCACTTGTTTTGACTGAAAGAGTGGTTTATAAGTATCAACTTCATGACACTCGTAAGCTGACTGAGAGATGCTCACAGATTCTGCCTTTGACTTTTCTTCTGTTTCAACAATAAAATTAAAGAAGAAGGTAGGTCATTAAGGTCAAGAGAAACAGAACAAGTGGAAATGGAGCAATGAAGACAATAGAAGGAAAGACAACGAATGATGATCATGATGATAAATTTATGAAGTGTAAATAACTAGCATCAGTGGGGCTGATAGAAGACACAAGATGGATGAAATGGAATGGGATGCTTTGATAGTGTATATCCACCTTCCACTTTGAGCTGTGTAGAGGTTCTCTGGGTCTTGCCATCTTTACTTTTAATGAGACAGCTGTAAATACCCTGGTCCTCTGGTTGGACATTGTATATAAAGAGTGATAAAACATTTCCACTTCGCTCATATTTGATCCTCTCTTCAGAAGCGAGTCTTCTACCATCATGGTACCACACAAAATCAGAAAGTGACTGAGGGTCAACATAGCAGAGAAATGTAGCCATTTCACATGATTTTACACTCAAATCAGTCAAATTTTCTGTCCCAAGCGGATATTTGGGGAAGCTCGCAGTGCATTCTTCCAAGGCTTCCTCTGCAGCTTCAGTACTTGAAGATTTAAGACCCTTTTGATGTTGTTGACCTTCCAAAGATAAATACTGTGGCTGGTCTCTTGTTGAAAGTATATCTGTGTCCTTAGTAAATGGAGTGAGGTATGGAAATTTTACTTCGTGACGGCAAGAAATACTGTTAATTTCATTTCTGGATGAGGCTAATGGCTGTTGAATCTCACCCCCTTTTTCATCAAATTTTGACCATAACACTGGGGATCTCTTAGCTGTGGTTTTAAAGACAAGAGTATCACTTGACAGGTCCTGATCTTTTAGGAGCTCCAGCGGATATTCATGAAGAACTTGTTTATGGTCACCAAATGTTTGAGTCTGTGTATCAGACTTCTTTATAAATGATTCTTCTGACCTCTCATTAGGAAACTCACCACTTCCTTCAAATGTCTTTATAGAAGATTTTTTCTGCAAAATAATTCTAGCAGTGCTCTCATCCTCTGCCAGTTCACATTTTGTGTCTTCAGCTATCACAGGGACATGAATACTTGCTGCTATGGAACCCCTCTCTGTAGAATGTCTGCAAGTGTGCAATCCAGGGGCCTGGTCTTGCAAATCAGGTTCTTGGACAGGTAAACATGGTTGGTCTTTTGTTAAATCTATGTCTGTGATCTTAGTAACTGCAGCATGATCTTGTAAAGACACTTCTTCATGCGAACCAATAATAGCTCTCTTACTTGACATTTCAAGGGGGGTTGACTGCTCCCGAACTTTGTTTTTTTCTTGATGGACCTCCAAATGTGTTGGTTTATCTCTTGTAAAAAGTATGTCTGTGACCTTGGTAACTGTAGTTGGGTCTGGTAAAGTAACTTCAAGAGAGTCAGTAGTTTCCTTACTTGACCTTCCAGAAGGGGGTAACTGTTGCTGAACCTCAACACCTCTCTCAGCTGATTTTGACCATGTCACTAAAGATTTTTCAGGTGGAACTGTAAGTCTGGGAGAATAGCTTGGAGGCTTTTTATCTAGTTGGACCTCTAAATGTGGTAGTTCATCTCCTTCTAAAAGTATGTCTGTGACCTTGCTGACTGTGGTAGGTTCTGGTAAAGTGACTTCAAGAGAGCCAGTAATTATCTTCCGTGGCTTTCCAGAAGGGGTTGATTGTTCCTGAACCTCATCACCTTTTACAACAGGTTTTGAAGGTCTATCTGACATGGTTTCAAAGACAAGAATATCACATGGCAGGTTTTGATATTGAAGCTCCACAGGTAAACTTGGTTGGTCTCTTATTGAATGTCTGTCTGTGACAAGAGTAAGAGCAGTGGGGCCTGGTAAAGTCACTTCTTCATGAAAGCCTATAGCAATGCCTGTACTTGATATTCTGTAAGAGGCCAAAGGTTGCTGAATCTCAGCACCTCTTTCAACTGATTTTGAACATGTCATTGAAGAGTTTTCAGGTGGGCTTGCAATGCCAGGGGAATCACTTGACAGATTTTTATCTAACTGGGTCTCAAAATGTGATGGTTCATCTCTTGTTAAAAGCATGCTTGTGACCTTGGTAACTGTAGTCGGCTCTGGTACTGTGACTTCAACAGAATCAGAAATTTTCTTACTTGACTTTTCAGAAGAGAGTAACTGTTGTTGAACCTCAACAGCTGATTTTGGCCATGTCATTGTAGACTTCTCAGGCAGGGCTGCACTGTCAAGAGAATCACTTGGCACTTTTTTATCTAGTTGGACCTGCAAGTGTGGTGGCTTGTCCCTTGTTAAAAGTATGTCTGAGACCTTGGTAACTGGGGAAGAGTCTGTTAAAGTGACTTCAAGAGAGCCAGTAATTCTCTTACTCGGCTTTTCAGATGGCGTTAACTGTTGCTGAGCCTCAATATCTCTTTCAATTGATTTTGAAAATTTCACAGGAGGTCTGTCTGGTGTAGTTTCAAAGAGAAGAGTATTGAATGGTAGTCTTTGATCTGGATCCACAGGTAAGCTTGGTTGGTCTCTCACTGAAGGTATATCTTTTACATGAGTAAGAGTACTGGGGCCTAGTAAAGTCACTTCTTCTTCATGAGAGCCTACAGCAATGTCCACACTTGACCTTCTTGGAGGAGCCACTGGTTGCTGAACCTCAACATCTCTTACAACAAATTTTGACCAGAACACTGAAGATTTATCAGGAAGGGTTGCTAAGTAGGGAGAATCACCTGGCAGCTTTTTATCTTGTTGGACCTCCAAATATGGTGGCTCATCTCTTGTTAAAAGTATGTCTGTGACCTTGGTAACTCTGGCCGGGTCTGGGAAAGTGGTTTCAAGAGAAGTTTTTCCAAAAGGGGTTGATTGTTGATGAACCTCAACACATTTTGCAATTGATTTGGACCACATCGCCGAAGATCTCTCAGGTGTGGTTTCAAAAAGAGGAGTATCACTTTGCAGATCTTGATCTTGTTGGATCTCAACTAGATGTTCATGTTGTATGCATTCATGGTCATCAGATATTTGGGTTTGTAGACTGGTTCTTTTTGTAAAAGATTTTTCCATGCTTGACACACTTTCATTACAAAGATCTTTAAAGGACTCATCTGAGCAATACAAAAGAATATGTTAGACAGCAAGTAACTCTACCACAGCATACAGCAATATACTGAGCAATAGAAAGGATTAGGTTAGACAGAAAGTAACTCTTCTACAGCATACAGCATGCAAAACGGACAGTAGAAAGGTTTGGCATCTAGTGTTATAGAAAACCAATTATGGTGAGAAAAGTCTGGAACTATAACGAAGACAGCAGAGTGGATCACACTTCAGAAAATAATGTAGGTTGCTTTTACCAATGGAAAACATGAACGTCGGTCTATTAAAAGGTTTAACTGTGTGAAGTTAGTAAAAGTGACCAAAAAGTCTCACTGAGAAAAATCAATGAGAGTTTTCAGCTAAGAAAACAATGTGAATCAATAATTAAGCATGGTGTGTCATTCCAAAATAACGGATCTAATTTTATCTGAATTACCTTCTCTGGTTACTGCAAGGGTTGATGTGCAAACTGCCTCTCCAGCGGCATTGACTGCTTTGCAAGTGTACTGTCCAGCATGCTCAGAAAAAGCATCAACTATTATTAATGTGGCAGTGTTTGTCATTTCATCAAAATGAAAGACAACATTTTTATTTGGCATAACAGGTTCCTGGCCATGAAACCAGCTGATCTCCGGTTTCGGCATGCCAGACACACAAGCGTGAAACCTGGCCACTTCCCCGTGAGGCACAGTGCAGCTCACAATGGGCTGAATAAAAGTGGGCCTTTGACCAATAGGCTCCTTCTTTACACTCTTAATGCTTGTGGAGAGACTGGAGGAGGCATGCCACTGAGATTCTTGAGATGTTACATCCATAATTTTTGTTTCTCCTGTAGGGAAGTATAGATTTGTGTACAGCCGTCAGGCATAGTGCAGACATTCACACGTCTTTCTTAGCAATGTAATCTCTGTGAGAGTCAGTAAGCTATAAAAGACTTTCCTAGTTAGATAAATTTGTATTCTTGCAGCATGTGAAGTGTGTCCAACATACGTCCAATATGTGTTCATAACTAAATCACCATAATTGAACAATATAAAGCAAAGCATCAGTAACAGATTGAAATGCAAATATCTGTTGCCATTACATCTAGTAGCAAAGGCATCATTGTCATCATACAAACATGCTATTAAAAGCAATGTTCAGCTCACCCTCCAGTTGCAGCACTGCAGAGCAGGAGACCATTCCAGCAGAATTGCGAGCGACACAGGTGTACTCTCCCTCATCTTCGGAATAAACTCTGGCAATCTCAAGCTGACAGATATCATCGAACTGAGACATTCTGAAGAAATTTGACTGTTTGATCTCCTTCTCTTTGCAGTACCAAGTGATAGTCAGATCTAGATTGGACACCACCAAACAAAAAATGACCCATTAATTGAGAAATTGTGAATATGAACAGAAGCATCAATATGACTGTCTGCCTGCATGTAAGACAACCTTACCCTCTCCAGTCACCCTGCACTGGAATCTGGCAGACGCTCCTTCTTTGGTAGAGGTGTTTTGTATTGGAGATATAATCACAGGTGGGGATAAGGGTGCACCAGTGTCAGGGGAAACAACCTCTGGAACTACACATGAGGACATTCATAAACAATATTATTAAAATAACTTCTTGGGGTTTTTTTGGGCATGAATTAAGAATTAATATTTTCTTGGGAAACCAGCTTCTTATGTTTATACACAAACTTATTTTTGACAAACTATTTTCACCTGGTGTCTTAACCCAACTTATTTCAATGTACCTTCAACGTTCAGTGTGGCAGAGCTGGTGGCCTGTCCATAGTCATTTCTTGCCTCACAGTTGTACTGAGCTGCATCTTCTGGGAAAACCTCAATGAGCAGCAGAGCGTGTTCATTTCCCTCTCTCAGGAACTTGCACTTGAATCCAGCAGACAGTGCCTGAGAGTTCTTGTACCAGGTGACCTGGGGCTGAGGGATGCCGGTCACTTCCACAGAGAAGCGTGCAGGTTTGCCAGCTTCAACAGACAAAGGCTCCATGTGTCTGATGATCTGAGGAGGCTCAGGGACTGAGGACAACAGATCAGTGATGAGGAGATGAGGAGCAGTCCTGAGTGTAAAAACTAACATTTTGGAATTTATTTCATATCTTGTGAATTTAAATGGCAATATAAGTGGACTCACAAATCTGTTTCATTAACCAAGAACACAGACTTTTCTATCTTTGACTAAATAAAATAGATCACCTTAAAGGCAGAAAGCAGACTGATTAGCTAGTGAGACATAAACCATCAGTTACAATGTGTACCAGTACTGATGTATCCTACATAGCACCCTTGCATATGTTTTAGAGGTGAAGCTTACATTGGAACACTAAAGGAAAAGACTGTATCCATTGGCTGCTGAGCTTCAAAATAGTTAATTTCAGTTAACTTCTTTGTGAAGGCACTATGTAACAGAGTTAGGGAACTGAGGGCTGGAATTCAGCACTGTTTGCTGATGTTCCTGCTCTAACACACTAACTACACCTGGCAATTAACGGATGAGTTGAATCAGGTGGGTTTGGGTAAGACACTCACAAAACTGTACCTCCAGGACCAAAGTTCCCAGATGTTTACAGATGAAGTATCAGTATTCAATATGGAATTACATTATTTTATAACAGTGAAGGCTTACTGTTGACATGTAGCGTCACAACACTCCTGTTCTTCCCAGCAATGAAAGTATATTCTCCTGCATCACTTCTGTAAGTTTCAGTGATTGTCAAGCGATGGATTTTCCTGATGGTCACATAATTGAAGCGCTTATCAACTGTGAACTGAATTTCAACACCGTTTCTCAACCAGCGGCCTTCGATGTCATCTTCATTGACTTCAAACTCCAGAGTAGCTCTCTGCTTCTCAAGCACCTGGAAAAGGATACACATTTATAATAAGCAAATATTATTAACCACGACCATGTATTCTGGCAAGCTCATGATGAATCTAAGAGTCACTAATGTTTAAGGAATGGATCTGTAAGTCAATATTTACCGTTATTTCTTTCTCAACAGGTTCAGTAATGCGGACGTCCTTGCCCTCCACTGTAAGGTGAGCCTTGGAAACACTTGAGCCAGCAACCACGGAGTACTCGCCAGCATCAGACATGCGAACAGTCTGTATCATCAAGCGCTGTATGTATTTGTCTGTGGAAACTTTATACCTGTGCAAGAGAGTAAAAATGTAGGTCAAGACACTAGAATCACTGACAAAATAAGAAAAATCACAGAAAATCCAGCCAAGTTTATGAAGAATTTCTGTACCTTTCTGATCTCTCAAGTTCTTGGCCATCTTTCATCCATGTGACTTGAACATTAGGCTCAGAAAGCTCACATTCAAAAATGGCCTTCTTCTTCTCAGTGACTTTGATGTCTTTGATGTGTTTTGTGAACTCAATGACACGAGCTGAAAAACAGAAAACATATGGTCATGACCAAATAAGAAATGTATAAAAGTTGCAAAAAATTAGCTGTAATCGGTTAAATTAGAACTTACCCTCAACAAACAGCTTGGCGGACGTCTCAGCAGATCCAGCTACAAACTTATATTCTGCGCTATCACCGAAGTGCACGTTACGGATGGTGAGAGTGTGAGTGAGCTGTTTAGAACGGGTCTGGCATCTGTCAGTGGATCGAATCTCCACGCCATTCTTCAGCCATTTGTAGGTGATGCCCTCATAGTTGACAGTCACCTCAAATGTAATGGTGTCCTTCTCTTGAGCATTGAGGTCTTTGAGCATCGAAGTGATGAGTATGGCTATAAAGAGAAGAAGGAATAGGTAAAACAACCATAAACTTTCCTACAATCTTAATTCTGATTTTGCGTTCTTCATTGGACTCATTTTAACTACTTCATTAATCAGGAATATATTCACATAACTCAGCATGTTTTAGTATCATTAAGCCACACTGAACAGTAGGGAAAATAGTACTTTAGAGAACTAAGAATACTTACGGCTAACGGTCAGAGTGGCAGAGACTCTGTCATTCCCACACACAAAGGTGTACTCTGCAGCATCATCTCTGCTGGTGTTCATGATCTTGAGTTGGTGGAGCTTGCCCTGCACCACAATTCTGAACTTCTCACTCATCTCAATCTCAACCCCATTTTTCAACCAGGTGGATGGGACATTGAAATGTGAAACTTCACACTCAAATGTGGCCACCTGGGTCTCTGGAATCTCCACATTCTTCATAGGCTTGGTGACCCTTATAGCTAGAATGATCATAGCATTATATTAATTTTATGTTCATTATAAATCAATTGGAAAATGAATTGTAAACATTTGTATTATACTTACACTCAACATGTAAAAATGCACTGCACTGCATATGTCCCACTGTAGCTGTGTATTCTCCTGCCATGGTCTCATCAACATTAGAAATTACCAGTTTGTGTGCTTTCCTTTCTGAAAGTATCTGGACATTTGCACTTGGCTTGAGCTCTTGGTTCTTGAACATCCATTTAACTGGGATATTATCATGAGATAGGCTCAGCTCAAAGGAGGCAGTGTCATTTAGCAGGGAAGTCACATCTTTGGGCTTCTTCACAATTTTAATTGCTGAAAAATGATGCAAAATTTTGGTCAAACACAGGTTACCTTATCCATGAAATACATAAAAAAGGGGAAAGAGATGTACTTACTCTCAACATTCAGTCTGGCATTAGCAGAAAGTTTTCCTAGTTTGAACCCATAAACTGATTCATCCTGGGTGTTACAGTTTTTGATCTTCAAGGAGTGAACTGTGCCATCTACTGTGATCTCATATTTATCACTTGGGACAATCTCAACACCGTTCTTGATCCACTGGGACCCTTTTACATCCAAATGAGTGAGCTCAAGGCTGAACACTGCCTCCTGTGTCTCAGTGACAGTTTGATTCTTCAATGTCTTCTTGACTTTCACGGCTATAAAAAAATTCAAGGTATACAAGTTTTATGACTACATTTTTAATGTATGATGAAACAATGCAGAAAGCCTTCATAAAAAACCAAATATATGTACCTTCAACCCTTAGGTTGGCTGATGTTTTGGAGGTTGCAACCTGGTAGGTGTACTCTCCAATATCCTGTGGTCTAGTGATAACAATGACAAGGCGTCTTACAGCACCAATCTCTTCACTCCTGATGTTTTCGCCAAAGTCAACATGGTGTCCATCTTTAATCCACTTGCCCTCTGCAGTGGGGTTGGCAACTTCACACTCTAGCACAGCAGTCTGCGACTCGGCAACTGTTAAATCTTGCAGGGGTCTGTTTATGGCACCACCTGTTGAAGAAAAACATAGCAAGACTTTGAAGAAGCATCTTCACAAATTACTGGTTTTCAAAATTAACAAGATGTGCATGTTGCTCAAATGAGCTAAGACAAAACAGAATGTCTCACCTGATACAGTAAGTTTTGCACTTGATGTCTTCTCACCAGCTGCAAAAGTGTAAGAACCTTCCTCATCTTTCATGACATTGACAACAGTGAGCCTATACTTCTTATCCTTCGACTCAATCTTATACTGTGGACCAGCCTTAAGAGGTTGATTCTTAAAGGTCCAGAGAGCATCAATCCCAGCATGAGATAACTCAACCTCAAAGGTGACATTCTGGGTCTCGGTGCAAACACGGTCCTCCATGTGCTTTATGATGCTGACCTCTGAATAAAGCAAAAGGTAAACTTAACACTTGATCACAACCCAGGTTGCACGTGTTATTAGAATCATAATCTAGATGTTTGTTTAGTTCTTGTTTGTTGCATTTTTAGAGATTTAATTAATGTTGGTCAGTTATTTATTAAACAATTTTTAATGATATCCTAACAAAGCACTACTTAAAACTAAGAACGTTTCTACAACTCTAACATGAGAATCTTTGTGCAATTTATCAATTTATTTGAGAGTATGTACCTTACATACATCACAGAAGTACTTACTCTCAACAGAAAGCTTGCACGATGAATCAACTTTGCCAACAACCAGTTTGTAGTGTCCTTCATCGGAAGCATAGGTCCTGTTGAGTACCAAGCGTTGTTTTGATCCCTTAGCAACCATCTGGACTCTGTCATCAGCCGTCAGCAGCTTGTCATTATGGTACCATTTCACTGAGCTAACATCAGCAGCTGAAATTTTGGCTTCTAGCACAGCCTTTGTGCCTTCCACTGTACTAACATCCTTCAGTGGAGATATAATATTGATTGCTGTAGGCAAAAGAGGCAAAATAAAAGTTAATTCAAGTTCATGTTAGGTAAAATTCAAACCAACTGAAACTGTTGCCAACAGAGACTTACACTGAACAGTTAGTTTTCCTGTAGTGGAAATGTCTTGAGCAGGAACAACGAAGGAGTATGCTCCAGCATCATCTCTGTTGACATTTTCAATAAGGAGCTTGTGTACAACTTTGTCAATTACAATGTGAATCCTATCAGTAGCTGAGATGGGTTGATTATTCTTCATCCAAGTTCCTTCCACGTTCTCCTGGGAGAATCGCACCTCCAGTTGAGCAATGTCACCTTCACAGACAGTCAGGTCAGAGAGGCCTTGCAACAGCGTAACAGGGCGCACTGTAACAAGAAAAGACAATTGCTCATGTCGTCCCTCCTAGACATCACATTCAAAATGATAGGATATTTATAACTTCTACTTACATTTCATCTTCAAGGAGGCGCTTGTCTTTAGATCGCCCACTTTGAAGGTGTATTTGCCTTGGTCTTCTTTTTTCACATCTTTTACTGTCAGGCTGTAGCGGCCACGACGTGAGGACACAACGTACTTTAGGCTTGGAGTGATCTCTTTGTTCTCAAAGTACCAGGTGCCTTCAGCATCCTCACGTGACAGCTCACACTCAAATTCTCCAGCATATGTCTCTGGTACCTCAATGCTTTCCAGATTCTTCACAATTTCGAGTGGTGCACCTACATAATATCCCACCGGTTATTAACAAACAGTTCTGATATACAGATCAGCACACAAACTGCTCTATACATTCTCTCAGTCCATTTCATCACTTCCACTGTTAAAGTCCCAGGGAACACAATAAAACATTGAACAAAAGTGTATGATTTTAATATTTAGTGGTACAGATAACAGCTAACTCAACTGTTAGCTTTCACTAGATAATCTCAAACAGAGAGAGACCATGGGAAAACTTTAGTTTTGTTAAAGCTTACATACATAAGCATTACCCAAGTTTAGGTGTGCCCAGTTTAAACTGAAAAGGAGAATCAGATTTACCTAACTAGAAAGAAACCACATTTTAGGCACCCTGGGACTTTAATTACTTAAAAGGTATAATGCTAACCTTCAACGTGAAGTTTGGCAGATGTTCTTATTTGCTCATCCTCAACAACAGCACAAGTGTACTCAGCATCATCCTCCATGTTTATAATCAGCACAGACAGGAAGTGCACCTTTCTGTCAGAGTGCATCCTGTACTTGTCCCCAGAGAAAATCTCTGCATTGTTCTTCAGCCATTTGACCTTGACGAAAGGCTCATTTGTCTCACATTCAAAGGTCACCATGGTGTCCTTCTCTTTGGCATAGACATCCTCCACTTCCTGTGTAAAGCTTACAACTTGCTTGGCTGAAAAACAAAAAATCCCAGCAAAATAATGAGTGAGTTTTTGGCAAGTATAAATTTAGCACAACAGCATGTAAAGCACCAGTCTATAATACTACCAATACACACCTTGTACCAACAAGAAGGCATGACTTGAGGTCTCCCCGGCAATATTAATGGCTTTTACCATGATGCTAGCTGAGTCATCAGCTGAGACATCTCTAACAACCAATTCACAGACATGGTCTTCAGGCCAATACCAGTAAATGCGGTCAGATTTTTCCAGCAAGATTCCATTCTTGAACCACTGGCATTCTGGATCTGGTTTCCCAACAACTCTGCAACGGAAGTGCACCTCATCACCCAGGGTGACTGTCTGGCTCTGAATTCGTTCTAAGATCTTCGGTGCCTCCATGCTTGGAGACAGAGTTATTTTCTCAGGTCTGATTGTAGGAATGGTAAGTTTGCGTTCCTCTTCCATTTTCTTCTTTTCAGACTCAGGTATCTCCTTGGTCCAGTGCAGAAGCTCCTCCTTTCTCTTCCTTAGCATCTCTTCATAGGATTCATCCTTTTTGCGAGATTTAAACTCTACTGAAGAGATTGCCTCGTAGTAGCCCTCTTCAGTTCTGCGTTTGAATTTGCTTCTCAATTCTTCTGTCTCTTCTGTTGGCCTCTCATGAACAACCCTCTCAGCTCTCCTCAGTTTGACGACCTCTTTGGCCTGTGATGCCTCTGCAGGTTTATCCACTTTCACAACATCAAAGGATACTCTGCCATGTTCAGGACCAGGACCCTCCGGAGCCTTTATCTCAGGGGCACGCCGCAGAATTGATCTGAAGTCCTCCCTCTGTGTGATCTCCAGCTTTACTGTGTGCTCAGCAGTGCCCTCGGGGTTCTCAGCCAATACTTTGACATCTCCTGAATCATAGGACTTACAGTCTGTAATCTCAAGATAGTGAATGCCATCATACTGCAGTCTGAATCTTTTGCTCTTGCGAATAAGCTGTCCATTGAGGTACCAGTTGACTTTTGGAGTTGGGTAACCAGTTACTCTACAACGGTATTTTGCAGTTTCTCCTTCCAGTACTCTGATGGGTTCTGGAAGCAAGACAATTTCTGGCTTAGTTTTTTCTGTCATGTCTTCTCCTGTGACTCCTGAAGGACCTCCCTCATGAGCAATGCGCTCAATTTCATCTATTCTCGGTCCCCTCCTACCCTCTGGTAACTGGCTTTCCTCAACAAGACTCTTTTCATCTTTCACGATTAGGGTAGCAGAGGTCTGGTCAACACCAAACTTGTTGGTGGCTCTGCAAGTAATAACACCACTGTCTCTGGAATAAGCAACTTCATAATCAAGGCTGCAGTAACCAAACTCATTGACCATACGTAGTCTGTTAGCAGCTGCCAGAGGTTTCCCATCATGCAACCACTCAACAACCATTGTAGGGTCACCTATGGGAGTCAGTCGGCAATCAAAGTGCACATTACCAAAACGCTTGAGTCTGACTGAAGTCAGTTTCTTTTTGAAGTGAGGCTTCTGCTGCTTCTCTTTGTCGTAAAGGTCACCCTCCTCCCATTGTTCCTGACCATAGCGGAGATGTAGGGGCTCCAACTCTGGTGCAGCAATTTCCTTAGCCTTATAAGTTCCCTTAGGGATGATGAGCTTTCTCTCTGGTTCAGGTTCAGCGAACTCCACCTCAACATTGACTCTGCAGCGTGTGGTATCTCGGCCAGCTTTGTTAATAGCTGTGGCCGTGTACCATGCACTATCAGAACCAGTAGTTTGGGGAATCTTGAAATGTGCCTCTCCCTTAGTAGCCTCAATCCTGAAAAATGATAGCATTTCCAGATTTGTAAGTATACTAATAATAGTAGTAATGAACAATACATCATAAAACTTTAAAAGCAAGGCACTCACTTAATATTGGGGTACTTGTGAGGAGAGATGATGTCACTGTTCTTCAGCCAGACAATGTCAGGGAGAGGGTTTCCAATGGCTTTGACAGCCAACTCAACCAAAGTTCCTTCCTTGACACTCACATTCTTCAGTTTTTCAATAAACTGTGGTCTAACCAAATTTTCCTTAGCTGTAAATGAAATAAAAATAGTTTGCACGATGATTTAGAGATCTATCCAAAGTTTTATTGGTCAGAAAAATTATACTAAATTATTTAACATAGTGTTAATAAGGAAAGTGCATTTTACCCTCTACAGTGAGAGTCATAGAGACTGAGGTTTTTCCAGCTCTGTTCTGTGCAACAACTGTCCATTCTCCAGAGTCTTGAGCCATGGCAGGAACCACAATCAATGACTGTGTTCCATCTTCCTTCACCACAATCTTGTGGGTGTAGTCATTAACCACTTGTTGTCCTTTATTAAACATATTAAATAAGAATGAAAAAAGTTATTTTTTTGCCCTGTCATCACATTATGTAAACTAAAAACACAAAACAAGATAAACTACTATCAAAGTAATTACCATTGTGGAACCAGAAAGTGTCAGGCATGGGTCTTCCAACAACCTTCAGATCAAATCTTGCCGTTTGTCCTTCAGAGCACCTGAAAGATGATGGCTTCATGACAAACACAGGTTTGTAAAGTCTTTCCAGCTGGGCCTCATCTGTCTCATCCAGCCTGCGAGCAGGTGAGCGACCAGGGGAACGGCTAACAGAGCGTGCAGGGGAGCGTCCAGGAGAGAGGCTAATGGACCGTGCAGACATTGGGGATTCGGACCTGAAATAGGAATTGAAAGAAGTTGACGACTAAACATACAGTCAATATACACTGCCTACAACTTTTGTGGTAACCTATATACCATTCAATAACAAACTCTGATATTACAAAAAGATAAACTTACTGTACTCTTCTCACTGCCTCTGCCTGAGGATAATAAGGCTGAGCAGTGGCTGTAGACTCCACATAGAGTTTTCCAGAGCTTACAGCATTACCCTTCATGTTACTTGCTAAAGCTGTATAGACTCCTTCATCTTCTGGCAGCACCACAGGAAGGCGCAGACTGGCCCTACCATCCTGAAGAACCTCCATCTGATAACGGCCTCCATGCTTGATGCGCTTGCCATCTTTGTACCAAGCAATCTGTTTAGAAATTGGGAGGAGTAGGGGTAGGTTATGAGCTTAAATGCTTACAACATGCATTCTGTAACAGGATTGCTAAAACACAAAAGCATGGAATTAAAGAATTCAAGAAATTAAAACAGGGATTGTTCTGCCCAAAAGTCTTATATGACTGTCATGTTTCCATCTAAGCCTTTTTAGTCAACAAATTGTGCATCACAAGAAACCTTGCTTGAGATGGAGATGTTTTGAGAATTGTGATAAATGCAATTTCAAGGTGCTTTAACATGCACAAAGTATCCTGCTCCCTTTTCCTGGCTTTGTTGTTTTAATCCAGAAGCTTTATGGCATGACCAGTAAAGTGGAACATTGCCGCGATCCTTACAGTAAAGCAGAACAATATTCAGTGCTTTTACAAGAGAAAACAAGTCTGTTTTACTACTCGCATACTGCTCTGAAAAACACAGACTCAAAGTATAATAACTGGGCATATTTTAAGTGTGGCTAGTTTAAACACCTTTTCAAAAGGCAGGTAGTTTAACTGGGGTCAAAACATGGTATTACAAATATTAGAGTTCTTCACTTCAACTTTAAAAATAGTTCCACCATTGCAGAGATTTACATTGCTTGTTAACTTCTGTAAATGTGTGTCACTGATGCACAATATGGAAAATATCTGATTATAGCACCTCTATGACAATAACAACGGATTGAAATTGGATCAGGCTTAACTTTAATACAGTAGATAGAGAAAAATAGTTTAAATGAAGATAAAAAAAAACAAAACAAAAATTGTTAGCATAACTGCATTTTGTAAGGCTAAGTGGGTCCCTCAAGCTTTCCTTCTTTATCACTGTAAAGACAAATAAGATGTTACTAGTAATGTAATGCAGTACCTTTGGCACAGGATTTCCTTCCATTTTGCAGTGGAAAGTAACACCCATTCCCTCCATGATTCTGTAGCTTTTGACAGCCGTGCTGATTGAAGATCCTGCAGCCTCATGTTCAGCCACAGTAATCATCTCCTCTCCATCTTCAGTCACCAGTTCCCGGTATGTAATCTTTAGAATCCTGATCTCAATCTCTTGAATTATTCTCTGCTCCAAAGCAGAGATTTGGAATTCCTGTTAATTAATTAATTATTATTAATTTAATATTTGCTTTATGTTGTGATTGCAATGAATGTACAGGAGTTATTAACCTAAAAATCATCATTACCCTCTCTGTGATGAACGTCTGCATTATCTGTGCTTGCTGAGCCATCTTCCTTTGTATGTCATATTCACTTACGACCACAGGGGGCACGTCCGCCACTTTGGGCTCCTGCACCACTGCAGTGGTTACTTCTGTTTTGTACATCACTTCCTGTGTTTTGATGTATGCCTCATATTCCTCTGTAAAATGGCACATTCATATAAACAGTTAGTTTTATGGACTTTTGAGATTTTAATATTAACTCTTTGCTGCATGCCATTGCCATGTGTATTTTTTTTTTCTATTTTTCTGAGGTACTGAAGACTTTATGTAAAAGCTACACTTTTTCCGATAACATGCCTTCTTTTTGCAGTCAGTACTTCTTTTTTTCTCAAACCAGATGGTAAACTCTAGCATCTGAAGCACTCTCGAAGTGTGTAACTATTTCATTATTTATACAGAATAACTTCGAGAAAAAAACTGAAACACAACCTGTGGGATGTTAACATTTCTATTTCTTAAATAAAACCAGTTTGGGTGCTATCATAAAATGATCAAATAAAATTGTTGCCATATGGCAGCAGCATGCAAAAATAATTCAAGCACAATCTGTGAGAAGTTATCATTTCTATTTCACAAAATAAAACCGGTTTAAATTATATCAGATTTATATAAATTGATAAAATATTGTTAGTGAAATATTATATTATAACATATTGTCGCTGTCCAAAGAAAAACTCCAAAACAGGAGAGGGCAAAAACTTTCTTTTTTTAATGTAGGTCAATGTAAAGATATTTTATTTCAAGTAATTTTAGAGCATTGCTATTGGTCCATTCATCATGAAATTGTCACACAATGTAAAGGACAGCCACTGTGTTCAAATGATGCAGAAAACTAAAAATCAACAAAAATGGAGATACATGACAGCGACAATATTATAAAATATTAATATAATTATTGCCATATTATTGCCACTTAGTACAACATGTGAAAGTAGAAATACAATCTGCAATGCATACAATGGGAGCAAATGAACACAGAACTTTTTTATATAACAAGTCTTTTATCAAAGAATTACTTTCACACCTTTCTGTGTTTTAAAAAAATACATAAAACATTTTTATGCTTTTTTTCAAGCCTGGAGGGTAAAAGTGGTCCTATAGTAGTGTTTTGGTTTACTTGCATGGTGTGCATTGCAGATTATAGTACTATTGTCATATGCTGTTGCCATATAGCAACAAAAAAGTGCCCTCTCAATTTTTTTTTCTTTTTGGATTTCTATTCATTATGCCATTTTCAATAAGAAAATCATTAATTAATGCACACATGAAATGTCTGAAGGCATGTCACTGACCTTCCTCAAGGAGGTGTGTGGAGGCAGATGCCTCTCCATGTTGATTTCTAGCAGAGATGGTGTATTCTCCAGCATCATCAGCAAATGTCATGGAGATCTCCAGTCTGCAATCTCCTGTATCCTTATTGTAGCTCACTCGATATCTGATGGTTATGAAGACATGCATATGTTTGTATTGCTGCTATATATGATTATTATGACTGACTACAGATGGCTACTGTAGGTGATCAGAACACCAAATACCTATATCCAGTGGTGAGTGGGACACCATTCTTTTTCCAGTAGATGTGAGGTTTGGGGCTGCCTCCAATCTGACAGTCGAAGACAATGCTGCCACCTTCCACCAGTTTCTGTGTAACTGGTTTCCTTATAAAGAAAGGAGCTGCAGCTGCTCCAGCTTCTACACTCTCTACAGCAGTCACTTCTGATACAGCTGCTTCTTTACTTTCAATAACAATCCTAAAAGAGTTGTAACAACAGATTTTAGATACAGTGAATGATGGTAGTCATTGGCTCTTGCCTTTTTGTGATTTTGCTACTTACTGTTTCTCCATAGTAACCTCTTCTCGGCTTTCAATCTCTTCAGACACTGAAGGAGGAAGAGGGGAAACTAAGTCTCTGTAACAAACGTTCAACAGATCACAATTTTAAGCCAAAAAATGTATGTTTTAATGAGTGCTACCTTTAACAAGGAGGTAGCAGGAGGTGCTGACAGTTCCAGCCTCACTGGTGGCGGTGCAAGTGAAACGGCCACTATCCTCAGCAAAGGCCTCACGGATCACTAAGCGGGCAAAGTTATTCTCATATGTGATCTGGAAGTCAATGGAGCTCTCAATCCTGTAGTCTTCTCTGAACCACATAATGCCAGGTGTGGGGTGGCCTGAGATCTGGCACTCCAGAGTCACAGACTCTCCCTCAGTAACGGTCAAGTTCTTCAATCCCTGAATGACAAAACACAAAAGAATTCTGCTTAAAAAGACGTGCTAGCATTTAATATCAGTGTACACCAAAATACAAAGATAGAGACTGTCAATAGGTTTGAATGTTCCTTCAAGGGACATTAAACAATGAGTAAGGCAAGATGAGTGACACATTTATTGCAAGTTTTAAATTTGAATGCATGGACACTGGCGTTCAAAGGTTTGGAATTTAGAACATTTTGGCTTCAGATAAATGTGTAAAATTATTTTAAAATGCTAGACCTGCACAACTTTACAGATTTCAAATAACACTCAGAAGCTGTAAATAAAAATGAAGAAATGTTACGAGGGTGATCCACAATAATGAACAGTGCTGTAGATGATTCTGAAATGACTAAGAAAACTGTACAGCATTCAAAATTAAGTTATAATAAAATTAATATCAAGAATTCACCATATTTGGAATATCAGAACGGAAGCATTGTTTGGCAGATAGTTAAGTAATATTAGTACTATTGAAATCTACACCATATAATACTACTGTAAGATATTACTGTATATAAAATAACACAAATGGTTAATGTGGCAAGTGATCCCAAATTTATGAATAGTGCCACATATACTAATGAATTTTATCTTATTTTCAATTTTCAACTTCAGATCAACAAAACATGCAAATTCACTGGGGTATCTAAACTTTGGCATACAACTTAATGATCTTCACAAAAGTGCAGAAGCTATATGGTCACCAAGTAGAAATATGCCTTAAAACATTGATGGTTCTACTGTTTTCATTTTTGTGTATGGCCTTTTAAGCAATAAGTAGCTCTACTGAACTTCACTGTACTTATTTCTCATTGAGAAATGTGGGAGCAGAAATTAACTAATAAATATCCCACACTAAATCAACAGAAAAAGTAATAATAATAATAATTCATTAAGTAATGAGTAAGAATGTATTATGTCATTATACCTGAACAGAAACAAATGGATACTACAGCCATGTTTTCACTTTGTTTTTTCTTTGAAAGTGTGCAAATGTCCTACTCACATGTATTAATGCACTAATTTGAATTCCAAAAGGACACATGCAGACCAATAACTTGCAAACTTGCAAATACTTACAACAACAACAGTTGGGGGTATAACTGGCTCTTTGGCAGCTGAGGGGATTGCTGCTGTCTCAAGAACCTGAGGGATATAAACAAGGTGTTAATTACTTTGGGATCATGGGTCACAGGCAGTGAGTTAGCAGTGGGAAGTGGGTTAAACGAGGCAATGTTGCAAAGGAAGAAAATGTTCAGAATGTCAAGTGGCTAATGTGATTAGAGGAAGCAGGTAGATGTGAAGGAGAAATCCTCAGTTAACCAGGTAAAATCTGAAAGAAAACGTGTTAGACTAAACTGAAGTGACCACACAGGTAATGATATGACCAAAAATAAATAAATAAATGAATAAAAATCAATGGACAGCCACTTGTGAGATTAATGACAAGCATTAGCTTGGCTAGCAAGCATCACCAGTCTACAAACCTGTGTCTCCCATTCCCCTGCATATGAGGCACCTATCTGTCTCTGTAACTCTGTGTCGAAACGCAAGTGATATTTCTCAGTAGTGTCCCTAAAAGGAGAAGGAGTCGGCTGTGACGTCACTCTCGTCTCGACCTTATAAGTTGGAGGCTTGACGGGCTTGATGATCTTTTGAGCAGTGGAGGTAGAAGAGAGCTCTTTCTGCAGGGTGGCAATAGCAGAGCCTGCTATTGAAACCTGACCAACCCAAGGAGAGCAGCGTTATCACCACAGACTGAAATGACATGGTTTATCATTGCTTTGATTAGCCACTCCAAATGGAAAGCATCCATGATGACTTCTAGAGGATTATTGGATGGAATGGGTAATGGAAGTCTTAGTAAAAAGAGTTAGGGAAAAAGAGGTTAGGTAGATTTATATGACATTATTTTTGGAGCTAGAAAATGATGGATTATTTTTGTTTACAATGCATTGTTGATCCCAGATGACATGATATAATGTCGTATGATGTTAAGAGTTAGACCTAATACAGATTTTGTTTATGTTATGTGGAAGCTTCTAAAACTAAGAAAAGATGTTTGTCAGGCAAGCAGTATATACCCATCTTAAGGGTCATTTTCATATTTGAGGCATAGTTGTCATACTATAAATGGCGATCAATGTCAATACATTTGATCCTTTGTTACCTAAAATCGGTATCTCTTGAGAACATTTTATCCAGTACTTTATAGAGTTTAAAGATATTGATTGTGACATTGCAGTCGCTTGGGGTTTCACTGCTTGCTTGATATTACTCAAGCTTACCTCATAGCTATGATCTGGTTTAGGAACTGTAACTTTTGAAACTGTGAAATGTGGAACTGGGGACGGGGCGAGTCCAGTATCCACCTGGGGCCTAACCTCAGTAGTTCTTTGGATCTATCACAAATCAACAGAAAATGAGTTGATGGCTTTTAAAAACATGATCATCATCTATTATCACATGAAAGTGTAGGCATTAAAAACTTCTAACCTGGGTGACATGAACGGTTTGTTCGGACGTAGTGCTTGCCACGACACTGGGAACCTGCAACACCTCTGTTTTACTTGTGACGTGCTGCTTAACAGCTAGAGTTGCCTGCTGTTGTTTCATATCTATTTCTTCTTCTGCCACAGCGATCTCAACATGCGCAGGCTTTCGCACACGTGCATGATCCACCGCGGCAAGAACCGTAGCCACGGCTCCAGCCTTTTTCCCACCCTGGCAACAACAAGGACCCATCACAATCTAGCACATAGACAGACTTCTTGTGCTTGGTAAAAGATGAATAAAGATCCAGATGTGGGTAAATTCAAAGAAGTTCAATAAAACAAAATCATATGTAACACCAGCTTAAGTTGAACCCAGGTGGCCAAGGAATGTGTCTAGAGTTAGTAAGTGGGGTGAGCAATGAGAAACCACAGACAGTACCAAATGTGCCATCGCCACATTACTTTACCCATCATTGAGTGGAGGTTGTAAAAGTACCCAACAGTGCACCTCAAAGGACACCCATTCACAGTGATGTTAGGTGAAATGCTGGACTTCAACTCATAGTGCAACACGGTGAACGTGGTCAGAACACAAGTGAACTACCTGCTCCTGAGAGTCAAGTGTGTGTGATGTTTCCATATGTGTCGTGCCTTCTGAGAGAGCCCCAATGGTCTCTCTCATACTGGACTGCTCAAGAACTGCCATGGATGAAACCTTTGCCATGGGCTTGATCTGTTATGTCCAGAAGGAAACTAATTGGCTCATTTTCAACATAAGCAATGTCCGAGATGAATTAAGTGTTAAATGCTAAACAATTTTAAAATAAATGTGCTTTAAAGACAATGTAGCAAAAAGTATTAAAAGACATATTTCAGACTACAACCTTGGAAAAAAGGTCAAACTAACACTGAGGTGAAATAATTTCTTTCTTAATGTTCTTGTGTGACAAGAGCAAGTGAAGAGAGACAAGAGACAAGAGCACTGAAAAAAATAAACTCTTCACAGTGGTGAGAAAGGTGATACAGTTTGAAAAAGAGTAATGAATGAAAATGCACAAAACAGTGGTTTTAAAGCCAAAATGGATTTTCACTTTGTAGAGGTCAATGAAAGAACAAAATGCAGAGGTGGGCAGTAAATAGTTACACATAAGTAAAATTGGGATGGATTTGCACTTTCGGTTAAAGCTTTGTTTTACAGTCCGTTACAGTCTACGCATTAACCAGCTAAGTGTGAGGTACTCCAAAGTACCAGGTAATTATTTGGTGTAACATGATAGTATGTTCCAAAGTACAGTGACTAAATGATGAAATGAAATGTTTAAAAGAAATGACTAAATGACTTGTAGGTATTAACTGGACAAGTGTGTGGTACAAACTCCAATTAGCTGTGTATTTTTTTTTTTTTAATAATGGTCCCATATTCATTTACAACTGCATTTCCCCTGTGAGTGTGCATTATTTAAGACTTACATTAAAATTCAAATGCAAAATGTGTATTTGCGCTTGCATATGATTGCAACAGGAAGTTTAGACTTTTTCATCACTTCTTCTTAAAACGCAATTACAAACAGAGTTACTTACAGAGTTACTAAAAAAATACTTTCTAATTTTAGCTGAGCTGAAGCGTGACGATGAAATGCAATTGCAAAAGGGCGATTGTCATTAAGTTTGTGTCAGAGTCAGACCATTAAGACAACAAAAATTAAATGTCAAAAAGGACTTCTTGTCTATTAGAAAAATTTCCAGCCATTATACACAAAAAAGCAAATGCAAATACACATTTTGCACTTGGATTATGTCTTAAATAATGCACGCTCACATGGGAAATGCAAGTATAAATACCAAATTTTATTACCATTTACAAATTTGCATTCTTTACTCCATATAACTACTTGATACTTAGGTAGGTTTTCCTATTTTCCTATTTACCATTACAGCGAAAGATTACAGTGAAAGGTAGCATAAGTATGTTTGTATTTACCACTATATTACTCCAAATAATTATATAATTATGAAGTATTTTACCATGTCCTTTTTTTACCTTGACAGATAGAACATTTTATATGTTTCAGCACAATTTAGTTAAGCATTTAGGGTTATACCTAAAACTTAAAAGTACCCTATGAAAGTTTTGTAACGTGGGTTGTGCTTCAGACCTCTTCACTGAGTAAATGAATCCAACGATTAAAAGAGAACTCAGTCAAGACCTGGTGAAGAACAATGTCTGTGAGTGAGTTATCTACTACCGTCATATCTTCATTGGTCTAATGTTGATTTTGCATTTGAGACCTAAACATCAAGTCAAACCTTCTTTTTGAGCGTGTGCACATAATGTTAACACGTAAAGACATATGACGCGGTCTGAAAAATTCCCACCAAACCCGACCTGATGCCTCTGACTTAAATGACTCTTTGCAGCTTTACAGGGTGACTTGTGGCAGCACGCTCACCATATTTTAGCGTGTTTTTTTTTTTCTTCTGTCTCAATAGTGTTAACTCTTTGAATTGAAAAAAAATGGCATAGTTCAGCATTAAGGTACTATAAAAAGTGTTATCCATGTTCCTGAGTTCAATAGTATTCCTTATATTTAAGCATGTTTGTGCAGAAAGAAGTCTAACCTGATTTGCATTGTAGTTTAGAACAGAACAATCCCCAAAAAAAGAAAAGAGCCTAACAAACTTCAGTTCATGTGCTGATAGATGCCGGAACTATTACTACTTGCACTGAAGTTCTATAGGGAACCTGCCCTGATACCTTATTTGTTGTTTGCTAGGCTATTTTTACGTCTATTTTAGTCATTATTTCAATGAAGTAAAAAGACTTTTACTTGAGAATTAGTTTTGGGCTATTCCTCCCACCTCTGCAAAAATGGGGGTGATTGAACATGTCGGATGAATGACCACACCACTGAAAGACCAAACTACCTGCTCGGTCGGAGGTGCGAGAAGGACAGTAGTAGTGCTGCTTTCTACACCATGAGGCTCTGCTGAGCCAGGCAGAGGCTCTGCTGAGCCAGGCAGAGGCTCACGACTACGAGCCTGGTCCACAGCTGCCACCACGGTGGCAACAGCAACAGATTTGTCATCCATGCTTTGCTGTTCCTTTTGCACATGCAGGTAAAATTAGGATGCAAGACAAAAGTCAGTGTGGATCATGAAGCAGTTCTTTTGCATTGCAGGTAGAGATATATGCATCAATAGAAATACACATAGACATATTCACATCACATGCTAGCAGCATATTTTTACATATGTATCAATCGAGATTAAAAGCTTCAAAAAAGATACCTATGGCTCCAATAAAAAACAGCCCAGACTGAACAACAAATGAGATGCAAAGCATGCAAAGCAATGGCAAAAAGGGTCCCTTAAGGGGTATTTTTACCTCTTTGACAGCAGCGCCACTGACTTGTTGCTGCATGGCAATGGAGCCCTCCCAGCGCTGCTCCATGCGCATCTGTGTTGAAGTCTGGACCTGAGCTGCCATGCTGGCTGCATAGCTGGACTCAGACACGTAGCCGGCCTGTTTCCACGGAGGCAGGACTTCAGCACTGGTTGTGACCTGTTTGCGGATCAATACTGGGGACTTCACTGGTCTGATGGGTGATACAGACAGTCTTGTGGAGGGTGATACGGCTCTGAAAACACAAAATGGGAAAATGTTTCAAAGAATGAGTAGTAAGTGACAGCAAAATATTTATATAGGCAGAAATGTTACACTAAGAACTGAGGAGTTTAATTATATCCAGCCGTAAGAATTTTGAAGACTGAAAAGAATAACAGCTGACATTTAGTGGAAAACACATTTTTATTTCACTAATAAAGGTGTTATTAATCATGATATAGCACTGACATTTCTTGTATATGTAAAGCATGCTCCTCACTAAGTATATCATGAAAAAAGAACATTCTTGAAAGTTTTGGAACAAAACTCTACAGATGGTCCACTGCTGATGCTTAACTCGTCATTAAATCACATTCTAACTGAACACCTAAGAATATCAGCAATACTGTATGATAATATGCCCTTAGAAATAGCAACTTAATCTGATATCTAATGATTGTTAAATATAAAATCATTTATTTGTTACATATGCATTTGTATATCTTCCATTTCACTTAGTAACCATTTACTTAGTGACATACAAATAATTAACAGTAACAGTAAAATTACATATCTTGAAATATTAGACAGATTTACTTAGTTGCATACAAACACTTCAAAATCACCTTTAATAATTACTTAGTAATTGTATTTTTGTGGTTTTAAATTATGAAGTAGTTATTTATTTATTTATTATCTCGGTACTTTGTGTAAACTGTTCCTTGATGCTTAGATAATCATTATTAAATTGTTAATATACACTTTTTTGTAAGTTTTAATAATCACTAATAGTACTCCTATTATAAAGTTACAACTGAAATTCATAACGTATTTAAAAAATGTTTTTAATTACTCATTACACCTAAATATATTACATATATTGCAAAATGTTGGAAGTTGCCAATGATTAATTAATAAGAAAAAGTTAATAATGTTTATGGATAAGTACATGCTTCATATTTCAAGTTCAATAATTCATTAACTGTAGGTTATAATTATCAAATAACAAACTATTATTATTGATAACATTTCTATCATTAAATTTAATTATTTTAAATTAAGACAGCAAATAAATGCCTAAAAATCAAACAGTACATATTCATTCCATATCGATGTTGCCGAAACAAAGCCTTGTATCTGTATTTTTGACATTTTTCAGTTTCTGACATAATCTGAAAAAGCTTGTTTCCCTTTATATTGTGTGTAAATTTCATGATGAATGGACCAAAAGTAACGGCCCCAAATTACTTGGAAATATGTCTGATTACATAGACTTACATTAAAAGTACAGTATGTTTTTTTCTTCTCCTGTAAAGTGACCATTTTGGAGATAAGAGTTTTTGTTCCGACAGCAGTGATTTATAGCTTATATATAATTATTAACAATCCCTAACCAACTATCAGGAAATGATTAACGTGCAATATATCTGGGCGTGTTATTTTAAGTGTTATCAGAGTTTGATTAGAACCTTGCTCTTGGGGCATCTTATGGTGAAATTTAAGAGACAGGGTACCTGACAGGAGTTGGCGTGGGTGCCTTCACATGCCTCACGGGAGATGGGGACTGGTGACGAGTAGCTGAAACTTTAGTCACAAGAGATGGAGGGGACTTGGAGGTTGGTTTCGGGGGCACACGAGGAGGCGTCTTATGAGCCAGCTGTTGTATCACAACACCTCCCTCTACTTGCATTTGCATGGCTGCAGCTTCAAAATGAGCTTCCATTCTCTGTGGAATAAACAAAAATATGAGTTTAGCAGAGCAATCTCGAATGATGTTGTGCAATTTTGATCCAAGAATACTGATTACCTTTTCCTCTCTGGTCTGGCGGACCTGTGAAATCTGAGAGGTTGAAATAACTGTCTTAGTTTTCTTTGCAGGAACGGCTTCCTCCTCACCTGTGTAGCAGATACAGTCAGTTGCGACACTTTAACACATTTAGGACAGCTTTAAGAACTCCAGATGTTTTACATATTCGTAAGAAATAACAAAAAGTACCTTGAACCAGCAGTTCTGCGGTTGAAGTGGCCCGTCCACTGCTGTTTGAGGCACTGACAGAGTACGTTCCAGAGTCTTCAGGGAAGGCCTCGGCAATCAACAAGCTGTAAAGGTCTCCTTCTTGAACAATCTGAAAGTCGGCGGAGCTCTGAATCTCAGCTCCTTCTCTGTAGAACTTTACCACAGGTGTAGGGATTCCTGTTACACGAACATCCAGTCTCACTCTGCTTCCTTGTCTCACAGTCATGCTTTGTAGTCTCTGAATGAAGTTGGGTGGCGCAGTTTCCGCTGAAAAAGATTGAGAAAACATAAAGAATTATATATACATTACATGACCAAAAGTTTGTAGACACCTGCTCATCCAGCGTTTCCTCTGAAATCAAGGATATTAACAGAGAGTTACAGCCTCTACTCTTCTGGAAAGACTTCTAGCTGTTGGAACATTGCTGTGAGGATTTGATTGAGCATTAGTGAGGTCAGGTACTGATGTTGGATGACCAGTTCTGGATCACTCCAACTCATCCCAAAGGTACTGGATGGATCTCTATCGCTGTAAAGAATGCAGTTCCACTCTCCACAATCCAATGCTGGGGGCTTTAGACCCCTCTAGCTGACATTTGTGTCAACAATGGGTTCATTTAGAGCTGCTGAATTCACTCATTTGAAGGGGTGTCTGGACACTTTTGCATATCGATGTTGTCGGAAGAAAACCTCCTATCCCCATTTTTTTTTTCAGTTTTTGAGATAATTTGAAAATACCTGTTACCCTTTACATTGTATGTAAATTTCATGATGATTGGACCAAAACAAACGGCCCAAAATGACAAAATGACTTGGAAAATTTCTGGTTCCGTTGACTTTCATTAAAAGTAAAGTAGGTTTTTTCCTTCTCCTGTAAAGTTACTATTTTAGAGATGCAAGGTTTTCTTCCAAAAACAGCGACATGTTGTGTACCAATGGGCAAAAATACATTAAAATATAATCTGATGTAAAATATACTCTTAAACATTTTGTATTTGCACGATACAGAAACACATTTAAACATAATGTCAGTAACAATAATTTAAGGAAACGCAGACAGCATGAAATGTTGATACAACACAATCAGCAGGAAAACTGATTAGATAAGCATGCAAATGCATGAGCGCTTAAGCACATGCTTTAACATCACCCCTTAAGCTGATTTCAGATAATAAAGACACCCTCACTTTTGTTAAATGTTCCTTTGTCAAGTTACACAGACTCATAGCTTTCTAAAGTATTGCTGTACCAAGAATTTTAACCGTGTTTTTTAGCTGTTTTTCTCCTGCGTGCAGCAGCCGAGTGTCTGTCAGAAGATCAGTGTGCATTAGCACTAGCAAAGAATAATAGAGGTTGTTAGCGGTCTTGTTAATCTATTAAAGGATAACATTCTAATATTAACAACATTCATGATTTCTACAACAACTTTTTAGATTAAAAAGTGATAACCAACACATTCTCAATGTGCTTTCAGTTTCCATGCTGACAGGACTGGGTTAATAGTTATTGGCACTAACAGAGCTGTAGCATTAGCACAGTAGTGTGGTTTTAATTAGTTTTAAATGAGAGAATTTTTGCATTCGTAGTTTTTTCATAACTCAGACAATGTGAATGAAATAATGCACTTTTCAGGCTGAATAACAGTAACAGGCAGAAATACATTCCTATGTCACATGCTTTTTAGCAAAGCTAGCTATTAGCATAGCTTTTAGCATAACGAGCTAATAACCACATAATGTCAGTAAACATCAAAGATAAGGGAATATCGCTGCTCATTTAGCTGCTTGACTAATGCTGCATTTGACTGAAGCTCGTAACTCATAATTGCCCGTCTCAGACTAGGACAAAAGAAAGAAAATTCCCCCATAGTTGGGAATTCATACTCGGAAAATCGGAATAGTGTTCTCAACTCCCTGATCAGCATATCATGTCAAATCCGCATTAGTCAAGCAGCTAAATTAGCAATGATATTCCCTTATCTTTAATGTTTACTGACATTATGTGGTTATAAGTTCATGGAGCTAAGAGTTATGCTAATAGAATAGCAAGCTAATAACCACATAATATTTCCTTATCTTTAATGTTTACTGACATTATGTGGTTATTAGCTCATGGAGCTAAAAGCTATGCTAATAGAATAGCGAGTTAATAATATTTCCTTATCTTTGATGTTTACTGACATTTTGTGGTTATTAGCTCACTGTACTAAAAGCTATGCTAATAGCATAGCGAGCTAATAACCACATAATGATATTCCCTTATCTTTAATGTTTACTGACATTTTGTGGTTATTAGCTCATGGAGCTAAAAGCTATGCTAATAGAATAGTGAGCTAATAACCACATAATATTCCCTTATCTTTAATGTTTACTGACATTATGTGGTTATTAGCTCACTGTGCTAAAAGCTATGCTAATAGAATAGTGAGCTAATAATATTCCCTTATCTTTAATGTTTACTGACATTATGTGGTTATAAGTTCATGGAGCTAAAAGCTATGCTAATAGAATAGTGAGCTAATAATATTCCCTTATCTTTAATGTTTACTGACATTTTGTGGTTATTAGCTCATGGAGCTAAAAGCTATGCTAATAGAATAGTGAGCTAATAACCACATAATATTCCCTTATCTTTAATGTTTACTGACATTATGTGGTTATTAGCTCACTGTGCTAAAAGCTATGCTAATAGAATAGTGAGCTAATAATATTTCCTTATCTTTAATGTTTACTGACATTTTGTGGTTATTAGCTTACGGAGCTAAAAGCTATGCTAATAAAATAGTGAGCTAATAACCACATGATATTTCCTTATCTTTAATGTTTTCTGACATTATGTGGTTATTAGCACGCTATGCTGTGTTCTCAACTCCCTGATTAGCATATGACATCTAGTCAGCATTGCTGCTCACAGCATTAATAGTAATAAAGAACCACTTCTGTATTTTGAAAGAAATTTTCAACATATGGACATAGTAGTTGGTTAAATCCATAACGCTGTCAGTAATTTTCACTGTTTTGAGAAAGTAAATACATCAAGAACATTAAAGCTACCTCTCATATCACTACCGTTAGCTGGCTCACTTGTTGCTAACTATGTTTGCTTTCATGGAGGCCTAATTTTTCCCACTTGGAAGCTCGAACGTACGAATACTTCCCTTACTTCCCTGACTTCCCACTTCCAAGCCAAGTCTCACTCTTAAAAAATGGTTCTTCAAGGATTCTTTAGTAAAGGGAGTGGTTTTACTTAGAACCATGAGTTCTATATATATCACTTCATGCTTAAATGGTTCTCTGCATGGTGAAATGGTTCTTCAGATTGATGGAAAATGTGTTGTATGTGAAAATGGTTCTATATAGCACCAAAAAGGGTTCTTCTACTGTTACAGGCTTGACAGTTTTTGGGGCTATTTACACACGTAAAAAAGACGGTTCTTCAAGGTTTCTTTAGTAAAGAAAATGGTTCTATATAGAACCATGAACACTCAAAGAACCCTTTGCATCATTAAAGTGTTCTTTGCGTCATGAAAGGGTTCTTCATATTGATGGAGTATGTGCTGAAGATGGTTTTGAAAAGGGTTCTATATAGCACCAAAAAGGGTTCTTCTATTGTTATGATGTCAAGCTTGTAACAATAGCAGAACCCTTTTTTGGTGCTATATAGAACTCTTTTCAAAAAAGGGGCAATATAGGACCATATACAGCACATTCTCCATCAATCTGAAGAACCATTTCATGATGCAAAGAACCTTTTAATCATGCAAGGTGTTCTTTGGGTGTTCATGGTTCTATACAGAACCATTTTCTTTACTAAAGAACCCTTGAAGAACCATCTTTTTAAGTGTGTATATAGCCCCAAAGACTGTCAAGCCTGTAACAGTAGAACAACACTTTTTGGTGCTATATAGAACCATTTTTACATACAACACATTCTCCATCAATCTGAAGAACCATTTCACCATGCAGAGAACCACTTAAGCATGAAATGGATATACATAGAACTCATGGTTCTAAATAGACCCACTTCCTTTACTAAAGAATAAAAATGAGGCCTCCATGAAAGCAAACATAGCAACAAGTGAGCCAGCTAACATTAGTGAACCATTCACCCAGTGTGCACCCACCTTCATCCACCCAGCCACTCTCTGTTTTAGCCTACATCAAAAACATGATATTAGCATGGGAAACTTTACTAAAAGGTCAGATATACTACTGTTTACATCTATTACTACTGTTTACATCTATTACTACTGTTTACATCTGTTACTTGCAACATGCACTTTATGAACCGCTGCTCTACATACTTGCACATACACATGCGTAACTTTAAATTTTCTTCTGACTTTGCACATATAACTGTACTTTTTTACTTTTTTACTATTGTTTTTAGTGTTATTCTTATATTTTCTTCTATTTTATTCTAAGATTATATTAAGATTATATTGGTGAATGGAGGAACAGCAAAGTAAGAATTTCACTGTACAGTGTAACTGCCTATTTCTGCTGTGCATATGACAATAAAACTCTTGAATAAAACTCATTCTATAAAACTCAAGTTAACCTGAAAGCTTGATCAATGTCTGTTGTAAAAAAAAAGTGCTATGCAAATAAATTTTGGCTCTATATTGAGTGACTTTTTACACATGGTGCTCATTTCAGGGCACCAAAAGTAAGACAGTTTACTGCTCAGCTGTTTGTTACTGCATCATTAGTTCATGCATAAGAGAGCAACCGAAAGGACCTTAATTTTAGATGCAGAGTCTGGTGCTATTGTCTCTCAACACAAGGACCAAAGCCGGTAATAAACACAAAAAGCCAGTAAAAGTCACACAAAAAAGAATCTAAAAAGTATAAACACATTAGCAAACTGTATATCACAAAGCTTTAACTCTTCATGCATTAAAATGCAGCGGTTCTGTGGAATGTCTTTACAAAACATTCACATCCAGTGCTCTAATTTACAGCCTGCTTGTACTGTACTATATATAGTTGTCCTTAATACCCTCTGGAAATGATATCAGTCTTTATCTTTGACAGCATATCCAATTTTCATTGCCAGAGGCCTCCATTTAAACTAGTAATATCATTAAAAGCCTGAACTGCACACCTAATCCCTGCTTCTCCTGTTACAGCACTTGCCAAGAGTTCAAAGCTGCGCCAACTTGCAACTGCTAAATACTTCAATATATGCTTACATGGTAAGTGAAATGTACACTGTATACATTATTATAAAGGCTATTTTGGATACTCTGTATGAAAACGAGCACTGAAGGACCACAGAACATATATCGAGAAAATTCTGCAAAAATTGGATTGTCTTTAGAACCTGCTGTTAGTAGCAATACTGATCAATAAGCTTTACAGCAACCTCACAGTCAACAATCACTGACTATGAACCGTACATGCAAATGTTTGGTCAAATTCCACCTCTGGTCAAATTCTATGTTTTGTTGATTTTCTTAGTAAAAATAAGTTAACAAACCTACACAGGACACCCTCCGCACATTTTAATGACTTTATTCATTTTAATTTATTCATTAAGATTATTCTTTATTTGCTGAGTTTAACGTACTGGAAAAAATTGTACTGTGTAAAATTAATGACAAATTTTTGATTTGATGTTTTTTCCCCATTATGTTGAATATTTTCAAGAAATTGTGTACTAAAATTTTCATATTTAAGTTTGATTCCTGTAGAGGATGTGTTAACTAAATATGTAATTTCAATGGGGTGTTCAAACTTTAGCATACAACAGCAGAGCACTTGGGGTGGGCAATAGGATGATATTTATCTTGATATGCTTTCACCAGCATATTGTGAATACTGTTAGTACTTAAACACTGAACAAGTGCATGTTTCACTAAAACAAGAGCAGAATTAGCCCTGTTTACTTGGATTTAGGGCCACGCTGTGTGTGAAACATTGAATTAAAACCACCGCATTCATAGTTTTTGATAGTATAGTATATCTATAATAAGCTTCCCATTCCAATATCAGTGAGTACACACACTTAGCAGACTCCCACTGCCTGTTTACACAAAAGATAAAGGCTTGTAAATGAGATGTTACCTGTAACCAGCAGTTCAGCGGTGCTAGTGGCTTGTCCAGCGCCATTGGTGGCTCTCACAGAAAATCTTCCGCTGTGTGCGGCTGTCACGGCGGGGATCCTCAGAACAGCGCGGCCTTCGCTGAACGAGATCTGAGCGCCGGGCAGAGCGGCAGCAGTAAGAACCTGGCCATCACGAAACCAGCTCACCTCAGGAACTGGATTACCTGGAAACGAGAGGGTCATCTTAAATACAGCTCTGTTGCTTGTGAAAATGTCAGCTTCTATCAGTATAATTACAGGTCTGTCTTGAATTTTAAAAAATACTAAAGCAAACTAGCAATGTATAAGCACTGCTTTAAAAAACTGTCTTTAGGAAATGCCACCAAAGCAAACTTCCATCCTAATGTTGCTTAAAATAATCAGACTAGGATTATAGATGTATCAGTTTGGGTCTGAACCGTGAGCATTTCTGTCCATAACGCTATTTCAGCTGAAAAAGTGTGAAAACTTCAAAGACAGTTCAATAAACCTCCCACAAAACCCAAATGATAGAAAACCAGGACATTTGGTGGGATGGTTCATTGAGTGCTAAGGTTGGGAAATCTGAGGTAATTTCATCCTGAATAATCATCAAATCCTTTTTAAGCTCATTTAGCAACAATACACCACTGATCTGAGGAGACAGAAGAACTTGGAAAGCTTCCTTACCACTAACTTGAGCTTCGAACGTTGCAGCACTACCCTCAAGTGCCACAACGCTCTGAAGCGGCTGTGTAAACGTTGGCGCCTTTGTTGTCATGGTGGTAGGCACCCTGAGGAGAAGACAAAACAAAGCACTGATTACCAATCCCTATATAAACAGCATTTGGAATAAGCCTTGCGCAATTATAAGGAAATTAACAGTTATGAGCGACGTATTTTTAGCTGTGGTCAAACTGACTAATCGTTGATATGACTCCGCAGCACCTGGCCCAGGGCAGCCTGTCACTTGAGAGATCAGTGGCTCCATTGGGTCTGGGTGTTAGGCCAAACACTCCGGCCTCGCATCCCCTGACAGCTCACAGACATGACAGTAACAACTGGTGCCTGTCTCTCCTCACACTCTGCTGTGTGCTTGTCATAGCTTTTTTACAATGGCTGTTCACATCCGACACCTTCTGCCAATGTGGTACTCGCTCAGACTTTCATTTTGAAGTTTCAGGCATTACTCTTATGATGTTGGTGACCATGTTTCACCATTTTTGTTGTTTTTATTTATGTATTTATTTATTTGAACAGAATTAGAGAATGCCAGTCGTATACATTGTTTCGTGATGAATGGACCAACAGAAATAGTGCAAAATTACTTGGAAACAAATCTTGTTACATAAACTTGCGGTAAAAATTAAAAACATTTTTTTCTTCTCCTGTAAAGTTACCACTTTGTCCTCGGCAGTGATGATATACTGGTGAGTCAGTTTTAAGGAGGGTCATTGATGCAGCCGATATAAATAACATGAAGCAGTTTGAGCATTTAAACCGTACATGTAACATTGCGTGACCTGCAAAGTACAGTAAATTAAAACATCTGGTGAGACACTTTAAAATCACCATCAATAAAAAATGTTAACCATTATTGTCAGTCTATTAAGAGAGTGCAATGCATGGCTAGGAAGGCAGTTTTATAATCACCTTTTAAGATGGCTGACCAACTACACATGTGACCTTCACCTAAAATAGTCTGAGCAGTGCCTATGCCAGATTCTAAAAAGGAAAGCTGTCAGATGTTCACATAAAGTTGCTCTGAATGTACAATGTATGTTAAGTTATATCAATTCTATAGCGGTCAAATTTTATTAAACCAGTTCATCAAAACAGTTTCATGGTTAAACCAACAAAAGCAAAACACTCATACATGAAAACTGCTCTTAATATATTATTCATGTACTTTTGGTAACATTTTATTTTCAGAATTCCCTGTAGATGCTCACAGTATTTTGAACTAAATTAACTAAATATAAATGCAAATGAACTCTAAATTGAACATTGAACATAGATTCTATTAAATCTAATCCTAAACCTAAATTTAATCATTAAGTTAATCCAAAATCTCAATCTTAAATCTGCCCTAACGTTGATTTGTTTAAATCAATTATAGCATTTCTAGATAAGGGGAGTATCATAATAAAATGTGGCTGTACATTCCAGCAGAAATTATTTTTTATAGCAAGAAAAGCAAATTTTTGAAAAAATCTAAACTCATAATTCACAAAAGTCCCAATTTAGGAGTCACAACAATACACAGCCAAGTCATTAACATCAAAAGCAGACCCACAATCCATCAATATGCAATACAGATGGAACATAAATCATCTGCACCCTTGACTTCATCCAAACAGCACAAAGTCACTGCAATGGTCTCAGGTTTATAACTAAAGAGGTTAGAGGTCAGCTACTGTACTGAATTAGGAACATTTTCAATTGTACAAACTTTCTGAGATACTGAAGACCCAGTGTCACAAAAGGCAGAGTCTAAAAATAAGCTCTATCACACTTGATTGACAGTCACCATGTGGCACATAGCTGGGGGTGCAACTGATAGCCCTGCTGCTGATTCCCTTAAAAAGACATTGTGGCCCAGCTGGAACACCACTCTTATGCTATCACAGGCTATTCTTGGCTTTTCTTCTGAAAAGCTTTTCTGAAATGATTGCACCAAATAACAACCTTCAGGGATGAAACCCCCTCAATCTAAGACCAATTACTGCCTATTAAAAACGTATCCACCCATGGATCGTCCCATAGCTTAGCCACCACACAACGTGTCAACTTTCCCAGTGCTTTGCTATTTTTTCTTCTTGTAGTTTGTTGTCATTGCAAATAATAAAAAAGCACACCAGAAAACAGCTAGACGGAAAGCACTCCGCTGGCACAAAGCTTACTTACTTGTATCCACAAGAGTGCCCTGAACTGTGGGGACGGAGCCCAAGGGGGTATTATCTTCCGAAACAAACTCCTTATCCAGATATGATTTCAGAAAATCCAGTGTGAGAATGGTTGAGCCTCGGAAATATCCCCCCAAAAAACAAAACTACACAGGTTGGTATCCGTGTAGTTTTGCTTTTTCCCTTGCAATCCCTACACCCGAGGCAAGGCTGGGAATGCTTCAACTGCTCAGAAGTGCTAGCACGGTAGTTTTACTTTATATACCCCTGGACCTGACAGCATCACCGCTACATCACCACACCCCATTGGCTAGCTCAGCTGGGCATCACGGGAGAGAGCGGCCATTTTATGCAAACTCACACCTGTCACTCACTTCTCTTAACACTGCTCAGGCCACACTAACACAGGATGTTCATCCCCCCACACCCCTCTGAAGATAAAGACCAGTGCCCTACATACAGATAGAAAGCCCCAATTCTCCAGCTAATTCAGTCAGTACTTTCCAAAAAGGTTCTCCCAAAAGTTACCTCCAAACTGAAAGCTTTGGAGTAGCTACTCAAAGTAAGTCATCAATTAAAATGACTAACTATGAATTACTTTACGGATTCCTGGGAAAAGTTGTATCATTACTCATTACTTTACTTTCAGGGGTGTCAACAGAGGTTCACGAATAGGGCTGGCTAAGCCTGTACTCGGGGGGTCTGGGGGCATGGCCTCCCAGATTAATGAACATGTCTGTTCATCATGAACTTTTACACTGTTAGAAATAAAGGTTCTGTGCAGGTCCATTTTTCATTCATCAAGGTACAAACAGTGTAAATGTTCCCCCAAAGGTACAACAGTGGTTTTAAGGTCTGATTGTGAACCTTAAATAATTTTTTCCCAGTGCAAAAGTACATATTTGTACTTTTTCATAACTTAATGTTTTAAAACAGAACAATAAAATAAAAGCCTGGAGACGAGACGGGGTGTGTGGAGTCAGTACAGCTTAGAAAATATCATTTCAGTGGATTATGGTACAGTTATGTTCCCTGGCTAAAGGTACTGAGATGTACTCCTGGGGGGAACCCACCTAGTGACAGTTTCATACCTTTTTTCTAAAAGACTGTAGAAGAGGAACAGCTAGAAAATTTGGTGGCTATTTGGTCAAATTGTCTTACAGCAGGTCTGTAGTTTGTATTAAGCACAGAGCTAGTGTGACAAACGTACCTTTCGTACCTTTTTTTCTAAGAGTGTAGGTGACAGAATTTCATGGTCGTGGTGACAAATGTTATATTTTTTCAGTTAAGTTTAATAAAATTCAGTATTCATTTTAATTTTAATTTAAAGATATAAACAACTCTCCCTCACTTTCTTCCTGATCACTAACCTCCATCAGATCTGCTCCTTTAGTCTTGCTAGCGTCCTTCAGCTTCTGTATCACATATATCATAAAGGGTTAGGCATATACTTCAAAATATATGTACATATATGTAGTAGCCTATCAAACATTGAACATATAAGCATAATATATGGATCATACATATTTGTCTGATACATGGTTGAATACACGTTTGAGTAACATATGCCAACCATATATGTATGCCTTTTATCATATATTGTTAAATATGTGTTACACATATTTGTATACATTGATTTATGGCTGAAATAGGTCCCACATTTAAAAAATTTCAAATAGGTTGGCACGTATGTCACAGATATGTCCATATGTGACAAATATTAAAGAAGTCCATGTTAATATATTCCCATTATTCAGATTTCTTCTCACCCACTTCACTCAAACCTTCTGAGAAACATGCAGAAATATGTGTCACAGTGATTGATACAGGTTACCTTCTTGACTTTTGTCGTGCTTTGTCTTATCTTGCAGAAATCAGGAGTTAGAAGGAAATTATCAACACAAGTGAACTATGACTATTATTAGAGCTAAGCTTTCATTTCGAGCCATAAATATCAAAACTTGGTGGAAAAAACACACCAACTATGATAATGCTAACTTCTGCTAGCGCCCTTTTGGGACTTCTAATAGAAATCTAGCTTGCTTGCGCTAAGCTAACGCTGGCACACAAACATATTTTGGCTGTTCTAGATTAAATACTGACATTTGAAGCATGTAAAAACATTCCATATGTTTCATATAGAGGTTGTAACAGAGGTTAACATATATCTTACTGTGTCTGCTGCAGTTTTCAGTGGCTTTTTAGCAGCTAAACAGCTCTGGCATTGAGCTGCTTCTGCTGTTTAACATTTCTGACTGAAACTAGTGATGGGGATTCGCTACCAAAGGAACCGATTCTTCATCTCCGGCACGTTTGGGAGTCGGAGTCGACTCTTGTCCAACGACTCTGAGAGTCGAAATGCTTTGAGTCGACTCTTCGTCTCTGTCGACTTTTTTCAGTTTGCAGCTTTTCTCTGTATTAATTAGCAGCTTTAAACAACGCCTAGAAACGGCACAAGAAACAAAATCCCAAAAACAAACAGTGGTTTTCACAGAATGCTGTGGAAAAGAGGATGACGCTGAAGTTGGCTTCTTATTTACCAGCTTATTATTCAAATATCCATTCCACCTTAAACGGCGCTGCCATTACGTTCTGGCGCCGACGCATCTTTAAGGTAACGACGCTCTTATTTAAGGTGGACCGGAAAAGTCGAAAAAGAAGCTTTTCTTGTTTTAAAGAACTGAAAAAGAATTTCAAAATGGTTCCTTTTCAAACAATTCTGAGGACAGTAGTGATTTTCTTCTCTGCTGAAAAAGGCATCAGGATTAAAACCTAATGGTTTCGCTTTGTAATAGGATTTGGCTTAACGGTTGCCAACAGAGACCACTAGTTAACTGTAGAACACCTTTAGATCCTATAAGAAAACCATTAAATGCATTTAGAATCAGCCATTGGTCACCTGGTAAACATTTAGGATCCTTTACATTGTGATATCAACCCATTAAAAAGGCCCAAACACATTACAAAACCATCAACAGAAACACTTAATGGTTTCTATAGGTTTTTCAGCAGGGTCAGCACATCATTCTGCCCCTTATTATGTGAAATAAGCTTAATTTTAATATTTTCATATAATCTGTAGATACTCAAATATTTGGTAAATGTTTAAGAAGGAAGAAAAATTTCTGCTGTACAGTCGTACATCTCTAACTGAAACTACACTGTACGAAACGGTCACTGGGGTGGTATCCTCAAGTACCCGTCTCATCTCCAGGCTTTTATTTTATTGTTCTGTTTTATAACATTCGGTTATGAAAAGGTACAAATACGTAATTTTCACCTGGAAAAAAAATATTTAGGAACCACAATTGGGCCTTAAAACCACTGTTGTACCTTTGAGGGAACACTTACATTGTTTGTACCTTCATTTCTAACAGTGTAGGCTGGTATTCACCTTAAGTACCCACGTATTGTAAATCAAAACGTGATTTGGTTGATTCCGCCGTCAATGTTGGTGGTTAATTACAAATGCTTTCATTACAACAATGCAGCGTTAACTCTGGTAAATCTGTTGTGCTGATGAGTCCAGTCTAGCTCCTGAAGAACTAACCAATGGGAGAGCTCACTTGGCTGTACGTACCTAGATACTGGAGGAAAGAAAATCTGATTGGACGGATTTCTGTTGTACACTTTTTTTGGTATTTAACCAAAACTTGACAACAAGATAAGAGTACTAAAACAATACTACAATGCATAGATCATAGATAAACTAAAAACAACTTTTAATTATCACTTCACAGAAATCATTAAGCCTTCTTGGAAGGTCTAAAAGGTCCTGGGGGTTCCCCACTGCTGGAACACTCTCTCTGTCAATCAGATTAAGGGTCTCACACTTCCCTCACACAAACTGTAAGTAAGTAGACAAATGCTTTTGTTACAACAACACACGAGTACATCTGGCCTGGGCCTGCCAAACGACAGAGATACTGAGAGGCATCATGGTAATTTTAGAGAGAAAGAAGCTTTATATCTGTAGAGATTATGAACCACACAGGCTTGAACTGGTAGGTCTACGAGGAACAGTTCTGCCATCATATCAGCACCTGCTCGATTAGTTTGTAGCTGTGGTTCTTGCTACAATTACACTAGATTAAAAATAAAGGTTCCTAAATGGTTCTTAGCCTAGGCATGTGGTTCTAGGAAAAAATTCAATTGGTGTAGAACCTTTACATCGTGTTATGGTTCATTTAATAGTTTTTTCACACTTACACATCTCATTTACAAAAATAGTTCATTAAAGAACCATCCATTGAAGGTTCTTTAGTGCACGAAAAGAAATTCTTCTGAGGCATTTTTAGGTTACATATAGCAAGAGTGTACACACTGACAAAAAGATGGTTCTTCAAAGGTTCTTTAGTAAAGAAAATGGTTCTATATAGAACCCTTTGCATGATTAAAGGGTTCTTTGTGTCGTGAAAGTGTTCTTTAGACTAATGTTGAATGTGCTGCAGATGGTTCTATATAGAGCCTTTTTGAAAAGGGTTCTATATAGCACCAAAAAGGGTTCTTCTAGTCATAATCATAAACATCTTTTTGGTGCTATACAGAACCCTTTTGAAAAAAGTTAATGTAGAACCACCTACAGCAGATTCTCCATCAATCTGAAGAACGCTTTAATGATGCAAAGAACCCTTTAATCATGCAAAGGGTTCTTTGAGTGTTCATGGTTCTATAAAGAACCATTTTCTTTACTAAAGAACCCTTGAAGAACCAATGCAAGAACGCACAATGAGCTTGTACATCGTGCATTTGCAATGTATTGGTCGGACGTTGCGACCCAGACAGAAAGCTTATATTGGTCCGCTGGCTTGATAAGGTTGTCACCCCGCTGGTCACCCCGCTGACTGTATGCCAATGCTGGTCCACCCTCGGACCACTCAGATTACTGTCCTGCATACAAGCTCTAACTAATTTGTAATCTCCTCAAACAGATTTGAAATGCAAAGAGACTTTTATTTTGGAAAATAAACTCCAAAGACATATTACAAACAACTAAGTGAAAAAAATGACTAGGCCAAATGTAAAATGATTTTATAGAAAATGTTGTTGCTGACACTGAGCTAGATTAAATTTATTTACTAAACTAATTTACAAAGTATAACTAAAGAAAGGAAGGAAGGAAAAATCAGTAAATTGGACTGTGAGTGGAAAATGAGTGATGATAGGTAGAATTTTGTCTAATATTCTGCTTAACCATTTTTTTCTGGTCTCAGGTTTTAATTGGAAAAGGGCTCAGCTGG